CAGGTAGCTTAAATAGTTTTATATTGTATTCTTCTAATACCATCCCCAGTGATAGCGTATCGATTTCTCTCTAGAAAATGCCATTGTTTTAACATGTGTAGGACATATTTGTTATGAATGGCTGTACTCTCTCCCAAAGGTCCTTCACCAATGTCATGTGGCATGACTGTTTACTGTTGTTGTTGTTATTATTGCAATTACTGTACTTTGAAAAGACAGGCCTGGATTAAAGTAGTATTTTGCTTTACCTGCTGCAAACCCTACTGACGTTTTAGTAGTTGCTGTGCAGCCATGATGGCCATAACCATGAAGTTAGGCAGATAGATGCCAGTGTATTCTCAGGATAGAGCTCCCCTTTGTCCTATTATTTGGCTCACTTTAACTAGGTTACTTTCATAATCTTTGTTGCTGGAACATTTTTATACAGAGTGTTTGTTTGTGTATGTACGTGTGTGTCTGTCTGTCTGTCTGTCTGTCTGTCTGTCTATCTATCTATCATATTACAGGCTTATTGCTGGATTAAATAACTGGATGATCTGTTTCCATTGTACTGGCTTTGTTGGCATGATGCATCCACACATTAGAGTGAAGTTTTGTACAAATAGTAAATACTGTTGCACCTGTCTAGATCTGCAAGGCAACAAAAAATATACAAAGAAAATTGTCAGGGGAAAACCTGATAGTTTCCATTTGATTATGGCATAGCTCTGCTCCAAACGCTTGAAGGTTCATAGCTTGGTGGAACCTGCACATCCGGTTTGGCAGGTTTAGTGTAATGATGCTTATTTTCATGAGTGACCTTCCCTGGGGCGCTGTCATATGTGCAGTCTCTGCTTACATAAACAGATTTTCTTGTTCAAAGTTTAAAAAAAAATATTCGTGCCACTCTTAGACCTTTTATGACATTATTTGGCAGAATATGTTTGACAACTACAACCACTAAAAACCAAAATGAAAATTGTTGGGGTAAAGAAATAAGCATATTGTGAATATAACTGAGTTAAAGAAATGTTCAAAGTTGAAACAGAATACTAAAATCAAGCAATATCCAGTCAATGTTCAGCATTTGTCTTTAGTGAATAAACCTCCTGAAGGTTGTAATTCACAAAAATTTAAATTGTTAACCATATTGCAGAATCAATTGAATTTAAACGATCACTTCCCAATATTTGGTATTATTTTTACTTAGACTTATTTGTTAGCTATAGGGGCTTTATGAAGTGTGAAAACCAAAATGAAACGTATTATCTTGCAACTAGGTTCCTCCATTTTGGCTCTCACAAATTGTTATAAACTCTGTCCTTGGTCCCTAATAGTCAGCATAGAGAGAACATACGGAGTTGAGAAGAAATGAAACAATTGGGGGTGTGGTTTAAAGTACTAAAAGTGGAACAATCACCATATAAACGAGAAGAATCAGTTGATACATTGTATTGGTGATCCTCTCCTTTCACATTGTTGAATTATTTTTATAACAGAACATTAACCCCTTCACGACGGAGTCAATAGTACACATTCTGATCAAAACAAAATGTAAACAAAAACTGGTCTTTGCGCTATATGTCTGTTCAACTGTAATTAACATCTTTCATATGAAGTGCACCCACACTGATTATATATCATTATGTTCAGGAGAAACTGGGCTTTAATTTCTCATGAACTATTCATATTTGAAACATAATTTATTATGAATAAAATTTAAAAAAAACTGTGAGAAATTAATATTTCAAAAAAAAAATTTGTAGACATTTATCTGTAAATGTCATAATACAGTTGGCTATAACTGCATTAAAAAAAAAAAAAAAATTTTGGATTCAGCAAAGTCTCACGAGTACAACAGTACCCCCCATTAACAGTTTTTACAGTGTTTTGGAAAGTTAAAGAGTCAAATAAAGCACATTCCATTTTTCAGTTTTTTTTTTTTCAAATTGAAATTCGCCAGGTTGATTATGTTGCCTTTAAGACTGTGTGGTAGCCCAGGAATGAGATTTACCCCCAAGATGGCATACCATTTGCAGAAGTAGACAACCCAAGGTATTGCAAGTGGGGTTTGTCCAGTCTTTTATAGTAGCCACTTAGTCACAAACACTGGCCAAAGTTAGCGTTCATATTTGTTTTTGTGTGATATATGTCATTCTAAGTGTATTTTAAGATTAATATATGTACTTTATATTAACATTAAAATACATTACGTATCACGTTACATGTATGTGTGTGTGTGTATATATGTATATATGTGTGTGATATATATAATTTTATTTTAAACTTTTCTAATAATATATTTATTTTTCTTCCCACCAGCAGCTCAAACAGTCCCCCTGCTGGCAGATCCACAGCCAGCTATAGGGGGCCATGTGATCGCTCTTTGAGAGCGATCACATGGGCCCCCGGGGGCCTCATTTGCCGGGGGAGGGCTGTCTGGGCTGTTAGGCAGTCCTCCCAGGAGGTAAGTAAATCTCACCTCCTGGGGCAGAAAGCCATTACGGCGTTCTATGCCGCCGCAACGGCTTTAAAGCCCATTTAATGCGGGACGGCATAGAATGCTGTAACGGCGTTAAGGAGTTAACCCCTTAAGGACTGGACTGTTTTTGCAATGTTGTACATTTGCGACCAGGCCTCTTTTTACACTTTTGTGGTGTTTGTGTTTAGCTGTAATTTTCTGCTCTCTCATTTACTGTTCCTATACAAATTATATATTGTTTTTTTCAGGACAAAAAAGGCTTTCTTTACATACCATTATTTATATAATCTCATGTAATTTAATTTAAGAAAAAAAAATATGATGAAAAATTTTAAAAAATACATGTTTTTTGACTTTTACTTGAAACATTTTTTTTACTCATCTACAAAAGCGAATAAAAAAAAAAACTGCTAAATAGATTCAAAATTTTGTCCTGAGTTTTAAAATACCCAGTGTTTTACATGCTTTTTTTTTTGCAAGTTATAGGGCTATAGGTACAAGTAGGATATTGCGGTTTCAAAACATACATTTTTTTTCAAATTTATCAATGGTGACATTGTAACACTATTATATGTCATAAATCTCTGAATAACACCCCACATGTACATATTGTTTATAAAGTAGACAACCCAGGGTATTCAATATGGGGTATATCCAGTTTTTTTTTTTTTTTTTAGTAGCCACCTAGTCGCAAACACTGGCCAAAGTTAGTGTTCCTATTTGTTTGTGTGTGAAAAAAGTAAACTAAATTGAATGCTAATTTTGGCCAGTGTTTGGGCTACTAAAAAAGACTGGACATAGCCCATTTGCAATACCTTGTGTTGTCTTTCTTTGCAAATGGTATGCCATCATGGGGGTAATTCTCATTCCTGGGCTACCATATGCTCTCAAAGGCAATGTAACCAACCTGGCCATTTTCAATGTAAAAATATTTGACCCATATATTTGACCCTGTAACTTTCAAAAAGCTATAAAATCTGTACATGGGGGATACTGTTATACTCGGGAGACTTTGCTGAACACAAATTTTAATGTTTCAAAACAGGAAAACGTATCACAACAATTATATCATCAGTAAAAGTGCTGTTTGTGTGTGAAAAATGCAAAATGGGTCACTTTCACTGACAATATCATCACTGTTATATGTTTTACTGTTTTGAATCGCTAATATTTGTGTTCAGCGCAGTGTGTGTGTGTGTGTGTGTGTGTGTATGTATGTGTATATATATATATATATATATATATATATATATATATATATATATATATATATATGTGTGTGTGTGTGTGTGTGTGTAATTATTTTTTAACCCCTTAAGAACAGAGATTCAAAAGCTTGTCTTTCACTTAATGACAACAGCATTTTTTTCATTTTTTGCTGTTTGCGTTCAACTGCAATTTGCATTTTACTAATTTGTTGCACCAACACATATTATACATTGTTTTTTAAAGGCCAAAAGGGCTTTAATTTGATGTAACACACATATATATATATAAATGCTTATTTATTATAAAAAAAAATACAGAAAAATGTAAAAAAAATATTGTTTTTTTGTTTTTTTACAGTTTTTGCAATAATAATGTGTGCATAATTAGTGCATGTTAAGAAAAGTAATTAAAAATTAATTTAGTTGTTCTGATTTACAGAATATATAATGTGTCTGGGATTTTTTTTTTTTTTGGTAGTTACAGGTCACAAAGCACAAGGACTAAAATAGACTTTTAATGTGGAGCGATCTTAGAATTTGGTATGTTTGTCTTGTAAGCTTAATAGCCATAAAAGAAAACAAAATTGCCACACAAGTATATATTTATATAAAGTAGACATCACGGGCTATTTACCTAAGGTTGTTTTGACGTAGCCATTTCACCGCCAACCTCTGCTAAATATTGGAGTAAAATTGTGGGGTTTTTATTTATTTATTTATTTATTTTTGGCACACAAACTTATAACAAAGAAATTCTCGTGTATATTTTGTAAAGTTGGTGTGTGTGCTATTCCTGTACAAAGTTTTATTTTGTGTTCAGTTACATCTGCTGAGTAAAAGGACACCCTCATTGTATGTCTTTGGCACTATTTCGTGAAGTTACAGTGCCATACAGGATACCTGTCCTTTTCAGTATTCACAGTAGCATTTTGAGAGATGGATTTAATGAGCCTTAGCTTCCGTTTGGGGTATTATAGTAGTTTGACTGTTCAAAAAAAACCCACAAAGGCCTACCATTTGTAAAAGTAGACACTCCAGGGTATCTCATAAGGTGCATATTGTGCCTTAACATGCCCCCATTTTTTCACCAATACATGCCAAAGTATGTGGTAAAAAATAATTTTGTGCATTTTTTACATAAGGATTACATTTTTGCTGGGCGTTTTGTATATTTCATATGTGCCACTAAATTCAAACCCCCCAAATTATGCTCAGCTAAGTATTCTGAGTAAAAGGACACCCCCAATGAATGTTTTTGGCACTATTTCGTGGAGCTACAGTGCCATATAGGAGACCAAGCCATATCTGTTTTTACCGAACTTTGAATTTTGACGCTGGGCCTATGTGCAATTTCCAAGCATCTTTGCAGGTTTTAAATTCAAACTACCCCACAAAGACCTACCATTTCTTAAAGTAGACAACCCAGGGTATTTCAAAAAGTATATTTTGAACCTTAGCGTGGGATAATTTTTTCGCTAGCTTGTACCAGATGTAGTGGTAATAAGCGTTTTTTTCTGCTTTTTTGACATACAAAGTGAGTTTGCGCAGCATATTTTGCAAACCTTATGTGTGCTATGACTGTATAATACTTCATATGTTGCTCAGCTATGTCGGCTGAGTACAGCAATACCCCCGTATGTACCTTTGCCAGGTATATGTGGATGTTGAAGGGGCGCATTTGAGACGCAGCCATTCAGTTTTTTTCTAACTTTGAAGTTTTACGCTGTGTCCGTGTTCCAATTTGGAGTAGTTTAGATGGTTGGTTATTGAAACTTCCCCCCCAAACACATACTATTTATTAAAGAATACACCCTGGGGTAATTCAAAAGGCATATTTTGAACCTTGGCGTCGGATAATTTTTTCTCTAGTTTTTAAAATGTATTTTTTTTTTTACTTTAACTTTTTTACTTTTAAAAACTAGTTTTTAAACTTTTGTTCTGCTTATTAATTTTTTTAAACTTTCTTAAAACCTTTTTACAGATTTAACATTTTTCTAAGCTTTTTTTTTTTTTTTTTACCGTTAACCCCTAACTAGCAGTAAGCAGCATTAACAGTAAATTCCCCAATTTCCCATAACTCCCACCCACCCCAGCTAGCAAAATATATAGTTATAAAATATTTAAATTATTAATTAAATAAATTGAACCCCTGAGGGTTAAAAAATAAATAAAAGTTAATCCTCAGGGGTAAAAAAAAAATTAGATCACAGTATAATACTGTGATCTGTATTTGATCACTGTAGGCAGTGATCGACTGGCAGGCAAGGTGTTAATTTTTATTTGGACTGGGTAAAGGGGGGTGTTTATTTTTTATTTTTTTCTTCTTAAACGTTATTAAAACTTTTTTTAAGCTTAATTTTTAACTTTTTAAAGTTTATTTTAAAACTTTTTTAACGTTAACCCCTAGTTAGCCTAACGCCAAATCCCCCAATTCCCCACTAACTTCCACCCACGTCAGCTAGCTAAATATATAATTTTTAAAATATTTTAATTAATTAAATAAATTTTAACCCCTGACGGTTAAAAAATTTTTTTTTTAAATTAACCCTCAGGGGTTAAAAAAAAAATCAGATCATAGTAAAATGTAATCCCTGCCAATTTATCACTGTAGTCAGTGATCAATTGGCAGGGAAGGGGTTAATTTTTTATTACAATGGATAAAGGGGGGGTTGGACTTTAAACTAACTTTATTTTTTTTTACAGCAGGGGGCAGGATCAGCACTGTTCCGGCACCCTGCACTTCACACAGAACCAGGAAGTGCAGGGAGGCGGAAGGTAAGTATACAGAGCACATGCGCTCGCTCTGACTTGCGGTCAGAGTGAGCACATGTGCTGGGCAGCCTGACCGGGTGCTCCCGTTATGCCTCTAATACAGAGGCAGACTGGTGCTCCATTAACCCCGGGATCGCCGCAATAGCGGCGATCCGTGGTTAATTTTACCGCGTGACGGACAAGGTCCGTCACTCGTCATTAAGGGTCTCCCCTCTGTGACGGACCTCGTCCGTCACCCGTCCTGAAGGGGTTAATATAAGTGTATTTTTATATTTTTAATTTTTAGTGTATTTTTTAATATAAGTGTATTTTTATATTACTATATGTACATATTAATATAAAAATACACTTAGCATGATATATATATATATATATATATATATATATATATATATATATATATATATATATATATTGTGTGTGTGTGTGTGTGATTTCTGTTTAACATTGTATTAAAAAAAAAAATATATATAAATATATATATATATATATATATATATATATATATATTACAATGTTAAACAAAAATCTGCACACCAATCAAGTCATAAAACTTGCTTTTCCCACAGAAATCCCAAATCTGCAGTGATGTTACAACCGCAAAGGATTCTGGGTGGACATATGCAAATTAGTTTAACAAAGAATCACATTTTTGCCTCATTCCATTTTAAACATGGATTCCTTTTAATTTGTGTTTGCAGTATACAACTGCTTGGAACACAATTTAGGAAAAGATGCAAAACCAGTGAACCACTCATGGACAGCTGTTTCGTTGTTAATGCAGTTGTATACTGCAAACACAAATTAAAAGGAATCTTATGGCTTGACTGGTGTGCAGATTTTTGTTTAACATTGTATTAACTATCCACAGACTTCAGGTGGAAGGGGTTTTCAATCACAATTTTACCCACCGTAATATTTATATATATATATATATATATATATATATATATATATATATATATATATATATATATATATATATATATATATATATATATATATATTACATTTTTTTATTAATATTAACTTACATTTTTTTTTTTTTAATGATTTTTACACTAGCAGGGAGCGATCACAGGGGTCCTAATCTGCCATGGGGAGACTGTCTGGGCTGCAGGCAGTCTCCCCACACCGGAAGCACTGCTGATCGCCGCCGGTGGAACGACGGCGATCGGGTAAGTACATAAGACCGTTAGGACGGTTCAGGACATCACCGGTCGGCAATGGAAAAATGCCAATGACGGTCCTGAGCCGTCCTCGGTCGTTAAGGGCTTAAATCACTTTTTGTTTTTGTTTATGCAGCCTTAGCCACACCTCACCTGGCTGTGACTGACACAGCCTGCATAAAAACAAAGTGGTTTCATTTTCAATCAGATGTAGCTTATTTTTAAAAGTTTTTATCTCCTGCTCTGTAAATTGATTTTACTCATGCACAGGGTCCCTGCAAAGTATGGCAAGCTTTTAACAGAGCAGTACATAAGTACTTCTAAATGATACAGACTTTGCAATAAATGAAGTGTAAACATTAAATTACGCTTTACAGGAATTGTTTAGGAAGGCTGGGCAAGTCATGTGCAGGGAGGTGTGATTGTGGTGCATAAACAAAGTGATTTTAACTCATAAATGGCAGAGAAATGAGCAGTGAGACTGCAGGGGCACGATCTATACACCAAAACTACTTTATTAGGCTAAAATTGTTTTGGTTACTATAGTGTCCCTTTAATACATTTTAAAAGAAAACAGAGCATCTCATTTGGGGGGAAGGTGGGGGTTGGGGGGTCCCATTGCTTTATTCAATGGTATAATTTCTAAAGATTAAAGATTAATTAAAGAGTTTGAGTGTTTAAGGGAACACTATAGTCATCCAGACCACTTAATCTAAATGAGGGTTTAAGTCCACCTCTAGCGGCTGTAAGTATGACAGCCACAAAAGGCACTTATGCCGCAATGACAGAGTATTTAGTCATGTGATGCAAAAGCCGTGGTGCTGGAACAAGGTAAATAAAAAAGGGTTTTTAACAGAACATGTGATGGACTTAATACCACCAGGGACAGGGATACTATAACATTTGATTTGAATTCCTAAAACGGTGCTCCTTTAACAGAATTTCAGAGTAAAATGTTTAGAAATTAGTCTCTGTGAATAACATACTTTTGTTGTTGGTGTCATGACCTGAATAACCCTATGTAATTGAAGTAGGTTTCAAACTCTGTTCTTGGTGCAAATTATTGGTGTTTAAAGCAAATCAAGGGTGTCACGGTGTACTGTAATGCTAGGGTGTGGCATGCTCTAAATTTTATTGTACACAGAAGTTAATATTTAATCTCTATGTCTGGGATAAATTATGTTCAACGTCGCCAAGCATCAATACTAACAAACCTGGTGCTTTTGTAAAAGCAGACTAAACCACGTTTTAACATGGTTTGAAAGTTGGTGGTTGCTAATGTTATAACACATTTTACATTTATAAGTTCCCTTACTGTTTTATAATGTGTGTTTTTTTATTTATTTTTTTGTTTCTTTTAAAATTAGTACTTATTTGACCTGAGTGGAGAACTCACTCTAGTGTGGATTGGAGATGGAACAGGGGTAAGTTTGAGACACTCTTGGATGATTTGGATAGAGGACCTGTGATTATTTGGCTCTCTGTTGTGCATTTGTTTACATTGAATGCTTTGTAATATCTTATCAGTTTGTGACCCCTGATTATTAACATCTGTAGGTGATTCTTGTGCTCACTACATTCCGGATTCCACTGTTTCTCGTGACCTATTCACAGTCCAAGCTCTACAGAAGGTGAGTCTACGTTGTATCTAAATAAGATGTCCTCTTCAATTAGTTAAATTTGGACTACTGGTGCAGGCAGTCAAAATCATTCTTCATTAACAGCTAAAGGTAATTGTTTATTGTACACATTTCTACTATTAATATTTAGAAGTGTGTGTGTGTGTGGGGGGGGGTGGGGTGGGGGGCGAAGGTTATAATTTTCTCTTTATAATTTTATAAAAAGATTTTATTATATTGTTTTGTGGACCAACATGCCAAAGGGCCAGGCTCAATAGCACTAACAGAATTGTTGTTCTTATTTATGGTCAGTGCTACTCACACAGCTTGATCGGCTACATTTGTTTATTGAGGCAAGCAACTTTTAAGCGTCTCTGTCACTGTCTTCTGGGCTCTTTGCATATTCTTCCACTGGCAGTGTGTTGGCTAGAGATTTTTTTTGTGTATGCATAGTATATAAAAAAAATTCAAAAAATAAAAAATTTAAAGGTTTGAGATCAGTTTAACCCCTTTTAGTAAAGAAAGTGCCCATGGGCATCCTGGCATTATAACATCTTCTTTTCAATCAAGTTGTTATGGTGCCTGGAGTGTTCCTTTTAAGACCTACACCGCCAGGCTTAGCTCAGACATAGAACTTCTGTCTCACTCACATAGGAGGCGCCTGCTGATCCCCAGGTAAGAAGTGAAACCGCTGTAATGCTGACTAGTTAAAATGCACACTAGAATGGATATGGTGCTTAGCGTGTTCTTTTACCAGAGACAAAACACACAAAAAAGCTAATTTATAGAAACTACAAGTTGGTAATTGCAGAGGAAGTTACACATTGCCTGGATCTGATAAATGTTACTTAAAGGGACACTTTAGACACCGTCACTGCTTCATCTTATTTGAAGTGGTTATTGTTATTGGTGTTCCCTGGCACCGTCCTTCCATTCAAACTGTTTTCAGTGTTTTAATGCTAAATTATGGTACCCACCAGCCAGCCCCCTCTCTCAGCTCTTCCCCCGCCCCTCCGGGAGCTAGAAAGGGGGGCTGTGGTGAGGAGTTTGACTTGTGTGTGTAATGATGCTTATTTTCATGAGTGACCTTCTTTGGGGCACTTTGGAGGGGGTGGGGGAGTTTGGACAGGGGCTACTTATAAAAATTCTAGAGGGGTAATTTGAAAAATCTGAATCCCCAGCCAGAGGCCTCCTTATGGCTGTGCCGGCCATGGTTCCTACAGTGTCCTTGTAAAGGTCCCTTTTTTTAAGGAACATAAGGTAGTCTGTTGTGTTGCTTGCTCAGTAGCAGCACAAAAGTACATGCTGCATCCATGAGATTTCTGAAAATGGTCTTCCCAAGGCTTGACAGATTTCTTTAAAATCCAGGATCCAAATGTTATCAGCTAAACTAGACTTATTATTTTATTTTTATTTTTTTATGAAATGTAATAGATTTTATAAATAATTTCTTTAAAGGAACACTATGACAATTGCACGTGTCCGGTTTGCCCCAATGTAGTCAAACCATATAGTAACATTTTGACTTATTAAATTGGGTCTGCTGGGTGCTGCTCTCTGTCTCCTCTCAGTTAAGCTTAGATCATTGGCTGAGAAAAAACAGGGTTTAGGTCAGGAGAAGTAACAGAAGTTCTCCTGAAGACTGAGAGGAGGTGAGTAGTATCGTCCTGTGGAGCCCCATTGAGAAGTCAGTTACTAAACCTTTTAACTACTTACATTGGTAGAGCGCAGACAGTGGCGTACACATAACCCATGGGTCCCCGGTGCGAAACTGATCCATTGGGCCTCCCTCTTCCCCGTTTGACTGAACATTTAAATCATGGCGTTGTGTGATTTATTATTATTGTCATTTAAATAGCGCCAACAGATTCCGTAGCGCTTAACAATGCTATTATAGGGAGGATTTCACTTTACATTGGACAATTACAAGAAACGATAGGTTGAAGTGGACCCTGCTCAAACGAGCTTACAGTCTATAGGAGGTGGAGTATAAAATACATTAGGACAGGAAATAGCAATCAAATAAGGTAGCAATGAAGCAGAGCTGGAGGAGAGAGTAGAGTGCTGCCATTTAGGAGAGAGCAAGAGACAGGTATGTAAGGTAGAGGTCAGTCTGGGAGGCCATAAGCTTTCCTAAAGAAATGGGTTTTAAGGCACTTCTAAAATGATAGAAGACTAGGGTAGAGTCTGATGGGGGTAGGCAGGCTATTTCATAGGAAGGGCGCCACCCACGAGAAATCCTGCAAGCGTGAGTTGGCCATACGGGTGCGGCAGCGGACAGAAGAAGATCAAGGGCAGAGCGGAGAGACCGAGAAGGAACATACCTATGGATTTGTGATGAGATAAGAGGGGCTAGAATTGTTTGATGCTTTATAGGTATGGGTTAGCAATTTGAATTGACTCCTATAGTATACAGGAAGCCAATGTAAGGACTGATAGAGGGGTGAGGTGTGAGAGGACCGACTAGAGAGCAAAATCAGTCTGGCAACAGCATTCATTACAGACTGTAGCATAGACAATAGACAAGAAGTTCTGTTTTGGAAAGTTTCAGTTTCAGAAAGTGGGAGGACATCTAATCAGAGATAGAAGAAAGGCAAGAGGTGACAGGTTGCAGGACATCATGGGAGAGATTTAAGCAGCTTATGATTGTTGATACTAGGATGACTGTTATTAGGGTCTTCTATCTTCTAAAATAATAATTTTTGTGGTTAGAGACGTTTGTGTGTGTGTGTGTGTGTGCCACCTCATTAGGCTTGATATTTGTAAGTTATATGCTTTGCTTTGTATAATCTACCAAACATTCTCCAAAGTATAAAAAGATATACATATCAAGTACTAATCAAAAACTGTCAATCAAACAAATAGCGAGCAACCAGACAGGAAACCTCTCTCCACATCCAGCCAAAATAATGAGGAAATTGTAACAAAAAATAAACGTAATAATACAGAATTTTAATAGATCATTCAACGTGGTTTATAACAAGCAGAAACACAACATTGTCTAGTTCTTCAGTACTATATCAAGCTCAAAAAAGTATGTGTCCATCTACTTTGAACACATTCCTTTGACCTTGCATTGCAGTAGTTGTATTGCAGTAGTAGTGCAATAATAGAATGGTGATTCTGGTTTTTATATCTCAAATTGAATGACCTTCTTATTAGATTGTCTTTGATTACTGCTACAGTTATCCTGAATGTACCAATCTCTTTTTTTTTTTTTTCCCTTTCTTCAGTGATGATTATGGAAAGACTTTTCAGGAAATTACAATACAGCTCAATGACACTTTTGTTCGGTCAGAGTTTGGCATGAGTCTTGGGCCAGAGAATTCTGGGAAGGTGAGTGATGGATGGATGTTAGATTTATGAACAGCAGTCATTTTATTTTTCTCTTGAATGGACTGCATGTCAAAGATAATACTTGCTTACAGTGACCTTTGTGCTGCTGTTTGTTAGGTGATCCTGGTTGGGGATGTGCCAAGTGGAAGCTCAGGTGGACATATCTTCAGATCATCAGACTTTGCAAATAAGTTTATTGAGACTGATCTGCCTTTCCACCCTCTACTTCCAGTGTCCTATAACCCGGAAAACTCTAACTGTCTGTTTTATCTCAGCACGCAAGTAAGTTGCAAAAAATCCAAAACGTGTCTGTGCATAGCTTTTGCTAACAAATTAATTGATTATCATGCTCCAACAAATATCTTAACAGTAAACAAAATGCACCTACAATTAATAACCAAATGCATTTACACTGGGTATGTGTTATGACTAGTAGTTTCTGTCCTGCACATTTTTAATGCATACAAACAGACACCGCACTTCAAGGGTGAAATTTAGGATACATTATTCACAACACCTTCACATCACTGTTAAGGCTCTACTATATCTTTCTTAGTTGAGCTGAAATGTTGCTGTGAAGATGGCGTGAATAATGTACCCTGGATTTTACCCTTGTATCCTATTCTTGTGGCGCTTGGATTTTGGATTAAAGTGCATTGAGGAAGTGTGTGTGTGTGTGTGTGTGCCAACCAAAATTTTGTTTGCTGCGGATGTATCTGCATGTTTTTATTGGAGTATGTTTAAATATTTGTCTGACTGTGTTTGTTCAAGTCATCTGTTTTTAAGCTTTAACCCCTTAAGGGCACAACTTCTGGAATAAAAGGGAATCATGACAGAATGTTTCCGTCATGTGTCCTTAAGGGGTTAATGGTAAGCAAGGAAATACCCTTCAGTCAAATTTCACAGTAAGAATAGAGTGTCAGTCCCCCCTATAGTGTATATACTCTGTATACAGTATAATGAGATCTCATCCTACACATACCATTGGAAGGCATATCTAAATAAACTATAACAAAAAGCACAGTTCATTTTCATAAAACTTAAAACCAAAAGCATGTCATCCCAATTTTGTACAGACACCGTAACACACAGCTTGTTAATCTCACCATAGTATTATTTTGTCTATTCTATACTCTGCTATATTGAAAATGGGTCCTTTTTGCTGCTTGCTATTGATAAATTCCTGTACAGCTGCATTAAATGTGCAATATGCACTCAAAGACTTACATATCTTCCCACCTGTTTTCAAGCACACCTCTCTTGAAATAATAAATGACTATATTTCACATTTCTAATTGACTCTTAAACTCCTACAGTTGCTCACTTCAAGAAGTAGGCAAATCCACTGACACACTTGATCGTACAAAGTCATAATTCCTCATACACCCACTCACCTCTGCAGTAAGCATGGCCGTACCAATTACCAATTCTGAATGCCTTATACTGAATGCTGTCTTATCCACCTGCATGTAAGTTATTCCTAGTGTTCATCTTGGTAACGTACTGATGTTTTGAGCTGGGTCCGAGAACATGTAGCAGATAAGACATTTTTTTGGACATCTATTTATTCTGTTTGTAACAGGATCTGGTGTAAATACTCTGTACTAAATTGCTCCACTTAGCAAATCATATATATATATATATATATATATATATATATGTATATATGTTTGTGTTTTTTTTAAAATGTTTTTATGTATTTTTTTTTAAACCTGCCTGTCTCATTGAGGGGGTGGGCTTTGTACCTAAGCAGTCCTTTGCCAGAATTGATAGCAGATCATTGATTTAAAGAATAAATCACTGCAGAGCACGTTTTACCAAGTGTCATCTCTGGCACGGGCTCTGAGTCCGCAATATGGAAGATTTTCTCCAGTCCTCAGTCTTTTACCTACTTTGCATTCGGAAAGTAATCAGACCCTCATTTTTCACATTTTCTAAAATTAAATAATGCTTGTCAGTGACAAAAGGATATCTGCACACAAATAGGTATAACTGGATGCTAAAAGGACCACTATAGTGCCAGGAAAACATACTTGTTTTCCTGGCTCTATAGGGTCTATAGGTCCCTCCCGCCGGGCTCTAGGGAGTGGAAGGGGTTAAATTTACCTCTTTTTCCAGCGCTGGGCGGGGGACTCTCCTCCTTCTCATCATCGGCTGAATGTGCATGCGCGGCACGAGCCGCGCACGCATTCAGCCAGTCCATAGGAAAGCATTCTCAATGCTTTCCTATGGACGCTGGCGTCTTCTCACTGTGAAAATCACAGTGAGAAGCGTGGAAGCGCCTCTAACGGCTGTCAATGAGACAGCCACTAGAGGCTGGATTAACCCTATTATAAACATAGCAGTTTCTCTGAAACTATGTTTTATAGAAGAAAGGGTTAATCCTAGCTGGACCTGGCACCCAGACCACTTCATTAAGCTGAAGTGGTCTGGGTGCCTATAGTGGTCCTTTAACCAAAGAAGGGTGTTAACAAACATGAAATAAATACAGAACCTATGAAATTATGTATATGCATGCAATATAGAATACCAATGGGTTTTATATAGTCAGCATGTATGCTGAAATTAGAATCCTCTAAATATAAGGTTATAAGGCCAATACAAAAAGGTTTCAATAGTCAAAGGAACACCACACTCTCTTGGTCCCCAAGGTGCGACTGGACCTGAGGTAGGCCAAACACCACTTTGTAGTTTAGAAAGTAGACAATGGTCTAGGCACTCAAGGTAAGGCCAAAGACGCAAGTTTATTGGAGCAAAGTTCAAGCAATATTTTGACCCCCAGAAGGCAGATGGTCTTTTTCAAGTTACCAAATCACTGCAAATACAGCATTTAAATAAGGTGTATAATCAACAATAAAGTTTCTAACAAGGTAAGAAATGACATTAACAATTTAATTTGATTAATATAAATTAACAACAAAAGAGAAATTCTTCATCCCAGAGTCTGGCCATAGGGCCTGTCCCTGAATCTGCCCACAATGCCCACTACCAAGTCCGCCCACAAGGATGTAGTGGTTGTAGTGCGTGTAAAGTGGCCAAAATGTAGGAGTATGAGTCCCAGAATGCTTTGCCAGCTGGAGAGCTACAATTTGCCCATTCTTGCAGGGTTATATTTAGCAGTGTTTATGTGTTTGAACTGTGTGTATCAGTGTGTGCATGTGTGTCAGTGTATACTCTACACACAAATGCACACTTTCATTCAAACACCAGCATACACATACTCCATACAAAAAGTATGCTTAAATTCAAACACACAAACACTGCTCAGTGCCAAATATTACCCAGCGGTCCTTGGAGGCACAGGCGCCTGAACCCCCCAATATGCACACACAAAACTATATATAGTGTGCACCTGAGTGGCCTCCGGGCCCATGACAACAGTCACCCCCTGATGGCGATCCTTTTTGGCACGGTCACCCCTCTTATCCAGAAAAATTAGTCTTTCATAAAGATATAATGAATATATATAAAACACCAGTGAATTGTGAGAATAGTGAAATAAAAATACTTAACTTAGGTTTACAGTCTCCCAAGGTTACTTCCCAGACAACCAATTGATACAATTTAGGGATCCTTCTGCTGAACTTAAAATTAAGGACAAAACAGTGCAAATATTGTTTGTAATCTATTTAAGAAACTGTTTCACAGTTGCACTCAAAGATTTTCGATTAAATAAGGGCCTTATGGGTGCCACCCATGATATCAAAATAGGTGGCTATCCACCACCAAACTGGTAGGAGGTTTCGGAATGTGGCAAAAACTCTCCAAAGCTTTTTCTCCAAAGATTTTTATGCAATACAGAATATGATTAAAAAAAAAAAAGCAAAAAAAGGGTGGTCTTACGCGTTCCTCAGGGACCCGTGTAATAAAAAGAATATGCAGAAATAAAATGCAAAATACAGCCTAATGAACATCCCCCCCACAGTCCCCTTAAAGAGGGCTAATCCCAAAAAGTTTATTGGAGATGTTGTGGGTGTTTCCTCCTTTTTATTTTTTTATTTTTTTTTTTTTTTCCTCCAGGTTGGTGCGGCACTTACTTCTCCAGCTATGTCCGTTCTCTTCATTTCATTAGTGTTGCGATCGGTGTTTTCATTTCTTCGTGACGCACTTCCGTGCATTACACCTTTAGCTTCCGTCAAAATGGTGGTGCATTTAAACCGTGAAACTAAGAAAAAGACAACTCCCCCTAGTGTTCTCTAAGGGGAATTAATCAATTTTATCGAAACGAAAACTTATATTAATCATATGTCCTTATAATTATTATTTTTTTTTTATTCTTTATTTTTGGTTCGACACATGTTACGGCATGGCAGTATACAATGGCTCGCGCAGGGGCCAATATTAATTGAAACTTAACATTGCATAATACAGAGGATAAGCTGTTTTACAAGTGAATGCAAGGTTCTGTTATGCCGTGCAGTGTTGTTGTTTCTGTTTTGGTGGACTTTTCATGTCCACACATAAAAATAAAATATAAAATGTAACACAAAACAAAACTCAACCATACTAGACAGTTCATAACGAAGTAGAGCTACCTAAGGTAAGAGCCTCCGATATAGGTCCCGACCATATGATTCCTACCCTCCGGCAAGCCCTAGGTGTCTGTTATTGCGTTTGGCTTAGGTTTCTGCGTTCCAGGGCCCCAATTTCGTGTACGTCTGCCGATTACTGTAGCTTTTGTCATATTACCCTTCCCCGTCCTATGCGTGTCCCTATCCAGTATGTCCTCTCTGGCAGGGATTTTGGTGCCCTCCCGCATTAGTATTTTTGACCCTGAGGGTCTTTGAGCATGGGTCCTGGCACTGTTGTCGCAAGTTGGGTTGGCCATGCCTGTTCGCTACTGGGCACATTGTCGACGTCTGTACTGATTTCTGCCCTATCAGTTGTCTTCTATTAGATTGTATCAGTGTGGTCTGCTTGGGACCCTGGAATGAGCGTGGGCGGGCATTCTCTGTGCGCGACATCCTCCCTGCCATGTGGGGGAGGAAGGGTAGTGGAAGATTGGGGGGAACGAGCAGGGCTGGGTGGTTGTGGGGGTTGTTAATTGTCAAGGCGCGCGGCGGCCCATGGCCCGGTCCCTAGTCCCCCTCCCTTCCCGGTGGGGTGGGGTTTTATTCATTAGTGTAGTTTTCCCAGGGCTGCAAAACTTTGTGAAATGCTTTTTCCGTGTTTCGAATTTGAGCTGTGAGTTTTGTCCATGAAGTATGTGTCTTTGATTTTTACTATCACGTCGTTATCTGTGGGTGTGGTGGGTTTCATCCATGCTTGAGCTAGGGCCCTTCTGGCTGCCAGTGTGACTTTGTTGAGAAGTAGTTGCTCCCTCCTGGGGAGGCCATCTATGGGTCTGGATAACAGGATGGACCAGGGGTCCAATGCCACTGGTCTCTCCAGAATGTCAGTGATTATTGACTGACTGTATGCACTTCCAGTATTTGTGGGCTTCTGGGCACTCCCACCACATATGTATGAAGGTGCCTTTGCTGCCGCATCCCCTCCAACATGTATCAGTCGTGGTGTTCCCCATTCTATACAGTTGTACTGGTGTGGTGTACCATCTCATTAGCATTTTGTAAGATTGTTCCTGTTGTACTACACAAATCGACGTCTTTGCCATCGCTTCCCAAATGTCCACCCAGTCCTCCACTTCCAGTTCCCTGCCCAGATCTGCCTCCCACTGGGTTATGTACATTGGGTCTTGAGCGTCTTTGTCAGGGGCGCTGAGTTGGGTGTATATGGCTGTGATGAGGCCTTTGGGTACCACTTCAGCGTTACATAGCTGCTCAAAAAACGTCATCTGGGTGTGGGCTGCTTTTTTAACCTCTGGGGTTTTAGCGAAATCTCGTAGTTGTATGTATCTAAATACATCTCTCGTGGTTAGGGGTGCCAAGGTTTGTAGATTGTCTATGTTTTGAAGGAGCCTCCCTCGTACATGTGCCCATATCTTGGTATTCCCGTGCTTTCTATCCCCCTAAAATCTTGTGCGCTCAGACCAGGCTCAAATGCTTTGTTCCGTAAATATGGAGTCAGCGGCGAGGGTGTGTGTTTTAGGGCATATTTAGTGGCCGTCTTATCCCATATACGGATGGAGTTAAGGATCACCGGGCAAGTGGTTCATAGGGGTGGTCTGTCCTGTTTGGGCACTCATATCCAGAACTGGGGCAGGTCTGTGCACATTAGTTTTGTTTCCAGGTCTACCCATCTGTGGGAGCCCTCTGGAGCATGCCATGCTACTATTTGGGCAAGCTGAGCTGCCAGATAGTATTGATAGAGGTTAGGGAGTCCCAGTCCACCTCTCGTTTTCGGCCGGTATAGCACCTGTCTAGCTACTCTGTGGCGTTTTGGGGCCCATATAAAATTATCTATGTGTCGTTGTAGTGTCGCTAGGTCTTGTTTGGTAACCCTTATCGGTAAAGTTTGAAATAAAAACCGTAAACAAGGGAGCATCGTCATTTTGATGGCATGTAATCTGCCTATCCACAAGATTGGCTTTTCTTGCCATTTTTCGATATCTCGGCAAAGTGCTTGGAGTGTGGGCGTATAATTGGCAGTATAGAGTTTCTCTGGGTCCGCTGTAAGTATAACCCCTAGATAGGTAAGTCATAGCGAGCAGTAGTGATTATGGTTCCAGGAGTGCTCTGGCGACCGCGACCCCTTCCTCCAATGTAAGTAGTCTAATGGTTTGACTTCTTACTTGTAGTCCGCGCGGTAGTGGCTTTCTGTCTCTTTACAGCCAGAAGGTCTTTGCTCTGAACTGTTCCTGCATTGCAGGGCTAGACACAGGAGAGTTAATGGAAGCTTTATGTAGGAGCATTCAGCTGGTGCCCCGCAGTAAGAAGCACCAGGGCACTTTTGCACATAACCACTACAACATACTGTAGTAGCTCCTGGGCTTGTAGTGTTCATTTTAAGCATACTACCTAATTTTTTGATTTTTATTGATTTTTTTATTATTGTTTTCAAGGTGTTGGCTTTTTCTTTTTTTTTTTTTCTTTTCTTATGTTACAATGTGTATATAACCCAGTTTCCAGTTGACTCTAATTTCTATGATGTGCTACATGTCTCAATACCTGTGGTGACTGTGTAAATATTTCATTTTTCTGCTGGCTGGAAGTGCAAGGGAAGTTACATGCAGGAACCTAGTTCTTGCCTAACAAAGAAAATTTAAGATATTTAACCCCTTAAGGACACATGACATGTGTGACATGTCATGATTCCCTTTTATTCCAGAAGTTTGGTCCTTAAGGGGTTAAAGGGACACTTTAGGTACCCAGACCACTTCAGCTCATTGCAATAGTCTGGGTGCTGTGACCTTTTTGCACTTAGTGCTGCAACGTAAAATATTGCAGTTTCAGAGAACCTCAATGTTTACGTTGCAGCTCTAAGTCAGCCCTCTGTGGCTGTCTAACAGACAGATACTAGAGGGCTTCCGGAATCCAAACCGACCTATGGTCGGTTATCTGACGCTGAACGTCCTCAAGGACCTCCAGCGTCAGATTTTCCCCATAGGAAAGCATTTAGTAATGCTTTCCTATGGGGAGGTCTAATGCGCGCGCGGCCATTGTTGCGCATGCGCATTAGGTCTCCCCCGACTGCCGCTGAGGGGGGAGGAGCGTGGGCGGAGCCTGGCGGAGTGCTGAGGGACATCGGCGCTCTATTTAGGTAAGTGGTTAACTCCTTCAGCGCCGCGGAAGGGAGGGGCCTTGAGGGAGGGGGGAGTCTAATAAATAGTGCCAGGAAAACGGGCTTGTTTTGACTTCATGTCTACTTGAGCATATTTGTGAATGGGCAATCTGTAAACCAGAGCGACCAAAATTCATTCTTGTGGTGCAAGGATTTTTTATTTATTTTTTTGTTTAAAATTCACTCCCTTTTACCCTTGTGAGGATATCTTCTTACCTGTGACTTTTCTAACCATCTACATTCGCCCTTTTTTTTTTAAAATGTATAGATTGCTCTTGCTGCTATCCCTTATGCTTCTTTTACTGTTATCTCATTCCCAGGCTAGCCCATCTGCTCCATCCATAGGATACAGCTTATTTTATGTCCTCATAATGTCCCACTTATGGCTTACTTTAAAGGAATCTAGTGGTGCCAGGGCACTCCATGATAGGTAGTCAGACAGGATTACCGTAACCCGATGTCCTGACAGCGTTCCTTAACTGAGAGCACACGGCTAACGTTTTCAGTCAATGAGTGCGGACATGCAAGACACTCCTGCAGGCATAATGTCTACTACAGCGAACAGTAGTGTTATGGTGCTTGGAGTGTTCGTTTAAGTCGAGCTCCGTGTTGTCCAAACAACCTTCTTCCCAGTCGCGTACACATGATCCATGGGGCCCTTGTGCGAAAATTGATCCGTGCCCCCTCCCACCCGACGCTTACTCTGCGTGGGCCAGGGCTGCAACACATGGCGGTGGGCACCTGGTGAGAAGATGCTGGACGTCAATAGGAAAGCATTGAGTAATGCTTTCCTATGGGCGGTTTGAATGCGCGTGCGGCTCTTGCCGCGCATGCGCATTAGGAGCTGAGAGGCGGATCGGGGCAGAGAGATCCCCAGTGCCAAGGGAACCCAGGGCCGGAGAAAGGTAAGTGCTGAAGGGGTATTAACAACACACTCTCACGAACAGACGCATACACACTAGCTAACAGACACACACATTTACTGACAGACACACTCAGTGACCGACATACATATGCACTCACTGACAGACATACACACAGACACACACCGTAATACACTCAGTGACAAACATTCACTGACACACAAACTAACACTAGCGCACACACACAAACTAACACACTCACTAGCAGACAAACACAAACTAACATACAACTAACACACTCAGTAACAGACACACACACTAACACATATACACACTCACTTTTTTTTTTTTTTTTCATTTAATCCCCCAGCCTCCCTACCTTTTGGGAATGCTGAGGGGATTCCAGATTTCCCTGGGGTCCAGTGGGGCTGCTGGGCGGCCGTTCCTGCAGGCGGTGAGGAAGCACTGCTCCTCCTGTTAAGCTCCCTTGCAAGTCGCTTACTGATGCCGCAGTGACGTCATATTTCGGCTCCGGCATCACCGTGGTGCACGCAAGGGAGCTGGGCAGAGTGCGCTCAGGGGAGAATGCTCCCTCGCCCGCTCAGTGACACCACTGCCAGCCTTGGGGGGGCCCTGAGGTGGCCAGCTCCTGGGCCACCCAGGAGAAGAGGCTGGCAAACTGGCGTACATACTGGGTCGCAGGGCAGCCGACCCCCTGCGACCGCGGTATGTACGCCAGTGCTTCTTCCTCCACTGAACTCATTTGACTACTTCATTTTCCCTTCTTTGGCAATAACTGTTTGTCAAGTCTCATTGTTTGGTTTCAAGCAACATCCTCAATTCTAGAGTGATACAAGTAAGCATTTTAGGTTTTGTGTAGTACGGAGACACAATGTACTGCACTTGTTTGTTCTTGTTTAGTAAATTGCTACTTTTATTTTTCACCTAATTGTTTAGTTTTATTCATTGATAATGATTACTGTTTGTGTTTTAAAACTGTAACGCACTGTTCCTTATTCCAACTGCTAATATTTGTGTTGAGAGTAATGATCTTTCTGTGCCCAAAACAGAACAAGTATAGGAAGATTGAAATGTGAAAGTTATGTAGGTGTTTTTTTTTTCTTCCTGGTGTATGTTTGTTTATTTAGCATCATTCTTATTTTCTTAATGTAGAAACTCCTTTTTTTTAATTTTTTTTTTTTTAATTCTTTATTTTTCGCTCTGACAGTGAAGCATTGTTACAATAGTGCAGACATAGGTGGATAAAGGACTGTACAAGTTTTGTTTGTAAGTAGTACAAAATACAGATTAGCATAGTTAGTACAGGCGTCCGTTACATACTGTGCACTTTGGGTGCATTGCCGCCAGAGGTTTTCTTTTGTGTTGGCAAGCAGAAAAAAGAAATAACTATGTACAATGGTAGAGTTGTTGAGGAGTGTGCTGTGTCATGAACTCTCAGGTTGGCTTTGATGAGTGTGTTGTGTTGTCGTGGCCCAGGCATATGTGTGGAGTATTCTGATCGTGCCCATGTAGGTCAGGCATTGTGCCCTCCCCGTCTGCTCTGTCCATGCCACTCCCCGTGTGCTGTCATTCCGTTATGCGCAGAGTCAGGCAGAGTCTGATAGTGTTGGAGCTTTTCTCTCCTCTTGTTTGTTTACATGGTCTGGTGTGCTTGCAAGAAATAAAACATACAAGGAAAGGGTAGATATAGATAGACAAGTAGAGATTGCAGCGTATTAAAGTACGGAGATGAGGTGATCTCCTGGGGGCCGTGAACCCTGTGCCGCCCGTCCCAGTGGGCGGCGGCCTTTGATCCGGCTTTAACCAGATACCCGTTCTGCAGTGGATCCACTTCCACCCCTCTGGGTTATGGTATGATAGCTACTGTTGGGTGAGCCCCAGTTGTCACCACTGCAATGTACCGCATGGATGCCGCTCCGCGCCCCGAGCCATGAGTCTGTGTCGTATTGCTCCCATGGACCCCACACCTTGTGGAATGTGGTCAATGTGTTCCGCACTTGGGCCGTGAGTTTATCCATCAGATAATTATCGCAAAGTTTTGTGTAGAAACTCTTTTTAATTACGTTTAGTGCCTACATGTAATTTTGAAATTACTTTACGAAATTGACAAAAAAAAATTAATTTCATCAGGAAATATTACCACTTGTAAATGCAGCAGTCTTGCTAGTGTTCGATAATGATATGTTTTTTAAATGGCTATTAAAAATCCTTGCTTGATTTCTGGGATTAAAGCATCTACACTGATCTGCTCTGAAATAGCAAGGCAGTGCTCTCCATGGCTGGACAAAGGCTTACAGGAACCACTATAGTATCAGAAACACAGACTTGTATTCCTGACACTATATATAGTTTAGTTTACATTCCTGGCCCCCCTGTTAGAGGATTAAACGGTGACTTTACTCACCTTTTATTACGGTGACGCGTCAGTTATCCATGGCTGGTTCTGCCTTGTTTCACCTCCATGGCCGAGTTCTTCAAAATTGATGATTTCAGCCAATCTGATGCTTTCCCATAGGCAAGCATTGGAAGGCTATTGCCGATGTGCGTTAAAAGGCCACGCTGCTCCAATAAGCATCTCCTCATGGAGATTCATTGAATCAGTGCATCTCTATGGCGAGCGTTCAGCGTCTCCATGTAGAGTGTGGAGATGCTGAATATCAATGCACTGACCCAGGAAGCCTCTCTAGTGGCTGTCTGAGTGACTACCACTAGAGGTGTTACTAAGCAGCAATGTAAACATTACCTTTTCTCAGAAAAGGCTGTGTTTACAGTAAAAGCCTGCAGGGACAGGCTATAGACACCCACACAACTACATTAAGCTGTAGCTGTTGTGGTGACTGTAGCATCCCTTTAATTACTCCAATCCCAACCCACACACGCTGTGTTATGGAATAGCAAGTCATTGCTAAGGGAAAGCGAACTCTGGAAAAATTAAATGGTGCTGATGCTTCATTTGAATGCTTTATTATTTTAATATAATTTTGTTTTGTGTTTTGAGTTTTTTGCCTAATTTATAGATGCTGTGCTGCAGGTAAACATGGTATTGTTTAAAAAAAAAAAAAAAAATCAATAATAATAAAAAATAAAAATCTAAATTAGCCAAGCTGTGAGATTCAGGCCCCTGCTTGGAGACCTGGGCAAATAGTGTCTTATCCTCTTTCTCCCCCAAGTGTGTGCTAGCTATGTGTGGTGGTGCTCTGTGTTTGCCCACCTTCTGCTTACCATTCCGCACTTGACTATATATTACTTAATTTGATTATTACTAAAAATAGCACTGCATACAATGTACTGCTCCTTTTTTTTTTTTTTTTTCCTGTGTTATTGTCGTGTTGACTAAGAGATAATTTATGTATTTTTGTTTGGGTTTTTTTCCCCATTTTCTTTATTATAATCCTTATTCTTTCAGTATGATTTATGGATTTCCAGAAACTTTGGAGAGTCATGGAAAAACATACATCAGAATGTGTGTGCTGCCAAATGGTGAGTGATTTACCTGGGTATAAAAACTGATATATATTGTGAACCGCTATTTGTTTCTTGATAAATTATTAAAAACAAACAAACAAACCTGAATTGCTGCAAATGTAAACAAATTTTTTTTTTTTATTCATTTTAGAAAAAGTGCAGATTTCAGTAGAAATTGTCACTTATATAAATAACTTTGTTACACCCCACTGGCTTTCAAACAATCAGTCATGCTACTTCCTGGTAGTTTAGCTTAGCAGGGATAGACTGAAAAGGCAGGCAATTGCTCGGAGCAATATGACTTCTCATTGATCTGCATTGGGAAGTCTATGATAGGACAGTCACAGAAAGTCAGGCTGGGTTAGAAGGGAAGGGTTTGCAAATACAGCAGACAAGAGAACTGCAGGTTTTGCATTTTGTTTTAGATAACATAATTACATTACTGACATGGGTTGTTGGGTTTTTTTTGTTTTTTTTTGGGGGGTGTGTGGGTGATAGAGAGTGTCTATTAAATATTATATCTATTAAGTTTTCTTTTAAATTTTATTTGGGCGGTAGAGTGTCCCTTCAAGTCTTTTCAAACATTGTAAAATATTTTTTGCCTAATTTCTTCCTTCCTCATGAAATGACCACTTGTTATATTAACAGGGTTATTTACAAAAGCGAACATTCAAAGTGATATTCAAATTTAAGACTACAGTAGCCAGACTGAAAGTATAGCCGACAATATTTTCCAGTTCAGCTATTTTGACCTTAAATTTGAAATTCACCTTGAATTATGACTTTAGTGAATAATCCTTTTATATCTTGTTTTCTTGTGGAACCAGAGCAGACTACAGCCTGTTCTGGCAAACGTTCAAACCATCTGCAACTTTCTTTTCCTTGTTTTCATAGGGACTCTGGCAACACCATAATTTTCACTACATCCGTTAATGAATCCTGCTGTAAGTATGGGGGCATTGTTTTAGCTGGGATAGGATCAGTTTACTGCCTGCAGCCTTGAACTCCCAATGTTTCTTACATTTATAGCATCATCCCAAACACATACTATGAAGAGGACTTCAGACTTTGGCCAGATATTCAAGGTGCTGATTGACCGTGTCTTCTCATTTGGACTCTGGGGTCGTTTTCTGTTGGCTTCTGTAATGGATGAGGTGAGAAGAATTGTATAATTAATTTGTTTCCCTACCCTCTTACTTTAAATCTGCAGTGTCTCCTCTTGCACTCCAATAATATTGTTGTATTTGATGTCACCATGGATACCTCTCCTCTCCTGATCTCTCCCCGTCCATCTTGACTAGTGTACCTGACTGCCTCTCTGCTGTTTCTAACTGAATGGCTGCCCACTTCCTTAATCTAAACTTGACTAAAACTGAAATTCTGGTCTTTCCTCCCTCAAGTGTTGTTACTCCTGTGTCTGTCACCCTCCAAGTCAATGGTGCTACCATCAGCTCCACCACGCAGGCTCGCTGCCTAGGTGTTCTCTTTGACTCTGACCTCTCCTTGAAGCCTCATGTTCAATCTATCGCCAAATCCTGTCATTTCGATCTCAAAAACATTGCGCGCATCCACCCCTACTTAACGCCAGATGCGACTAAGGTGTTGGTCCATTCAACTGTCCTTTCTCGTCTTGACTACTGTAATCCGCTTCTCAGTGGTTTTACGTGCTCCCAACTTGCGCCGTTACAGTCCATAATGAATGCGGCAGCGAGGCTCATCTTCCTGTCTGCCCGCACCTCCCATGCCTCACCCTTTTGTCAGTCCCTACATTGGCTTCCTATAAAATATAGAGCTCAATTTAAAATTCTGGTTCTATCTTTCAAATCACTGCATAATGCTGCTCCCACCTATCTATCCTCCCTTATACACAAGTATGTCCCGTCTAAGCCCTTACGATCTGCTGAAGACTTACATCTATCTTATGTCCGTACTCCCACCTCTGATGCTCGCCTTCAAGATTTCTTGAGGGCTGCATTGTTCCTGTGGAACTCGCTTCCCTCCTCCATTAGATACTCACCCAGTCTCCACTCCTTCAAAAAATCGTTAAAAACCCACTTCTTCATAAAAGCTTATCAATTAAACTGTTAATAGCTCCTGACTGATTCATCTTCTGCAACTGTCACTAGTCTAATGCTATCCTTACCTTTTTGTGTCATTTTACCACACTCCCTCTAGCATGTAAGATCATTGAGCAGGGCCCTTAGCCCCTCTTTTCCTGTGTGTCCAACTTGTCTGGTTACAACTACATGTCCATGTTCGCCCACCCATTGTAAAGCGCAGCGGAATTTTGATGGATGCTCCTAGCGCTTCCTGATGGCTCCAAGCACTCCAGCAGACACCATAACCACCGTAGACTCCTTCAGCAAGCAAAACAGGAACAAGCTCTAAAAAGAATTTAGTAGTGATTATAGCAAGGGAATATGCAGAGCATAGCAATCCCTTGTAGCAGATTCCCCTAATAAGAGACAGCACTCCAAATTGAGGGTGAAGTAGAACTGAAGCTTTTAATCCAACACTCTGCTTTTATGCTCATTTTACAAACATAGTACTGCCCACAGGGTTTTGAAGAACAACCAATCAATACATTACATCACAGCTAAACACTCCCATTCATACCAGCAGAAATCCTCCCCTCTGCCTGTGATACAATTCTCTCAACACAATAGACTAACTTAATTATCACAGGCAGGAAAATACAGTTTTGCACAATATTCATAACTCCAAAAGTATAAATCACATTCACATAAAATTTACATTACATTTTCAGAATCAGCATACTCCAAATACAAACATACTCAAAAATCAGACAATTCCTTCCATTGGTTTAAAAGTTAGGTCGAAGTCCTTTGTGACCACTGAAGCATTGCTTTCCAGCCAAAACCAGTTACACAGAGTCCTCTATCCTGGAGATAATTGGCTTAACTGGGTGTGGTAAGCCAACTATCTCCAGGTACAGAAAATGTCTCTATTCACAACAACAGCAAAAATTCACAAAAATACATCATTCCTATCATACTGAACAGAACCCCCACATTCAACCTATCCCCAGATTGCTTGGATCTGAGCGCTCAATATATCCAAACAGCGCTCAGATCCCACAAACACAGTCAAATAGCCATGGGGTTTAAGTCTAGCATGGGCTGGTGAGAGGGTCCATAGTCACAGGGCAGGAGGCTGGCAATCAGTCTTCTCCAATGCCCAGTGGTGAGGCTGGTTCCTCCACACATGCAAACAGGAATAATTTTATATTACATTCTCAAGGTGCATTCTCCATTAACTCCATCCCCTTTCTATGGGCTTTTCCCTCCTCTTTAGTTGATATTGGTGTTGTGGATATCTTTCAGTTATTGAATTGTACTCCTGCGCATTGGCTGCCTCAAGCAAAGCTGTGATTTGTTGTAGGTTTTCGCACATGGTATTTTGATCTTTGACCGATTTTGTTAATTGGTAATTTGGCTGAAATGGACCCCTAATTTTTCAATTCCTTAATTGTGGTTATCTGTTTTTACACAGCTTTTTCCACAGTTTTGTGAACTAAGCTGTATGCATTGATCGACTAGGCATGCATGAGGTTGCTGCTTGGCTCATCAGTGGAGAGAGATCAAGATACTTTTTTAGATGTGCAAAATGAGGACAGAATACTATTAATTTTCTGTGTCAGAATGTTTCACTACACCAATCACAGCTCTGTATGGGACAGCCAATGAAAGTGCACAGTTTGACGACTGATACCGTTGGAAACAACAGGTCACAGAAGGGCAATGGATAGTAGGTGGTCAAGGGAAAAGATAGTGTAGTTAGTAGGAAAGACACCAGAAATAACCATGGAATTTCCAAATTTAAAGGTTTAAAATGGATGGGTATGGTTTTTTTGTTGTTTTCGTTTGTCTTTTGTTCTTTCATACAGTTGGTTTCCTTTAAATTAGTATTTTTCAATTGTTCATGAATGTGTTTTTAGCCCGTTTGCATTCAATGTCAAGATTATTTTGTATGTTTTCTCTACTTTCAAACACTATTGCAGGACAAAATCAATAGGAGGATTTATGTTTCCAAAGATAAAGGAGACAAGTGGAATATGGCGCAGCTGCCATCTGTGACACATGAACAGTTTTATTCTGTACTGGCTGCTAATGATGACCTGATGGTTATACATGTGGATGATGTTGGGGGTAAGATTGCACTGAGATTCAGCATGGGCAATTGAGCATAATGGAGTTTATGTATAAACAGTGCTGTGTTCTGAAAAGGGGACTACGGTATTTATTTAAAGTGAGGCAGTCGCCATGGAAACCATCTCCATCCATTTTCCATGTTTGCACCACTTTTCAAAACAGTCACGGTCATAAATATCCCCTACTGATTTTACGGAGTACTGGAAATGATGTGGAATTTACACCACTGGATAAACCATTGGGAAAATCAGTTATACCTTTAGTGGGGAGTTATTTATTTATTTATTTTTCTATATTTTTTTGTTTTTGTGTGTGCTTTGCTTTCATTTACATTTATATTCAAAATTTAGTAAAGTACGCCATAATCCAAATCTGACAGGACAAGGCCAGTCATATTGGCGTAATTAAACATATTTTTATAACAAATCTTGGGTAGTGACTGTTCTTCTTTAACTGTGCATTAAATGCATCCCCTTGTGCAGTCAACATTTTCCCTCTGCCAGCCGTTGGTATGTTTCTTACTTTGCAGTGACGTCTTTAAGGAGCATAGGGCTCTGGGGAGAACTTGGCCTCGGGTGGAATCACATGTTAGTTATTTTTCTTGTTTACAATTGCGAGGCAGGTCAGTACTGAAGCAGAGTGTTAACGAAGTAGTCCTTGGTATTATATGAAAATCAAATGATATCCAAAATTAACTTGTGTAGTATGGTATGGCTCTAAATTTCTGTTTCTCACAGATACTGGGTATGGAACTATATACACCTCAGATGAACGTGGTATTGTGTATTCTAAGTCACTAGAGCGACATCTTTATACCACAAGAGGAGGAGAAACAGATTTTACTAATGTGACATCTCTACGTGGAGTCTTTATTGCCAGTGTGCTCTCTGAAGGTGAGTCAATGGGCAAAAAATAGGTTTTAATGACCGGTATACAGGCTTGGGGATATATGTGCAGTGCTATGTATTACTATATAAGAAATTTAGCCATCTAGACACTCACTCCATCAGTAAGTCATTAATTCATGTGTATTTGTATGTTTGTTTTGTGGTATCTTCTCCTTTCCCTCTCTTTTAGATAACACCGTTCATTCAGTAATCAGTTTTGATCAGGGGGGAGAATGGACTTCCCTTCGAAAGCCAGAAAATACAAAGTGTGACTCAACAGCACAGGATCCAGAAAAGGTGAGCCCTTTCTTTTGTTTTACAGCCACTGTGCATTGTTTGATGTAGTATGACAGGTACACATGTTCTCTAAAATACCACATTGGTTAGAAGATAAATTAGTATGATCATAAAAATGAAAAACACAATTCAAAGTTTAAAGGATGTAGGGTCAGAAACGCAGCTTCCTAATTACACCCTATACTTGGACACCCCAATATTGCAGATTCGGTGCAATGCCGTAAAGGAAACAAATTGGCTGGGTTTTCTCATAGTCAACCTTCTAAAATTGGATCTTTCTGCAAGAACATTCCATTTGGCTCTACGGTGATTGATCCACTTAGACGTCTCTGTGCCAAAACTGCTGTTCTATGTATGGCCTTATGTGTTTATGATGCTGGCCAATGTAGGTGCACAAATTGAGTATGATCTTTCTTTGTGTCACAGTGCAGTCTGGATTATACGTCCACATGGTCTCTCTGTTGCAGTGCAATCTGAGTAATATTTTATTTGGCATCTGTGTCTCAGTGCAGTGTAGGTATGCATCGTCAGCACATTTTTGTGTGTAGTGTTTTGTCACACCAGTCTGAGTTATGCATGCAGGTCCGCTGGCTCAGCACCATGTCTATCATACAATTATTATATTCACGATATTATCTATATGATTAAATATTCACTAACTGTACAGAGTGCAGTATAGTTTCTTTTATTGGCATGATACTATCTAGTAAAGCGTAAGCCTGACAATGTACCTTGGGTATATGCCACTATTTTGACATTTTGTTAAAATGGACTGCAGCCTGGGTAAACCAGATCTATCTGTATTGTAGTGAGGTCTGCCTATGTACACCCAACATGACCCTCTTCTGCATTTTAATTGGGCATTTTAAGTAAAGTCCAATAATACAGTTTAGCATGAACTCTGTCTGCATCACACACATTCATTATGATTTTACTGAGCAGCATTTTAAATCCGCATATCAAAACCTTTTGGCTTTTAATTTACTATAATTTGACATTAGGCCCTTCATATTATGCTTCATTGTGCAGTCTCTGTGTAGTACATGCTGTCACATAGAATGTTTTATTCAGTATGGTCTCTCTGTATCACAGTGCAGTCTGCATATACATGGTCAGTACAGTATATCCCAGAACCTGCAGGTTCCCATGGCTCCATTGTCTGAGCCCAATGCTGTGGGGATAATCATTGCTCATGGTAAGTAAAAGATTAATGTTATTTCTGTGCCACATTTTAAGAGGTGTGTCTGCTCTATGCCATATTCTATTGATCTACAATTGCATGTTAACTTGTATTAACACAGGCAGTGTGGGGGATGCAGTGTCAGTCTCTCGTCCCAGTGTATACCTTTCAGATGATGGGGGCTACTCGTGGAGCCTTGTGCTGGATGGTCCACATCATTATGCAATCCTTGACTCGGGGGGGCTCATTGTGGCTGTAGAGCAAAGTGAACTTCCTATCAGCACAATAAAGTAAGTGATGAAATCGAACTGAGCGATTTCCTGGGTGGGTGTTTTCCAAATGTATGGGATGAACCACTGCAGAAAAATACAAAGGGAGATGGAAATACAAAGGGAATTTGTATGTTGGCACCATTCTAAATTGAGGATTGTGATAGTGTGGAGGCCATTACAATGAGCTCTGAGATAAATAGTTAAAACCATGTGTGAGGTGATTGTCTAGATGTGGCTTATATCGTACAGACCACTAACCCCTTAGACAAAATCTGGTTCATAAAGACCCAATGCTACTATAGGATGTCCTACTTATTTTGCATTTGCAGCACTATATAGCCCTGTAGCCAATAAAGTGATGGGACTTTCCATTTTGATATAGGATTGTTAAAGGCTGATTTGTTAGGAAATATTATGTCGTGTTTTTTTTTGTTTGTTTTTTTATTTTTTTTTATTCAACGTTTATTGCAGCATATGTTGCTGATATACAAGACAGGATTGCAAATCATTGCCACACAATGACAGAGTACATAGCTGATAGATAACAGTTATGGGTATTAAGATGTAAGTCGGTGCGAAATAACAAAATCTGCAAACATATAACAAGTAGTGTGGTGACACAACAATATATAAACCAAGATGCGTATATGTATTCTACATATAGCGAATAAATGAAAGAGCGTGTAGTGGTTCAATAAGACATTTGGTTTCCCAGCCGAAGCAGGTCCGCTTAATACAGCGCTTTGAAATTAAGCCTTAGTTGGCTTATGTGATAGTATGGCTTTGTCATGTTAGATTAGTCAAAGTTGACATGGGTGCGTATAAGATTCAGAGTGGCTAGGCCCAAGAGTGAACGAATGTTTCAGGAGTGTGTTATATAATATTACAGCATAATATTGGCCCTGTCAGACATGGGTAACTGATGACAAACAAAGTTTATGAAATGTAGGTACTTAAACTCAAAAAGAAAAGACAAGATAATAAAAATTGTATTTAAATAAATTTAAAAAAATTAATTAAACATTAGAACAAAGCACCAATGATCCGTGCCCAGGTGGGGAAAGAAAAATAAATAGTTTTATATACAAAAAATAAAATAGTTTTATTGAAAATCTGGTCCAATTCCCTATGGAGATGGGACAGAAAAAGGGGAAAGGCCTATGAAGATCCCCCCTCCGAACACCAGTGGACCGATGTCTCTGGGGGCCTTAAACAAGCACACAGCCAGGCGTTGCCAGATGCCAAATAAAAATAAATGAATAGGTAAATGATGGGGGAAAAAAATGGTTTGACATGACTGGTGTCCCTTTTACTGTCCAGTGGCTAGTTAAGGTCAGCAGTTAAGCAAACAAGGGTATGCAGGCTGTCAGCGACTTGTAAGCTTTGGGTCCCTTATGTTGTATAATCCTTCTCTCACCACCAATACTTCCAATTGGTATCCTTTTGAGAGAAATCCACTCTGCGTTGTGTTTTTAATAGTGAATGTAATATCCCTGTGTAACCTCTTCCAAGAACTAACATATATCTTTATCCCCTTATCCAGATAAATATACGACTAGAACTACTAAGGTATTCTACCCAATATTACAAATAAACAGCCAACACCATAGTTCTTACCAGAGAGAAATCTTTACTTAGAATCTGCCCAATTCAATATTACAGAAGAAGAATGTTACAGAGTTACAGTATTACAGTTACAATACATTCATAACACTCATACATTCCATCTATCTAATATCTACTGTATTGTGTATGTGCTGTGGGATGTTATGTGCAGCATGTGTCTTACCAAAACCTAATCTAATGTGATGTCAGTATCTTCTATTTTTAAAGGAATTGGTTCCCATGTTGTAAATAGCCAATTCCTCAGCTCAATTTGACATGGAAATGTGATTTCCTTTCCCAAGGCCCAAAGTGTTGTCTATCCTGTTATTTTATTTAAGTGTTAACTTTCCCAGCCATCCCTTTGTCTCTAACCCAATGTGTGTTTTCCTATATAGGGACTCCTTTGACCAGTTGATCTGTAAATGTGATTTCCTTTCCCAAGGCCCAAAGTGTTGTCTATTCTGTTATTTTATTTAAGTGTTAACTCTCCCAGCCATCCCTTTTCCTCTAACCCAAGGTGTGTTTTCCTAGATAGGGACTCCTTTGAAGACCAGTTGATATGTAAATGTGATTGGTGCCTTTCAGGTGCTGTATCTTTTCAGCTATCTAAACAGAAACTCCCTTTGAAGATAATTCCTGACCTCCCATACACACAGACTTAATCAAGCACATATTAAACAGATATATACATAATATTTTCCCCAACACTCCCCCACTTGAATAAGATCTAATAAGGAGATTATTCACATACAGCCCCGCCTCCCACTCTGATTTCTGTACATTAAAAAAAAATTAAAAAAAAAAATCAAAGGAAGACATAGACCCACACATATATTTTATATCCCTAAAATGGATGTGAGCTCTAATTTTTCCTGCTTTGTATGGATTTTTTTTAGTTCTTTCCTCCAACAGCAATATAAAATGAATAGAGAACAGATTAAAACAAATTGTAGACAAACAAATATTACAGAAGCAGTTCTTAATCCTGGGTGTGTGTAAGTATTGTAGGGTATGCTCCACCAGGGCTCTTGAAAACTATTTGTTAAATCATTAAGGCTAGCTACATTTTCCTTCACCAGCTCTTGCAATTGCACAACCCTTCGATTATTTCTTTTAAATAATGTATCCAAATCTACATTAAGTGGCGGGATTTTCTTAAAAAGTGAGGGAGCCATTTTATTCCAATTTCCTAGATCTTCCTGTACCACGTCCATAGATCTTTGTGTGAGTTGGATATTGGCTCTTATGACCTCTTTGCCCACTTTCATGGAGCCATAGGTAAGATTAACACACCATCCTGTTGGGGGTACCCTACATTGTATTGTTTGCTGCCACAGAACTGAAGATACTCCCAGTGCGCAGATCGTGGGACCCTGTCCGTGCACCACTCTTTTCCAACCATTTAGGGGTTTGTGAAGGTGAACAGGGCAGCTCCCTGAGTTTTCCACCATGCACCCATCTGCCTGGACTAGTGGTTCTAGTACACAGGAACAAAGCCAAGCATTACCACATCTGTCACAGCAACTGGGGTTGATAACTTTCCAGAACTGGTCTTCTTTTATTACTAAGCGAGTTTGTGGAAGGAATTGCTTTAAAACATTAGTGCGATTAGCCACTTCCAACTCACCAAACATAGTCATCTTATAAACAGGTACAGGCTGTTCTGTCCAAACTGGAATGTCAATTATTAATGGAATTACCTTTTTTCCTAATTTGCACTTATTGCACCAACCCTGCAGACCTTTAATTTTGGAAAGGACTACATTCTGACAATCTATGCCATATTCCCTAACCAGATCAAAGACTAGGGTAGAATTGATTATTCTGGGCCATTCCCCTCGTTTTATTTCTTGGAGGCCTAAATTTAGATGTTCGTCTAGTAAATTTCCAACTATACCACATACCATAGCTTTAGATACATTATTGTTATTAACTGATTCTCTGAGAGCATTCACAGATATATTGATCCACTGCAAATCTGCAGCAACTGTGTGAATGTTCTGTATCGTGACATCAGTTTCAGCTAGAGTGTTAAAATCCTCGTCCCTCTTTAAGCATAATTTGCTGCAACCCATTAACATAATTTTGTTCTCGTGAGTTAAGACCCTCTATGTCTGCCCTATTCCAAATTGATGTTCCCAAACTGAGTCCTGAGATTATATCAGTACCCAGATCCCTTTTTTCTCTCTCTCTAAACTTGAGCCCTTGTGTTGCATCCCAGAACAGATTAATATGTGCTTGAAATACATTTTTAAACCATTCTTTCATCATCTCTGGGCAACTCTCTGGTATATTAAATAATGAAAAATTTAACAATAATGGTAATGTTACATAAGATATATCAGTATACACAACAGTTTGTGTTGGTTGTAAGAAAAGGCCATGCTCTGGCCACAGGGTGGTAGTTGGACAGTCCTGAATTGCTGGGTCAACTGTATCATGTAATCCAGTCTGATGGGGGCTGCATGTTACAACACCATCCTGGGAAAATGTAAAATTTCTTTCAAGCAGCATCTTTATCCTCATTTCATTTGTGGTATTGGCCCAAAATATACTTGTACTCTTATGTAAATCACTTCCTCCTGGATATTTCCAAACTGCAAATTCAGAGGGAAGGTTAGTTTCAGGCATTGAAATATTACATTGTACCACTATCCACCCCCCTATAGGCCCAACCGCTGTAAGATTATCTTTACATGTAACGTCAGGTGATTGTTCCTTTACTTTTAATGTTACAATGATATTCTCTGAATCTTCTGAACTCCTTTTCTCCCTATGATAACCCTCTACTGGAGTACTCTGATGTACCATTTTATTGTTATTCTTCTTCATGACATTCCCTTTTGCTAAGCTATACAATATATACATAGAAAACGATACACATAACCACCACATCACGACAGCTGTTTTCTTGCACTTCATATTCCTTATGTGGGCTGCTCTTCCAGGGATCCACACCATCTCCTATTATCTGGAAAAGAGAACTAAGAGAATATGTTAACATTTACATTAACTTGGCACATCATTTTTTCCTCTAAAGGCTTTTATTTGACATGCATGCGTCCATCTAAAGTTCTCATCTCCCACATCTAACAAATACACAGAGGGTCCAATTTTGTCAAGCACAAAATATGGACCTTTCCATTTAGGTTTTGGAAATGGGTGGTGAGGGGAAAAATCTTGCAACATTACTCTGTCTCCAATCTGATGCTCTGTTATATCCCCTTTTGCATTAAACCATTTTTGAGTGGCCTTGTGAGTGCATTCATCGGTAGCACAGAGAGATTTATGTACTGTCAAAATATGCTCTTTCAGATTTCCAACCCAGGCTTCAGATAATGCTACTGTGTCTAGGGCGGGTGGGAGAGGATTTAGTAAATGTTCCCAAGTCCTCATAGTTCTCCCTAATAAAGCTTCATAAGGGGCAAACCCTGTTGATCTGCACACTCTGGAACGAATAGTTGATAGAACAAATGGTAATTTTTCATCCCAGTCTGTTCCTTGTGAATTCACAACCTTTTTTAATGCATCTTTTACAGTCCTATTCATTCTTTCAACCTGCCCAGAAGATTCTGGGTGATAGAATATGTGAAACTTGTGAATTATTCCCAGTAAGTTACATGTTTCCGCTATGACATTACTAATAAAGGCTGGTCCACTATCACTGTCCATAACCTTTGGAATTCCCCACCTGCTGAAAATTTCTTTCACAAGTATTCTGGCTGTATTGATCGCAGTACAATTTTTTGTTGAAAATGCCTCTACCCAATGACTAAATGAGTCAACTACCATAAGAATGTATTTATTTTGGTGGACAGTATTCGGTAGTTCACCAGTATAATCAATTTGAATACGTTCCCATGGTCCCATGGGTGCCTGTCTCATCAAAGCCCCCCTCCTTTTCCTGTTAGTAGGATCATGTCTAGCACATTCTAAGCAGGATTGTATGTGATCCTCCATATGTACAATACTTTGGGGCCACCAAGCTACATGGTCTAATCTTTCACTTGCTAACTGGAGCTTTGGGTGCCCTCCTACAGGAGAGCCATGAATCCACGTGAGAATATCTTTTCTCACCCCTTTTGGAGCAAACCAAACTGGAAAATCCTTCCTGTCTGTGACAAGCAGGCCTTCTTTTAAATACAACTCCTGCCCTTCATAGACTATTGGTCCTGCCTCACAAGATTTTCTCAGTGCTCCTATTTCCTCATCTTGTTCTTGTAGTTTAGCCAATTCACCTGTCCTCTCCTTTGTCTCTTTTGCCTGTGCCCTTGTTATAGCAGCTACGGGTATTGAAGTCATTGCTGTTAATAAAGGCCATTCAAGGGCAGCTTCTGCTGCCTCTTTTGCCAGTTTGTCAACTTTGTTATTATGGTGATGTTCTACTGTCTCCTTTCTATGAGCTTGCACCTTCCTGATATTGACTTTAACAAAATATTTAGCATTTTCCTCTATGGCTTGCCATAATGATGCATACTTTATCTCACTGCCATCCGTTCCTTTGAAACCCATCATTTTCCACCATGGTAGATACACCGCAGCTCCTTTACATACCTGATCTGAATCAGAAACAATATTAACAACACCACCATATTCCTCCATTTTCTTAAGAACTTGCAACAGTGCAGCTATTTCAACATACTGTGCTGACACGGCCTTACACGAAAATGCAAACTGATCCTGAATGTGACCCTCTTTCACACATATACCAGCAAATCCTGCTATCCTATGGCCATCTTTGTAATATGATGACCCATCAATGTACCAACATTCTGTGAGGGGATCAAAGGGTTCTGATACAGCTTTGAACACATCATGTTGTAAACTAGCTCCAAAGACTTTACATGTATGAGGTTCACCCTCTATATGGAGCCCTCCCACCAACACGCTAGGCTCTTTCAACATCAATCCTTTTATGTTTTCTGATAATAAAGCAGTAGTCCATCTTGCAAGTCTTTTACTGTTTACATCACCTTCTTTCCATTTTCCATTTGCTAGCAAAACTAAAGGAGTATGGTGACTAGCAATTACAACAGTCTGAGTCCCAGTTAAATATCTGAATTTGTTTATTGCCCAATAGCAACATAATACCATTCTAGTGCACAAAGGATACTTTTGTTCCACTTGTGTCAACAACCTTGATGCATAAGCTATAGGTCTTTGTTTTCCAAAACACTCTTGAGTCAAAACAACTGACAATGATGTGGGGCCAACATGTGGATACATCCTGAATTCTTTATTTGGATCAGGGGCAGCTAAAGTTGGGGCATTTCCCAATGCATGTTTTAGAGTCTCTATAGCCTGTGTATGCTCTGCCTCCCATTTCCACTTATTTTTCAAAAGATCATATAAGCACTCTGTCATTTCTGCATACTGAGGAACAAAGTCTCTGCAAAATCCAGTCATACCAAGAAATTGCCTTAAGCAACGTTCATCTGTAGGTAGAGGAATTTTCCCAATCAACTCTACTCTTTGTTCATTAATACTCCGCCCTGACTTCCCTATGGTAACCCCAAGAAATTGAACTTGCTCTTTTCCAAGCTGTATTTTTTTAGGATTTAATTTTAATCCTGCTTCTCTCAAAAGCTGCAACAATTCTTGGACATCATTTTTATGCTCCTCCATTGAAGGAGAACCTAGCAAAATGTCATCCACATACTGAACAATCCTTTCTGACTTTGAAAATCTATCTACCACTTCCTTCATAACACTCATACATTCCATCTATCTAATATCTACTGTATTGTGTATGTGCTGTGGGATGTTATGTGCAGCATGTGTCTTACCAAAACCTAATCTAATGTGATGTCAGTATCTTCTATTTTTAAAGGAATTGGTTCCCATGTTGTAAATAGCCAATTCCTCAGCTCAATTTGACATGGAAATGTGATTTCCTTTCCCAAGGCCCAAAGTGTTGTCTATCCTGTTATTTTATTTAAGTGTTAACTTTCCCAGCCATCCCTTTGTCTCTAACCCAATGTGTGTTTTCCTATATAGGGACTCCTTTGACCAGTTGATCTGTAAATGTGATTTCCTTTCCCAAGGCCCAAAGTGTTGTCTATTCTGTTATTTTATTTAAGTGTTAACTCTCCCAGCCATCCCTTTTCCTCTAACCCAAGGTGTGTTTTCCTAGATAGGGACTCCTTTGAAGACCAGTTGATATGTAAATGTGATTGGTGCCTTTCAGGTGCTGTATCTTTTCAGCTATCTAAACAGAAACTCCCTTTGAAGATAATTCCTGACCTCCCATACACACAGACTTAATCAAGCACATATTAAACAGATATATACATAATATTTTCCCCAACACCTTAGGGCGCCGATCATCCGTCCGGCTCCCCCAATCAGTCCTATCCCACTCTCAGAGTATTCTGTAGTACAGTGGGCACTCAGAGGCAGGGTAGTCCACTAGGCCCCCCCACCAAGAGTCCATGGATCATCTGCCACCTGCACCTTCAGAGTCTCCAAAATACATGTGTCCCCATATGTCTCACCCATCACAGGCCACACACTTGGTGCACGCATGCGTCAACCGCGGATACCGGTATACCAGAGAGTTGCACAACCCAGCCCCACAGGGCTCACTATGCTGGGGACAAAATCTCTCCGGGCCACCCTCGTACCCAGCTAATTGGGTCACCACAATTTCAGTAGGCAGGCCACCCAGTGGGCTCTAGCAGTAGGTCAGCAGCCCCTCGGGGCACAGTGGTCCTATGATGCAGCCTAGGTCTTCAGGTCAGTATACCGTCTTGCAGCCATTGATAGAAGCAAAAGTGATGTTGCAGTTGTGCTACCCTCAATAATGATCCATAGTACGACCAGGGCTCAGATCCGTGGGGCGGGATAACCCCCACCGGCCAAGGAGGGCAGCGGGGACAGGCCTCAATCTGTCATGTGCTGTGATCAGTGTGGACTCATGATTTGTATTTCCATCTGCCTTGTGGCCTGTATCAGCAGACTGGTGAGTTGTATATTATGTGGCTCAATAGTACACGTAGGCCCGGAGCGCTGGCGTGTATAGGTAGGTGCTGCGATCTGTACCAAACCGCGATCCCTGGAATTCCAGTAACTTCCGCTTCATTGATTAGTATCTGATGTTTTGAGGGGCACTGTGGGTGCCTTGTTTGCCGATTTATAGGGCCCGGAGCCGAGGGAAATGGCTGCGGCTCAGCTCGGCAGCCCCGCCCCGCCTCCCATGTCATTGGTTCTTAACCACTTATGGACCACGTTATGTGATTGTCTGTGTAAGTCTTTAACGCCCATTGATGACACAGACTGTCATGCCTTAAAAGTACTGGTAACCTCAAATAACTGCTGTACCAGGGAGACCCAGGTATCATTGGATATCTGAAGGACCTCTGTGTCAGTAGGGGCACAATTTGTGTATCCAGACTGACCGATAAGCTATATAAATAGCGCTTAAAGTGAGCGCTGCATGTAGACTTTTAAATCCCCACAGTGATTTTGAGTCTGCCGCCACAACGAGAGAGACGCCCCGTGGTCTTAAAAAAAATTAAAAAAAGAAAAGAAAAAACTGTTCACGTCTCTATGCAGACCTCACTGTTCAGTGATCAGTGCTGGGCTTTGACAGGTGCTCAGCACTGGTCACTTTGTGCAGAAGCTGCAACATGAGAGATCTTCTTGTGCTGCAGTCACAAAGTACAGCAGAGAAATTCCTCTGTGTTGGGATTAGGGTTAGCACTGTGAGTTGGATTATGCGTAGGATTAGTGGAAAGATTAGGATGGGATTAGGACCAAAGGTATACAAATGGGATATCATTGTACTCCAGAAAAGTAGCAGAATACAAATATTGGGTCTTTACAGTAGTGGGAACATATATGTGGTCTGTGAATTCCCCAAAAGAGAACCACGCCAATTTAAATGTAATCTTGACTAAAGTTAGTGATAAAATGGTTAAACAAAAAGGGTTAAAATCCTTCATAAAGGGGAAGAGCCTGACACCTGAACGGAGTGGATGTGCAGAGCCTGAGCTCCTGTATTTTGGGGTGCTGATCCCTGCCAACTTGCACCAACTCCCACCTTAGAGTAGCATCAGTGCCTGGTCCCCAGAGAAACAATCAGAAGCTTCCCATAAGCCTACAGCCTGTCTGTGACTCGAGACTCTGTGTGAGCGACTGGGGACGGAGAGGGGGAGAGGCGGCCGATCTCCTTGCCTTCAAGATTCCAGTCCGGTTCCACTGACCTTTTTGTGGTATTACACACATCTGTCTATAGAAACTGGTTACCTATGTATTTTAAAATGTAGAGAGCTTTTTTAAAAAAAAGACCTCTTTACCCTTTTCTTTCTATGTATTATTTTTATTTTTTTTATTTCCTCCTCCCTACTTTAACTTTTCATTATCCCCCAGATTTTCAACAGATGAAGGACAATGTTGGTTTAATTATACATTTACCAATGACTCTGTTATGTTCACTGGTTTGGCATCTGAGCCAGGTGCTCGTTCCCTAAATGTCACAGTATGGGGTTATCGCCCAAGCTACCAGCAACGTGTCTGGGTGTCTTACACTGTTGACTTTGCCGTTCTCCTCCAGAAAATCTGTAAGTACCCCTGTAACATCATGATCGTTGTGCATATTTAAACAAAATAGAATTTATCATCAGCCTAATAAAAACCTATACACCTGAAAAGTCTCAATGTACGCCATGCCAGATATTCTGGGCTATCTACATTCCCATAAATGTGCTATAATCTGTGTGTAAAATACTAGAGAAATAAAAGGATATTGGTTTAAAATTTCACTCCAAGCTCCATAACCACTACAGCCTGGAGCCCAGGTCAAGTTGTTCTAAATGGGCAATTCTGGAACCTTTTGATTGTGGTGTTTGGAGCATTCATTTAATCTCCTTTAGTACCAGAAGGTGTTTTTTGTTTTTTTATATATAAATGATTATGTATTTATTATGGAAGTGTGCAACACATTAAGCATTAGAGCATTGTATTGTCAAGAACACTCTGATATATACTGTATTATATGTTAATGGACTAATTAAACGTAGAAACTGTTTTACCAGGATTCACTGAGATTGAATTTGAAAAGCACTAATTTTGTCCATCTATTAATTGATATAATAGGTTCTGGTCTTGGTCTTAACATATTTTATAGGCCTAAAACTAAAATTCTTTTTATAAAGAACTGAATAAAATTTCTTCTCACCACCATAATATAAAAATGTAAAAAGTGTGCATGTGGTGATTAAATCCAAGAAGACGCGTTGATACCTTTTGTGAAGCCAGGTGGAAATATAGCTTCCCATATTTACAAATTCTATTCTCTCTGAAACCTTCCTTACACCTTTACTTGCCATTCTTTGCTGCCCCACTTTATTTCTCTCCACAGGTGTTGAGGATGACTATATTAAGTGGTTGTCACATTCAACGGACCCCGGTGCACCAGCTGATGGTTGTGTTTTAGGATATAAAGAGCATTATCTACGTCTCCGAAAATCTTCCATGTGTCAAAATGGACGGGACTATTTTGTGAACCGAGAAAACACATATTGTACTTGCACGCTTGATGACTACATGTGGTAATAGCACATATACTAATTTTTTATTTCTTCCTGGGAAAGTGTACTCGAAGACCCCCTAGTGCCATTTATCTGACTCTGTTCTCTCTTTCCAGTGACTTTGGATATTTCCGTAAGGAGAATGAGTCTGAATGTCATGAGCAGCCAGAGCTCCGAGGCCATGAGCTAGATCTGTGTTTGTTTGGAGAAGAGGAGAAACTCACAACCAGTGGGTGAGTGAATGTTGATTCTTCTTACTAATCCTTGACAGAAGTAGCATTGCCCTCTGTTTTCATGGAATTCTGAAAGACATTCTTAATCTCGAGTTGGGATTGAATATTCCTCAGGAAAGAAGCAGTAGAATACAATCATCTTTTATGTCCTATTATTCTAATTCTGTTGGGTTCCTATGAGTTTCTACATAGTCCTCGATTTTAATCTGTTTGTGGTTATTTCTGTTGCTGATCCAAGCTATTGAAAAAAGTATTCAAATGATTTATTTACAGAAGTAACCATTAAAGTCCATGGGATTTTTTAGATCATTTTTAGATCAATCATTTTCATTTAGTTCATTTTTTTCTAACAGATTATGATCATTTCTGATGCTGAGATCATAGTAATTTTTATGGATCTTGAAGGAAGTACCTGCTAGGAGAGAATAGGTGTTTTTACAGATCAGACACATTGGCTTTCTTGCTTTACGCAGGACATCCCAAAAAGTGTATTATGTCTATGATGGTTGAATTATATAAACATATATTCCAAACGCTATAGTATTCTAGAACCTGTTTAGATGGAATTATGAGCTTCTCTAAAACCAAACCAGCACAGAAGGTTCCTAACAGAGCCCTGTGGTCTCTAGGCCCAACCAATGCTGAATAAGAGTTCTGTGAACTTTCCAGCTGGTATATTGCTTCTCAACAGCAGACCGCCTTTGCAATAAGGTTAATGATATTAAGTTGCTAAAATGATTGCACTTCATAGGAGGAAGGGCTATAGAAAAAATGAAAAGAAAGTTACCATCTCATCCCAATGTGCATGCCACAGTTTACACAAGAAACTTTTAATGTGACTGAAACTTTCACAATCCCCTTTGGAAGAAAAACAGCTACATAAAACCTTGTAGTAGTATCTTTTTCTTTCTAAATTTTTCATGCTTCGCTTACTGAGCCTTTAATATGAGTAGGTGTGTTGGGAGCTGTAGTTCTATGAAAGCTGCTTAATTCTAAGTGGTATTTTCATTTTGGCCATTTTGTATATATTCTCTGACCCCATTTTTGAGATTCACTGTGGAGTCGAATTTTAGGCCAAAGTATATCAGAACCGGAATTCTCCAATGCTACTTTTTTATTTTTTTCATCTTTGTCAAAATTCCCTAACTAACCATGCCAGTGTACCCGAAGTCTCTCATTATTTTGTAATGTCTGCAGCTACAGAAAGATTCCTGGAGATAAGTGTGCGGGAGGAATGAATCCAGTGCGAGAGGAAATGGACCTGAGAAAAAAATGCACAAATGGCCTAGAACAAAAATCACAGGTACAAAAACATTAAATCCACACTGAACCGAATATTCCTTTTCACTTGCATTCCTTTCTAGTTTGGTTTCATGTAGGGAAAGGAAGGGAACATGAACAGAATAAAAACTTCATTTTAAAAAGGTCCCTTCTGAGCGCTATAACCACAACAGCTTATTACAGTCGTGATTGCGCAAGGAATCTATTTTGTGCAAGTCTACTATATATATATATATATATATATATATATATATATATATATATATATATATATATATATATATATATATATATATATATATATATACATATATATATATATATATATATATAATTTTTTTTTTTTTAAATGAAGTGACGTGTACAGTGAATGTATTATAGTGCATACCTCCATCTTCCCACAATCCCTTGTACACATTTTCTCATGCCTGAATCGTTGCATGTATGCATTAGTTTCACATATGTATTTTCTAAAGGGATTCTATAGTGTAAGGAATACAACCGTGCATTCCTCACACTGTAATTCCCATGGCCCCATTCCCACCCTTCCCCGGCATGGAAAAGGTTAGAAAACCTTTTTAGCACTTACCTGATTCCAGCACCGGTCTCTCTGACATGGGAGGGTGTTTAGGAAGCTAATGCGCATATATGCTGGGCGCATTTGGCCCTCCCCTTTGCTTCAATGCTTTCCTATGGGGATTTTACAGCCACTAGAGGCAGTCTTAGTCCTGCAATGTAATGATGTAAACATTGCAGGACTAAGTGGGACTGGGACCAGACCACATCAATAAGCTGATGTGGTCTGGGTGCCTATACAGGGAGTGCAGAATTATTAGGCAAATGAGTATTTTGACCACATCATCCTCTTTATGCATGTTGTCTTACTCCAAGCTGTATAGGCTCGAAAGCCTACTACCAATTAAGCATATTAGGTGATGTGCATCTCTGTAATGAGAAGGGGTGTGGTCTAATGACATCAACACCCTATATCAGGTGTGCATAATTATTAGGCAACTTCCTTTCCTTTGGCAAAATGGGTCAAAAGAAGGACTTGACAGGCTCAGAAAAGTCAAAAATAGTGAGATATCTTGCAGAGGGATGCAGCACTCTTAAAATTGCAAAGCTTCTGAAGCGTGATCATCGAACAATCAAGCGTTTCATTCAAAATAGTCAACAGGGTCGCAAGAAGCGTGTGGAAAAACCAAGGCACAAAATAACTGCCCATGAACTGAGAAAAGTCAAGCGTGCAGCTGCCACGATGCCACTTGCCACCAGTTTGGCCATATTTCAGAGCTGCAACATCACTGGAGTGCCCAAAAGCACAAGGTGTGCAATACTCAGAGACATGGCCAAGGTAAGAAAGGCTGAAAGACGACCACCACTGAACAAGACACACAAGCTGAAACGTCAAGACTGGGCCAAGAAATATCTCAAGACTGATTTTTCTAAGGTTTTATGGACTGATGAAATGAGAGTGAGTCTTGATGGGCCAGATGGATGGGCCCGTGGCTGGATTGGTAAAGGGCAGAGAGCTCCAGTCCGACTCAGACGCCAGCAAGGTGGAGGTGGAGTACTGGTTTGGGCTGGTATCATCAAAGATGAGCTTGTGGGGCCTTTTCGGGTTGAGGATGGAGTCAAGCTCAACTCCCAGTCCTACTGCCAGTTCCTGGAAGACACCTTCTTCAAGCAGTGGTACAGGAAGAAGTCTGCATCCTTCAAGAAAAACATGATTTTCATGCAGGACAATGCTCCATCACACGCGTCCAAGTACTCCACAGCGTGGCTGGCAAGAAAGGGTATAAAAGAAGAAAATCTAATGACATGGCCTCCTTGTTCACCTGATCTGAACCCCATTGAGAACCTGTGGTCCATCATCAAATGTGAGATTTACAAGGAGGGAAAACAGTACACCTCTCTGAACAGTGTCTGGGAGGCTGTGGTTGCTGCTGCACGCAATGTTGATGGTGAACAGATCAAAACACTGACAGAATCCATGGATGGCAGGCTTTTGAGTGTCCTTGCAAAGAAAGGTGGCTATATTGGTCACTGATTTGTTTTTGTTTTGTTTTTGAATGTCAGAAATGTATATTTGTGAATGTTGAGATGTTATATTGGTTTCACTGGTAATAATAAATAATTGAAATGGGGATATATTTGTTTTTTGTTAAGTTGCCTAATAATTATGCACAGTAATAGTCACCTGCACACACAGATATCCCCCTAACATAGCTATAACTAAAAACAAACTAAAAACTACTTCCAAAAATATTCAGCTTTGATATTAATGAGTTTTTTGGGTTCATTGAGAACATGGTTGTTGTTCAATAATAAAATTAATCCTCAAAAATACAACTTGCCTAATAATTCTGCACTCCCTGTAGTGTCCATTTAACTGAAGACTTATACTGATTTCTTATTTCCCTTTAGTACTATTTAAACTGGACCCATCACCTTATTACATGGTAACCCCAGTATGTGATATTGACTAATTTTGTAGATGTGAGTGTGCCAGAGACAAAATATCCTTGCATCTGCTTCCATTGTGCCAGATATGCATGTGACTGCTTAGGCATTCCTGTAACAACCTGGCATAGTAGATCTCTCATTATTATTAATAATAATACTTATCTTAATATGTAATGGGATTTCTCACAAGGACATTGTGGAACTGTGAATCACCGTAGGTTGAGAATTACCCATTTGAAGTCTTACAAGGTTAGTTACTAAAGCGGGATTTAACAATTCTTATTTTAGTGAATAACCCTGATAGATAGATATCATACTTCTTTGTAAGTCTTATTTTTTTTTGCTGTCTCTTTAGGATGGAGCGTACTCGAGCCGAATCCCTGTCATTCTATCGGTGGTTATTGTTCTACTAGTTGCTGTTGCTGCTGCTGTCCTGATAATCAAAAAATATATCTGTGGAGGGAGGTGAGAGTGATGGGTTTGTAGGGAGCAGTTAGATCTCTTAACAGTACACATTTTTCAATGACCCATTTGTGTCTTGCAGATCATTGAATCCCATTTTTCTATTCTGCTCATTTTTTTCAATACAGGTTCTTTGTGCATCGATACTCTGTCCTGAGACAGCATGCCGATACACAGGGGGATGAGCCACTTGACACCAGTATTACAGATCCACGACGGGGCGGTCATTTTCATGATGACTCTGATGAGGTGAGAGCGTGTTTAACCTGTTGGAAACCTCAATTTGTAAAGATTGAACAGGTTTCAATCTGTTTTTTTTGTTTCTTTTTTCTTTCTTTTTAGGATCTTTTAGAGTGATATCTGCTGCACTTTGCTGTGGCCTAAAGGATCATATGAGAGCCAGCTCAAGGCTTGAATAGTTGAATTGATTTATGGACTTCACTTCAAGAGGAAGTTCAAGTGAGCTCAAGGATGCTGGAGTGTATCAGGAACTCCTTTCTCATCCTGCTCCTGGCAGCAACTCAGTAGCTGGAATGTTGACATAGCTATTTACAGAATATGGATGGGGATGATATTGATGGTGGCAGCTTGCGGTGAAAAGCCTTTACCTATGAGTAATTATCTACCAGCTCCAGGATGTCTCCAGTTTTCTCTGCAAATATTCTTTCTTCTCCACCCCTCCCCCCCCTTTTTTTTTTTTCTTTCATTTTGATTGTTGCAAGCTTTTTGGGCTGAAATGATTTGGCAGTTAATTAAAACACTGTATATACAGATTATCGCAAAACATTCAATTATGTTTAATGCACTGGTTTAAGGTTTAGGTAGTTTTAAATTTCTGTGCATCTTTGTAAAAAAAAAAAAAATAAATAAAAAAAAATCCCCTTTAAACTCAAGCAATAATGGACTTCAATGGGGACTTTTCTCTTTGCATAACAGCTCCTTCAAAGAAAAATAGTTTCCAATTTACCCATGGATCTTTAAAATTGCATTACTATTGTATATACTTTTTATTTTGTAATATTTGCCCTAGATGCTGAAATGTGACCGTGTTAGACCAGGGACAGTATGAAAAAAAAATACAGTATGGGAAAGCATGTTAAAGCACTTAAGTCAGTGGACAAGCCTTGTTACCATAGGGAATATATATATATATATATATATATATATATATAATATATTCCCCATGGAAATTTAGACACTGATAAATTTTGCTTACATTTTATTATACCTTTTTAGGTTCACTTTCCATGTTTTCCGCATCTTAGTAAATCTCTGCCCCTTTCTGTGTATGTATATTGTGGTGCAAAGTATATAGCACTAAAGAGTGGGAGGGCTGTATATAGGTTCGGTGATTTACTTTATATTGGACTTTCTCTGTATATTTGTGCTATAAAACTGTCAGAATAAATAATTTAAATTTTATTCTGTTGCTTTTTTTATTTTGTTTTGCCTTTAAAAGTAGGATTTATTTTGCAGCAGGGCATAAAGCGACATGATGCCATTGATTTTATTCAATAGTATCTGGAATCTTAAATTTGAAATTACTTTTAGCAAGTCTGTTTGAGTGCAGGGTACAGTACATCGTTTTAACTGGTTTTCCTGATTATGGTCTGGTTCACATTAAATCTTTCTACGTTCAATAATTGTTTGGTTATTCAAGAATTTGTACCATGAGGGAGTACTTGGGCCATTTGAAAATACTTTATAAAGTAATCTAGAAAGGTATGATTTACCACTCACATCATCTTCCAAATATATTTACAGATTTTCATAAAACCTAAAGGTGTTTTTGTATGCAATCCTTGCACCTACTACTACAGTAAGCTTTTTGGCTGTTGTCCTTATTGTTTTTGATTGACTAAAACTGTGAGAATTTTGAGAACAAATGTTCTCAAATGTTGCTTTCCCACTGGAGATAAGATGAAGTGGAGATAAGATGAAGGGGTACTAACAGAAGAAAAACCAACAGGAGAGAAATAAAGTAATCAATGGGAGAGCGAGAAAATTAGAGGTGAAGAGCAAATAGATTGATAAAGTAAAATTTGGAGAGGTCAGCTACAGCGGGGAAAGAGAGAGAACAAGGAGCAATGTGTAAGGGAAGTGAAATAAAATATGGAAGAATTATCTAAGGAAGCTAAGAGTGAGAGGCATTGAAAGAGAGACCGAACAAGCTTTGGAATTAAGTTTCATGATTTTAATGCAGATAAGGTTATTTACAAATGAAGGCCATAACCGCCAAATTGCTAAAATCCTGCTATTTTGATCTAAAATTGTGAAACTCACACTTTGATGAATAATACTATAACAAGGTTATTTACTAAACTATGAATTATATCTGAATTGCAAAATTAAAGCCAAAAATTGTAACGATGGCTGAGCTGTGGAATTTATCATGATAAACTAAATTTGCCTTAGTTTTTTTTTTTTTTTTACATTCTTTATTTTAACGGTTTGTCATTTGTACAAGGGGTGGTACAACAGTATACAGATAACAATGTTTAGTCCGGTTGTCGTAACAGCGCCCACTACATCTCACTATTTCTGCAGGGGAGTCCCTGGGTGTCTGAGACCCCCCCTCGGTTGTGCCTCAAGATCGACCCAAGCGATGGGGTCAACTTTTTGTGAGTAGTCATCTTTGATGGGGAAGTGATAGCGGAGCATTATAGCTAGTGGTTGGGATGAGAGGTTCAACACCCCTGTGTGAGTCGGGGGCGATAGTCAGCCCTCGTCCTTTTCAGTAGTTGGGGGTTCGGATATCCCTCGGCCACCCCACCTGGGTCAGTTCTGTGTGGGCCTGGAGTCTGTGTCCATAGTTAGCCGGTGTGTGTGTGTGTTATCATCGTGCGGGGCTCTGATTGGTCCCACATCCCCATCTTCTCTAGCAGTGGACGAAGGGCGGTGTTGGATGTACGCCCCTTGGTTTGTGTTTACCCCCCCTCCTTGTCTTGCGGGTCCTTTCATGCCTTTCATCTGCGTTTATTACCTCCCCTCCTCTTAGTCATCTAGTGTCTCTCTCAGGCGAGTAGAACATTAGTGTTCAAGGTTCGTGGTCGTGAAGTTTATGTTAGTGGGTCTGTTTGTTCTGAGTCGTAGGGTCAGTCGTTTCGTGCGTTTGTGGTTATCTAAGCTAGGTATAGTGGGACAGTGGTTAAGGGCGTATCGAAGGTGAGGTCTGTGTGGAAGTCGATGGCCAGGTAGCTATCCATGTGCGTGTGTATCAGTCCGAGGCAGTGTCCACTGGGTCGATCAGTCAGAAGGTAATCAGCGACGCGGGAGGGGGGGAATGGGATAAGGGTAAGGGAGCGAGGGAGGGTCACGCCCCGCCACCGGCCAGAGCCCCGCGGTGCCCTACTCAGTCGCCCGTCCGGGTCCCGGCCGCGTCCGCCCCTCCACATGTGCAATCCAGGGCGCTCACAGCCGGGCGTTGCTCTCCTGTGTTCCTCATATCTCAGCTGTCGCCCCGTTATAAGGGTGGGTCCATAGGTTATTGTCCCGTGTTGGGTTCTGTGTCCACACCACCGAGGGGAGTCGGTCACCAGCTTGCCCCCTTTCCATGAGTACCCATTGCTTATCCTTGGTGGGGACGTTCCAGTCTATGATCCGCAGGAGGTGGGTAGCTAGGTAGTAAGCTCGTAGGGACGGCAACCCCATGCCCCCTCTGTCTCGGGAGGGCTAATTGTGTTTGTTTAATTCTCGGGGGGGGCGGTTGCCCAGATAAACTCGGTGATTGCGGAGCACAAGGTGCGGAAGTAAGCTGGTGAAATCGTGATCGGGAGGGTTTGGAATAAGTTCAAGAGGCGCGGTAGCAGGTTCATCTTCACCGCGCTAATGCGCCCAAACCATGTGACATACATGCATCCCCACCTCAGTAGGTCTTTGCGTAGTGTCTGAAGCATGGGGAGGAAATTTTCCTGATAGAGCCGCGTGGGTTCTCTCGTCAGCCAGATTCCTAGATACTTGATGCTGTGTGAGCACCATTTAAAGGGGAGGTTCGCTGTTAGCCTGTCTACTATCTCCTGTGGGAGGGACAGAGGTAGAGCCTCTGATTTGTCAGGGTTGAGCTTAAAGTTGGAGATTGTCCCATATGTGTTGAATGCGGCTAAGAGGTTGGGCAGTGTGACCTCCGGGTTGCGTATGAAAAAGAGCAAATCGTCAGCGTACACAGCTACCTTATGTTTCCTTCAATGCCCCGATCCCGCCTGGCCGCCTCCAAAAATGGCTCTAGAGAGAGGGCAAACAGAAGGGGGGACAGGGGGCACCCCTGTTGCGTCCCATTCCGGATGTCAAATGTCCGGGAGAGGACTCCATTTATGTGTAGTTGTGCCTTGGGGGCCGTGTATAGGGCCGAGATCCATTTGAGGATCTGGGGACCGAATCTCATAGCCCACAGGGTGGCCTGCAGGAAATGCCAGTCCACCCGGTCAAACGCTTTTTTAGCATCCGTTGAGAGGAGGTGCATTATGTTATGCGCCCTGATGGTGTTGTCTTTTGCCTCTCTCCCAGGGATGAATCCTGTTTGATCCGGGTGGACCAGGGTCGGAACCAGTCGGCCAATTTGCTGTGCCAGGATCTTAGTGAATAGTTTGAGGTCGGCGTTGAGTAGGGTTATAGGTCGGTAACTAGAGCACGCCGTGGGATCCTTTCCATCTTTAGGTATTACCACGATAGTAGCTAGCAGTGTGTCGCCTGGGAAGCGACCGTCTTCTAATAGTGAGTTCAGGCCGCTCAGCAACTCCGGTAGCAGAATGTCTCCAAAGGTCTTGAGGTATTGTGCGGGGAGGCCGTCTGGACTGGGAGCTTTGTGTAGATGTGTGGTTTTCAGGGCCGCCGAGAGTTCCTCTAGTGTGATGGGGGCATCTAGCTCCTCCCTGTGCTCCTGCGTAATGGTTCGAGTCACGTTCTGTTCCAGGTACTCCCGCGTCAATCTGTGTCTGTCGTTGCGCAAGGTCCGTCGCTGTAGCTGGTAGGTTGTAGAGCTTAGTGTAGAACTCCTTGAATCCTCCTACAATCTTGTCAGGGATCTGGGTGAGAGGGCCGCCACGCGTTTTGATCTTGGTGATTTGGCACCTCCTCTGCTTTTGTTGGAGCATCCTCGCCAGCATGCGGCTACACTTGTTGGAGTATTCATTGAAATGTCGGTTGGACTTACAGAGCGAGTGTGCAAGTTTCTGCGATAATAATTGCTGTAGTTCCCTACGGGTCTCCATTAGTTCTCGTGTGTGATTTCTGAGAGGGAGGCCTTGTGTTCCGTCTCGAGTTGGGCAGCCCTCCTATGCAGTGCAACGATTCTCGCACCCTGAGCCTTCTTCCATGCTGTGCAAACCTTAATAAAATATCCCCGGACCACACACTTATGGTCCTCCCAGCGGGTCAGTTGTGGGGTCTCTCCTGCCCTGTTGTCCTCGAAGTAGTGCTGCAAAACCGTTCTAGTTAATAGCCGTTCATTTAATTTCCATTGCCTGCCCTTGGGTTTGTGCAGGGGTGAAGCCAGGAGGGTCAGCATTGGCGAGTGGTCCGACCACGCGACGGCGAGGATGGCGCTGGTTTGCAGGAGAGAGAGGTATTCCCGTGCTATCAATATGTAGTCGAGGCGGCTGTACCCACGGTGGACTGGGGAGTAATAAGTAAAATCCCTGTCATCAGGGTGCAGGACCCGCCAGTTGTCCGCCAGACCTGCGGCCCTGATTGCCGCTTGTGTTGCCCTGAGGCAGCGCGCTTCGGCCTTTGGAGGTGTCTACTCGCGGGTCCATGGGTAGGTTGAGGTCACCGGCCACTACAAACAGCCCTTCACGGAAGTGATCCACCAGTTTGAGTGTTTTTGGAGATGAAAATGTGTTGCTTGGTGTTTGGCACGTAGATAGAGACGAAAGTGTACTTTCTATGCGCGATCATGCCCTTGATGAATAGGTATCTCCCCAGTGGGTCCGCTTTTTTGTCTGTACAGTTGACGGGTGTGTGGCTGGCGAAAAGGATGGCCACCCCCGCTCTTTTAGCCTCCCTATGGTTCGAAAAGAACCCCAGTGGGAACCTCTGGTCCCTGAGCGTGGGGCCAGTCGGGCCTCGGAAATGTCTCTCCTGTAAAAATGCCACTGACGCCCTGGCCGTCCACAGAGATCACAGCAATTGGGTCCTCTTCTCTGGTGCGTTCAGGCCCCTGACATTGTTGGACCAAAGACGCAGCGGCGCGGGGGCGAACCCCCCTGGGACCCCGTCCCGCCATGAGGGCCGGCCCCGCGGCGCTGGCTGGGGGGGGGAGGGGGGAGAGACCAAGTGATCAAAGGAGGTGGGCAAGCGGTTGGGGGCGAGGGTTTTGTTCGTGTGTGTCGAGTCAGTGAACGTTGGGTCCGCTGTCTGCATCTCGAGTCAAAAAGAAGGGGGGAAAACTGGTATAACTATATACAATAACAGACTTGACTGTCTAGGGGGGTGAGTTTGAGGGAGAGCCCTCCGGTCTATTAAATAGTCTCCCCTGTCTTAACCCCTTCCCAGTATATCGCACAGTCCGTCTACGGGTGCGTGCGCAGCCCGAGGCACAGGTCAGGGCGGTGATTTGGTCCAGTTGTGTATGCGCTCTCTTTAAGGTCTTACTGTAGTCTATCCGTCACAACAGTTTCCTCCTCCCGGCCCCCAGGCCTATTCTACCTACTGCCAGGTCGCCCATGACCCCGACCCACCCCGAGGTCCCCAAGGTGTATGGGATGAGTAAGTGGCACAGAGTCGTGGCCGCGTGGGTACGGTGCGAGTGGGTCAGCCTGTTCTCCTTAGCCCCACGGGTACTATCACCCCCTGTTCGAGGTTTGGGTGGGGGTTCTCGACTCCCACCTCTCGCGCACGTATACCCTCCCCCATCAGCCTGCACCCAACACCGCAGTTCTCACTCCGGCCTCCACCCAAACCGCCACCGCCCCGGGCATGCATACCCACCCACCCACCCGCACATCACCCCCCCAGCCCGCCCCAAGGCCCCCCAATGCTACCCGCAGCGAGGCCACAACAGTACTGCACTCCAGCGCAAACATAGTGTCCAGGACTTCCGATTCCCAAGCCGGCCCCGGGGGGGTCCCTCAATTCTCCTTGTCCCTGTTCTATCCCGGAGGGGGGGGGGGCACACGGGGGAACCAGCAGCTGTCCTTGGGCAGGCAGTCTAGGGTGGGGGGCAGAGTGGTCCATTGTCCATGCGGCCAGTGTCCTGCCGCCATATCCCTCCCCACCTAAGGTAACCTATGCCCCCTGGCCCACTTCCCGGCAGCACCCCAGTACCTTAGAGCCCTGCTGATGCCCGGCCCGCGTAGGTTTCACATGTCTGCTCACTCCTCATTCTGGGCGACTTCTCTCCGGGGTACCGTCTGGCGTGCTTCTTCCCCTGTACCCTGCTGCGGTGCCAGCGGGGTTTCCAGCACCCTGCTTCACCTGGAAACTGAAGGGGAACCCCCATCTGTAGGCGATTTCCCCCGTCCGATCTCAGAGGCCCAGCACTATATGGATTCGGTCATATTGAACCTCCGCTGGGCATTCTCTGCTCAAGAGCTGTTGGAACAGGGTAGTGACCGTCTCCGACAGGGGGGGGGGCCCACATCTGGCTCAGGGAGGCCGCGGATCCAAATGTTATGGCGTCTGCTGCAGTTTTCCACCTGTCTTCTGAGGGATAGGAGTAAGTTTCCCTGTCGGGTAGTTGCTAGTTCAGCCGCCTGGTGCTATGTGCGGCTCGCCTGGGCTTCCGTCTCCAGTGCCTCCACGTGAACCTCCACCGCCGACAGGTCGGTGCGCAAGGCCGCGATCACCTCGCGGACTGTGCTCTTGCAGTCATCTTTACAGGACGGCCACTCCTAGGGAGAGTAGCAGCAGTGCTGAACTTTCTCCATTTAGAGACAATTTGTCTTACATTGGACTGATGAACAGCAAGTCTTTTGGAGATATTTTTATAACCCTTTCCAGCTTTATGCAAGTCAACAATTCTTAATCGTAGGTCTTCTGAGAGCTCTTTTGTGCGAGGCATCGTTCACATCAGGCAATGCTTCTTGTGAAAAGCAAACCCAGAACTGGTGTGTGTTTTTGTTTTTTGATTTTTAATAGGGCAGGGCAGCTGTAACCAACACCTCCAATCTCACTCCAATTAGCTCTTGGAGATGTCATTAGTCTAGGGGTTTACATACTTTTTCCACCTGCACTGTGAATGTTTACATGTAGTGATGTCGCGAACGCGAACTTCCGCAAATGTTCGAACCGGCGAACCGCCATAGGCTTCAATGGGCAGGCGAATTTTAAAACACACAGGGACTCTTTCTGGCCACAATAGTGATGGAAAAGTTGTTTCAAGGGGACTAACACCTGGACTTTGGCATGCCGGAGGGGGATCCATGGCAAAACTCCCATGGAAAATTACACAGTTGATGCAGAGTCTGGTTTTAATCCATAAAGGGCAGAAATCACCTAACATTCCTAAATCACAATGAATATGGATTGACACCTTGACATATGGATTGACACCTGTCCTCAGAGCCCCTGATGCACACGGACACAGAGCAGAATAGGGACTGTTCTCCTACATAGGGTCACTTGGCAGATATGGATTGACACCTGTCCTCAGAGATCATGATACACACTGACACAGAGCAGACTAGAGACTGTTCCCCCTACATAGGGTCACTTGGCAGATATGGATTGACACCTGTCCTCAGAGACCATGATACACACTGACACAGAGCAGAATAGAGACTGTTCCCCCTACATAGGGTCACTTGGCAGATATGGATTGACACTGTCCACAAGGACAAGCTGCAGGCTTCCTGGCAGGGCCCATACAAGGTGGTAGAGCAGGTTTGTGATATCACCTTTGTGATTGGTGCGGTCACAGGCACGGGAGGCAAGCGCATGCTCCATGTGAACATGCTCAAGCCATACCACGAGCGCACGGAAGAGGTAACCGCGATCTGTCACCTGCCACTGAAGATTATGATAATTTGCCACTCCCAGATCTCCTAGACCTAGAGGGCCAGAGCGGAGACCTGGGAGAAGTACAGTTAGGAGAATGGTTAGACCCCCAGGAGCGAACCCAGGTCCAAAGACTAATCCAGGACAAGGGGGCCACGTTTTCCAACCTACCTGGGTACAGTCCGTTAACCACTCACAAAGTTGAAACCCTAGACCAGACCCCCCTTCGCCAAACCGCCTATCGCATACCCGAAGCAGTTAAAGAAAATATGCGGAAAGAAATTGAGGAAATGATGCAGTTAGGGGTGATAGAACACTCTGACAGCCCCTGGGCCTCCCCGGTAGTACTAGTACCGAAACGGGACGGCACGACCCTTTTCTGTGTAGACTACCGGAGGCTAAACGATAAAACAACCTCAGACGCCTACCCTATGCCCCGGATAGACGAGCTCCTAGACAAAATGGCCAGAGGCCAGTACCTCACCACAATAGATCTGTGCAAGGGGTACTGGCAAATTCCATTAGCCGAGGACGCCATCCACAAGTCGGCATTTGTCACCTTGTTTGGCCTGTATCAGTTTAAGGCCATGCCATTCGGGATGAAGAATGCCCCGGCTAACTTTCAGAGGATGGTAGATCGGCTACTGGATGGGTTTCAGGAGTATGCCTGCGCCTACTTGGATGATATAGCCATTTTTAGCTGCTCCTGGCCCTAACACCTGACCCACATAGGAGCCGTACTAGACCGGATTAGGGAGGCCGGACTGACCCTAAAGCCCAGTAAGTGCCATATAGGAACGCGTAAAAACCTCCCCAAGATAGTAGTATGGGCCCCAGAGTGTGAACAGGCCTTCCAACAGCTCAAGACGGCGCTCATTAAATCACCTGTACTTTCTGCTCCTGATCCAACTAAACGCTTTCTCGTCCATACAGACGCTTCTATGTTTGGATTGGGAGCAGTACTGAGCCAAGTCGGAGCAGATGGCGGCGAGCAACCCGGGGCTTATCTAAGCCGGAAACTTTTGCCCAGGGAAGTAGATACACTGCCATTGAAAAGGAGTGCCTGGCGGTGGTGTGGGCCCTCAAAAAGCTGCAACCTTACTTGTATGGACAACCGTTTACCTTACTCACAGATCACAACAAATTTGGGGCACTGCGCGTGCAATCTAATGTGCCACCAGATAGGAGTGGTGTGTTAAGTAGTACTATTCTTATCAGTTTAATCCCTGTTACGTCCCCTATCCGTTGATGTGGAGCAAGACGCAGCAGCAGAAGAGGACTCAGCCGAGGAGGTTATGGAAGAGGATGGAGTAGGAGGAGTAGAGGAGGTGGCAGCAGGCCTGCCTGCAAGTCATGGCGGTGTCACCAACTCCTCTGCAGAGCCACGCATTCCATGCTTGGCAGCCGTCAGCAGGTTTGCCCAATGCGCAGTGTAGGTGATATACCTGCCCTGACCATGCTTTGCAGACCAGGTATCAGTGGTCAGATGGACCCTTGCCCCAACACTGTGCCAGACATGCCATTATTTCCTTTTGCACAATCGAGTACAGGTTGGGGATTGCCTTTTGTGAAAATAAATTTCGTCCGGGTACCAGTGAGTGAGTGGTGGCACTGGGCACAGTATCCACTGTGAGCCTGACACACCCGCTGGCAGACAACTAACTGCTATTCAATCTATAACAGTGAAAAAAGTTTTTGGTGTTTTAAATGCACGCTATTGTGACACCAGATATGAGTGGCACTGTAAACTGGCACAGTACACGCTGTAGGGCTGACACACCCGCTTTGAGACAACTAACTGCTATTCAATCTATAACAGTGAAAAAAGTTTTTTGTTTTTAAATGCAAGCTATTGTGACACCAGTGAGTGAGTGGTGGCACTGGGCACAGTATCCACTGTGAGCCTGACACACCCGCTGGCAGACAACTAACTGCTATTCAATCTATAACAGTGAAAAAAGATTTTTTATTTTTAAATGCACGCTATTGTGACACCAGATATGAGTGGCACTGTAAACTGGCACAGTACACGCTGTAGGGCTGACACACCCGCTTTAAAGACACTGACTGCTATTCAATCTATAACAGTGAAAAAAGTTTTTTGTTTTTAAATGCAAGCTATTGTGACACCAGTGAGTGGTGGTACTGGGCACCGTATCCACTGTGAGCTTAACACACCCGCTTTAAGGACACTGACTGCTATTCAATCTATAACAGTGAAAAAAAAGTTTTTTGTTTTTAAATGCAAGCTATTGTGACACCAGATATGAGTGGTGGCACTGACTGGGCAAATGGGCACAGTATCCACTGTGAGCCTGACACAGAAGCTGGCAGCAGTGGCAGACAACTAACTGCAATTACATTACACAGAAAAAAAAAAAGCAGACTGATGTTCTAGCCCTTAAAAGGGCTTTTTGGGGTGCTGTCCTTACAGCAGAGATCAGATGAGTCCTTCAGGACTGTAGTGGACACTGTATACCCTAACCTAGCTATGCATTTCCCTATCTAATCAACAGCAGCTACACTTTCCCTCCTCTCACTAAGCATGAGAATGAATCTAAAATGGATGCTGTCCAGTAGGTGGGAGGGTCTGCTAGGGTTGGCTGGAATGTGTTGCTAATTGGCTGGAATGTGTCTGCTGACTGTGAGGTACAGGGTCAAAGTTTACTCAATGATGACGAATAGGGGGCGGATCGAACCGCGCATGTGTTCGCCGTCCGCGGCGGACGCGAGCACGCTATGTTCGCCGGCGAACTGTTCGGTGCATCACTATTTACATGGTGTGTTCAATAAAAACATGGCAACATTTCATTCTTTGTGTGTTATTAGTTTAAGCAGACTGTGATTGTCTATTGTTGTGACTTCGATGATGATCAGATCCCATTTTATGACCAATTTGTGCAGAAATCCATATCATTCCAAAGGGTTCACATACTTCTTTTTGCAAGTGTATCTGTGTTTTTTTAAAGGGACATTGTTGGCATTGTAATTGCTTTGCCTCATTGATGTGGTTAAAGTAGCACTATAGGATCAGGAACACAAACATGTATTGCTGACCCTATAGGATTAAAAACACCATCTAGCCACCCTGGCCCCTCATGCCTCCCTAAATACAGTAAAATCTTACTAGTATTCAAGTCTGCAGCTGCATGCTTTGCCCCTGTTTCCTTTAGACCTGCCTGCTGATATCAGCAGAAGTGGTAGCGTGATCCAATCACAATGCTTCCCCATAGGATTGTCTGAGACTGACAAAGAGGCAGATCAGGGGTAGAGCCAGCACAATTAAAACACATTCCTGGCCAATCAGCGTCTCCTCATAGAGATGAATTGAATCAATGAATCTCTATGAGGAAAGTTCAGTGTCTGCATGCAGAGGGAGGAGATACTGAATGTTTGGGTGCATTTTAGGCAGCCGTGACCCAGGAATGATCTCTAACAGCTATCTGAGGAGTGGCCAGTGAAGTTATCACTAGGCTGTAATGTAAACACTGCATTTTCTCTGTGTTTACAGCAAAAAGCCTTAAGGTAATGATTCTACTCACCAGAACAAATCCAATAGGCTGTAGTTGTTCTGGTGACTATAGTGTCCCTTTAACCTCTTAAGGACACATGACGTGTGACATGTCATGATTCCCTTTTATTCCAGAAGTTTGGTCCTTAAGGGGGTTAATAATGTCTTCCATCCTTACATTAAGGAAAGGTTCTAAAGAAAGCTCTCTTGCAGCTTGCTCTGTAGTGACATCACATTATTACAGTGTAAGTCTCCCAGTGTTTATACCAGCCTCTTGACTGTGCTCAGTTTAATGGCATAGGCAGGTGCTCTGGTCTCTTAACCTGGAGACACCTTGCACGGGTCAACCCAGCCCTTGAACACACATCGGAGGCTTGCTGCCTAAACAAGTAGAGGCCAAGGAGAGGCGGCTGCTCTCCTAGCTATCAAACGGACAGAGTAACCTGTGTATCGTTATATCCACCCCCTCTCTGGCTCCGGCGGGAGTTATCCTGGTCCCCACTGACTGTCCCCACTTACCTCTACCACTAAAAGGTGGCAGCTACAGTGTGGGCTTAGACCGCTACGCTTACACTCAAAATGGAGGACATCTTTTCTCATTCAAGCAACGAATGGTGCTAGCTGAACCGGCCCCCCATGCCAGTCTGGAGCAACGCTTGGACGCGCTGTCTGTTTACCCGCTTCTGGGGGCAATTGGAGGCATGGACCGGGTCGGCACCGGCACGAAGCTGGGAGGCAGCACGAGGAAATGAGCAAGAGGTGCATGTAACCTCTTCGGGTGCAGGCACACAACAAGCTACAATGCCTCGCAAGCAGCGCCCACCTAGGAGGAAGGCCATCCCGGGAACTCACCCACCGCAAAGCAACACCCAAGAAATGCGACCCACCGACATACCCCAGTGTCCACACCAGAGATGTACCCGGCAGGTGGTGACGTCTCCACAGCAGGCACCAGGTACTCCACCATGTCAACGGCCTCAGTGTTTCACAGATGGCATCCCAATCACGCGGCGGATCAGGCCATCTTGGAAACACTGCTCTCGCAGACCAAAGCGGATCAGCCATCGCAACAGTGCTTGTGGAACACTGCTTTGGGGAGTGACTCTCATAATGAGCCCAACAATACCAAGACATCACCACCGGAAGCAGCGTGGAGAACTGCTGGTCTCAGTTTGCTTTGTGGGATATTGCTTTCCCACTAATGGGGGTGGGCTGACTGATATGTTTTATGGCGCTAGGCTGCAGACTCGGGAGAAATAACTATCCCTAGACAGGCTAGGTCCCTCTTTACTGCTACGCAGGCAGGATTCCCAAGTGGCCTCTTTTTCCATATCTAGCCAACAATCTGGTCACAGAACTCAATCTTGAGTTTAGCTTATGGTAGCTTGTCTTTACTCAGCATAGCGCATCCTTCCCTATTACTACAGTTTACTGTTTAGCAACTCTTCACTACTGTATAAGGTCTCTCTCATATCTATAAATAATGACCTTGCCTGCATATGCCTTAATTTAAGCAATGTTGTTTTTAGTTCTTAATAAGTTGTGTGCATGTTTTATTAACCTCTCAGCATGTCAAGACTGTGTTTAGCAAACTACCGTCTAGCACCCTACTCTATGTTTTACAAGCATGAATACACATTTTGATACTACAGTTTAAAAAAATAACCAGTGCAGTAAATCAGACATGTGACGTATTTAACTAGTTGATATTTTATGATGATACCTTCTGCAATGTCTCTGTTCATTTGTGAAATATGCCAAGCACTGCAAAAATAAAGAATTATAAAAAAAATAAAAATAAAATAAAAAAATGTATCAGACATTTGATAAAACAAAATGATTAGGGGAACCAGATCAAAGGAGATAGTGGATCTGACAAGAATTGCCACTTTTGTCTTGATCAAGGTGTAATACTAAAGGATAAATACCTTCCGCAGGCCTTTTAAATATTTTAATGGACTGTAATACCAAATAACAAGAGAGGAGTATTTATAAATTACAAGAACTGAATGGTGTTTAATTTAACCCAATAAAATATTCACACTGCTACACCAATTCACAGCCAATATAGGTAAAAAAATATTTTTTTACATCTTCATTAATCATGTTACAGCTGTTAGCTTGATCCATTAGTGCTTGCTTGCTTCCCAAATGTGAATTCACAAATCATCTACTAAAGCTCACTCACACTCCAGCTGAATATAAAGAATCCATGAGTTAAACAATACTGCTTTATTTCCAATAAGTCAAAGCATAAACACATAACAAAGATGCAAGAACATAAAATAATATACCTGCATTAATAAATACATTTCTTGAGGTGTGATTATGACTCGAATTATGGTTGGATTATGGGTAAGGTTAGGACAAGTTTAAGAGAAAACATACGCCTGTGGGGTATCATTATAATCGGGAACAGCAACTTGGTTTAATAAACTGGGGATGTACTCTCTGCAAATATATACTTTTGTGTAATGGTTTTGGATTATATGGCTACTGAGTGCTGTATTTTGGGTTTGTGTTGCCCTAGGCATGACAAAACTCTGACACCCCCAACACACACACTGACAGACATACATACATATTCACTGACACACACCCAAACACTCCGTGACAGACATACTCACTGACACATGAACATACATACATACATACACACATACACACATACACACACGCAGTGTTCAGACCAGCTATGTACAGCCTAACTGCATGTCTGGGGGCAGTGTTCAGACCACCTGTGTGGTTTTTTTTTTCTTGCACTTAAACACAAGATATTTGGTACACTTGTTTCAGTTAAAGCACCAGTGAGACCTATTAAGGTATATACATACTGGGTGTATGTGAAATTTTACATCAGGGATATTTCTCCCATAGATTCAATTGCAATTATGTATATAGTGCCAACATATTCTGTGACGCTGTGCAATAAGTTAACTAACAAACTATCCTACAAAACCTGTTTTGTCATACAGGAACGGTAGGTGAAGAGGGACCCACCCAAATAAGCTTATTATCTAAACGCTTGGGGTTTTTTCTTGGACAAAGTTAATTCCTCAACAGTGTTACCATTGTCATGGATGTTTTAACTGTTTGCCGCCTATATGAATTACTGGTGGAAATTTTATTCTAACCATGCAGCGGGGGCGGAGCTAAAAGTGCCAGATAACTGCTGCAGGGGAAGCAGGAAGGAGTCCCTGCTTCGCCCAACAACCAGAATCCAGGACCTGCACTGCCTGTCTGCCTCCACAATGAACAGAGGTAACTATGTGTGATTGTCTGACTGTGTGTGTGTGTGTGACTGTCTGCCTGTGTGTGTTTGACTGTGTGCGTGTGTGGCTGTCTGACTGTGTGTGTGGCGCTGTCTGTGTGTGACTGCCTGCCTGTGTGTGTGTGTGTGTGTGTGTGTGACTGCCTATGTGTGACTGCCTGGGCAGACTAGATGGGCCGAATGGTTCTTATCTGCCGTCACATTCTATGTTTCAATGTCTGTGTGTGTGTTTGCGTGTGACTGCCTGCGTGTGTTTGTGTGTGTGGCTGTCTGCCTGTATGTGTGACAGGGTGTGTGGGAAGAGGGGGATGGAGTGGGGGGAAGGGGTGATGTACTATGAAGATTTTTCGCACATGGCGCCCAAAGGCCTAAGGCCGGCCCTGAATACTGTTGTTCCAGAATTACTCCAGTAGGCAGTACCATCAGCTGGGGATGGTATACTTTGTGATTCAGGAGCCATAATCCACAGGCTCCTGTACGGTGGGTTCTCTAGGTAAAATTGTTCCCACCCTTTGTTTTCTTTATCTTGCTATATCATCCCACATGTTATGACTGCTGCTTGGACGTTTAGGAAAAACTTAAATTTTACTTTGCATAAATTTCTTTTTCCTTAGTTCAGTAGGTGTAAATCTATTTCCTTCTCTTAGCTTGTTATATACTGGGGAGCTCAGGGTGGAGTTGCCCTTTATAAGGCTACGAGGAGAGGTGACTGATGGGTGGGGACTGCATTTTGTTTTAACCTTTTGCTACCTGTCCTGTGAGAAGTGGGCAACTACATCCCACGTGTTATGACTGCCGATTTGGACTAAGGAAAAATAAATTTACAGTAAGTAAAATTTAGGTCTTCAATACACCCAGGCTCCCCGCCCTTGGGAGTGCTGGCATGGATTCTCTAGTTAAAATAAATAACTGCAAGTAGTGGGTGTATTGGCGCTTCAAAAGACCACCTTAAGTAGGTGTGTGTAGATTTAGGTGTGTTCCCAACACCGTAAACGTGCATGCATCAAACGATAATGGTTAAAAAAAAAAAAACTGATTACACACACCACCCAGTGGTGTAATTGTGTATCCACTGTGTGGTGTGTGTTATCGGTTGTTTTTTAACCGTTATCTTTTGATGCATGGATTCTCTTTTTACCTGGGTTCCAATGGGACTGCTAGGCTGGCTCCTGTGGTGCTAGGCTGGCGGTCAATGCAGGAAGCGAGGGAGCTCTGATCTTCTTGCTCCACTTCCTCACACACCGCTTAGTGATGCCGGGGCCAGAGTGACATCATATTCCGGCTCCAAAATCACTGCAGAGCGTGCGAGGGAGCTGAGCAGGAAGAGCTCAGAGGAAAGTGCTCCTGCTCTGCCCGCCTACAAGCTTAGCCCAATTCTGAGGGGGCCAGCTGGACTGCTCTTGCGCCCCCCAGGCAAGAGGCTGACAAGATATCTGCTGGGGAGTTTGGGGGGCGGCGACCCAGGCAAATGCCTTGTCAGACTCGCGCTTAATACAACGCTGTCTACTGTAAAAGATGTATTTTACAGTAGACAGCCATGTTTTAGCTTTAAAACTATAATTCACTCCTTGCAGTATTAGTTTTATAACTTCTAAAAACTTATTGGAATCCCAGACATATTCAGCATTTTATAAAAATCCAGACTAATTAATAAATCTATTTTGAGGGGGTTTACCATGGCAAGATACTGTTTAATACAGCATACACAGGTTTATTGAAGCTTAAAGCATTACTCCAAGCATCATGACTAGTCAGTGATTTGAAATGGTTATGGTGCTAGTTGCCTATATATGCAGTGTTTTGCTATGAAATGCTAGCCATACAAAGTTTACCCCTCTGTAGTTGTTATGACGGCAAGAGTGCCCTGGCCTCTGGTTTCCAGTAATGGGACAAACCATTTAGCAGTGGTTTGCCTCCTTACCTGGACCCCCACAAGGCTCACTGGTGGTCTAGTGACATGCTTCCGGCTGTAGCAGAAGCCGGAAGCCATAGCCTTTGCTGTATTCAAATTTGAATTACATGGGTGCAAACTGGGTGGAGATTGATCAAATATAATGCCCCGTATCATTTAACCCCTTAAGGACCAAACTTCTGGAATAAAAGGGAATCATGACATGTCACGTGTCCTTAAGGGGTTAAACCAAATTGGCACAAAGGTTAATTTTTGCGGCACAAATCAGCACAGCAAATGGTGTTTGTTTTTACAATTTAACGCAGTACTGTGTCACACCTAGGACTTTAGAATGGCCGGACTTAACATCTCCAAGAATAGTCAAAATACTAGCCAAGGTCAGGGACACAGAATCAGACACAAAGATGAGGGAAAGCCAAAAGTCAAGGATACCAGATATCAGGGAAGTCAAAACAAAGCCAAAGTCAAATACCAGAAAATCAAGATCAGGAACGCACTCTCGGATAACCATATACATGAAACCACGACAGGGCAATGAGCAAGAGGAGAATTCTGTTTAAGTACCCCTCCTCGGGATCCGATTTGCTGAAACCGGCCTTTGACCCCAAAGGCAATTACCAGGTGTGCATGATTGCTGCTCAGCACAAACCCACCTGTGGACCTGATTGGCCATAAGGTACTTTACATCTGATTGAACGTGAAAGCAGGTTTTTTTTTTATGTAGGCTGTGTCAGTCATAGCCAGGGGAGGTGTGGCAAGGGCTGCATAAACAGAAACAAAGTGATTTAACTCCTAAATGGCAGTGAATTGAGCAGTAAAACCTGAGAGGCATGATCTATACACTAAAACTGCTTCATTAAGCTAAAGTTGTTTAGGTGACTATAGTGTTCCTTTAACAAATTAAACATTATGTTTTAGATAAATGTATATTATAAGGCAAGTGCCTCTTTATCAGATCTCTAATATAGATGTATTACCAGGTCTTAGAGTGGCTGAACTTAACGTTAATAAAGACAGAGACAAGGTCAGGAATAGTTCGGGTCTGGATTATAGAAATACAGATATACGAATAAAGACGCCAGGTCAGGATTTTAGTAATACATAAAGTCAATTAATACACTGGGTCAGGATACCAGTAATACACAAAGTCAAATAAAAGCCAAGGTCAATATCAGAATATCAAGAGAGACTTTAAGCACTAAACATGTATCAATGCAGAAACAATGAGAGGGCCTTGAATAAGGGCCCAATTTAGCATTATATAGGCTAACACATGTTCTAATTGATCAATGTCATCTCTGCGACTACAAACTGAATGAATATGTGGTTGCCTAGAGCATGTTGTCACTTTAAGGGTGGGTATGGCATCACAGCGGGCAGCATCTGAGGTCATACAGGGAAGCAGTGGCTGTGATCAATTTGGCCTGCGCAAGCAGGGGTTGGGGAGCTTGAGGGGTGGGAAGTATAGTGATGTGCTATTTCAGGTGCCGTGCAATGTTCGGCTTGCACGGCCTGACACTGGGAAAAGAGTGAGTTCAAGGAGCAGGTAAGTTTGTTACACAATAGCCACCACAGATGCATGCCAAACAGGAATGAGCATCCATCTGAACCAGACAAACATTCAGGGGAAATGGCCGGTATTCCTAAAGGGAGCATCTTCCAATTTACTGGAAATGATGGCAGCGTTTGAGGCTCTGGGTCACATGAAGTCAGAAATCCAACAACATTTGGTGAAACTACAGTGGTGACATATGTGAACCCCCAAGAAGATACTGGCAGTCAGAAGATGATGAGCATCATGATTCCCCCCTCATGAAATGGGCACAAAACCACCTTCTTGGGTTATCTGCAATTTACCTGCCAGGTTCCATGAAGATCATGGTGGATTTCTTGAGCAAACACCAGATCCTTGCCAGGGGAATGGTGTTTAGCACAATGGGCCTTTCTCACAGCTAGGGTTCCCTGGAAGTCGACATGCTGGGCAAGTTCAACAACAGGCAAGTTCAGAGGTTCTTATCTAGAGAGCATCTTTCCCTAGCAGAAGAATGGAATGCCCTCTCCTGTTCCTGGATTTTTCACAAGGGGTATATGTTCCCCTGATTCCCCTTATCTTGAACCTCCTGAGGAGAATTCAGAAAAATAAAGTGGAGGTTATAGCAACTCTCCTGTATTGGCTGCGGAGCCCCTGGTCCTGTTGTTGTCGAGCCCAATGCACCCGTCAATGAGAGAAGAACTGCTATCTTAGGGTCCTCTGTTGCATCCTGTTTCACAAATCCTCCAGCTGGTGGCAGGGAGACTAAAAGAAGGTAGTTGAAGGAGAACAGATGCTGTCATTTCCACTATGCTTCAGGCAAGGAACAGGACATCTTCTCTTATTGGGCATCGAATAAAGGTATTTCCCCTTTTTCCTTCACATCTGTGGATCTCCTGGGGCTTCTACAAGATGACCTGGACAAAGGTTTCAGCCTCAACATTCTGAAGATCCACATTTCAGCACTTTCAGCTTTATAGGGAGTGAGATGTGCTCTCAGCTCTGGTGTAACTCATTTTATGAAGGCTGTTATGCAAATCAGAACTCCTATTAAGTCAATTTCTCCTCTTTGGGACTTGCCTTTTGTCCTTACATAGTACCCAATTTGAACCTACAACAGATATTCCATTTATGCTCCTCACTCCTAAAACGGCTCTTCTGGTTTGCTTAACTTTAGGTAGAAGAGTCTCTGAATTGTCAGCACCTTCATCCATCATTGATTTTATTCTGTCTGCTTACTTTCCAAGGAACTGTTGTCTCACGCCCTGGATGTTGTTCATTTCCTGTCTACCTACCTCACAGGACTGGCAGTTGGTCAAGAACCTCAAGACTTTTCATCCTTCCTGGAGAGCATTATAAAGGCCTGCAAGCATCTACTAAAACCATCACTAGCTGGCTGGACTCTACCATTACTAAGCTAAGGCTTATGAGGCAAAACAAGTTCTGGTTCTTTAGAGTCTCAAGGACAATTCCAACCAAGCTCTGTCCTCCTCCTGCACAAGTCTCTTCTGATGAGATCTGCAAAGCAACTACATGGTACATTTTAGAATACCTTTACCCGGCACTATCAATTGCATGTGAGGTTTTCTAAAGAGGTTCAAGTTGGTTCTGCTGTTCTGTTGGCTTCCTGAGCCTCTAATTTTCAGCAGCCCTTCTGGTGTTCTTTGTTTTTCTTTTCAATCCCCTCCTCCCCCCTGCAGAGTTTTCTAGCTTTGGCGCCCTAGAGTAGTGCTGCCATGGCTGGGAAAACTGTTTCATACTTACCAATATTTTCCTTTCCCAAAAATGGGTCATGGTGGCACTACACACCCTCCCTGGTCATTGGATTGTTAGGAACTGAGATATTAAGGTTCATTTTGCCATTTATTTACTAAAATTTAGTCCTGTCCAATGGGAGTGATGGGTGGAGCTAACCCTAGCGTAATTCTGCCATGGGCCATTACTGGGAAAGGAGAATATCAGTAAGTACGAAACTATTTTCCGTTATATATATTAATATCAAAATACACTTGGAATTAAAAAATAATATATATATATTTAACCCCTTAAGGGCACATGACATGTGTGACATGTCATGATTCCCTTTTATTCCAGAAGTTTGGTCCTTAAGGGGTTAAGGTACATTTATTTATTGTTTGTGCATAATTATATAATTTTTTTTTATTAAAGGACCACTATAGGCACCCAGACCACTTCAGCTCAATGAAGTGGTCTGGGTGCCAGGTTCATCTAGAGTTAACCCTGCAGCTGTAAACATAGCAGTTTCAAAGAAACTGCTATGTTTACATTAGGGTTAATCCAGCCTTTAGTGGCTGTTTCATTGACAGCCGCTAGAGGCGCTTCCGCGCTTCTCACTGTGAAAATCACAGTGAGAAGACGCTGCCGTCCATAGGAAAGCATTGAGAATTGCTTTCCTATGGACTGTTTGAATGCGCGTGCGGCTCTTGCCGAGCATGCGCATTCGGTGCTGACATCAGAAGAGGGAGATTTCCCCGGAATTTAACCCCTTCCTCCCCCTTCAGCCCGGCGGGAGTGGGACCCAAAGGGTGTGGGGGGGACCCAAAGACCTTATAGGGCCAGGAAAACAAGTTTGTCTATAGTGGTCCTTTAATTATATGTTGGGGATCTGCCTGACAACCCAGGAAGTCCCCCTAGGGGCAACCTGCCAATCATGCCGATTTGAGTCATGTGATTGCAGTGTCATCATAATCACATGACTCAGATCAGCGGGATTGGCTGCAGAGGGGGTGCCTTGGTTGTCAAGCAGTCCCCCAGATTGGATCCAGCAAGTATTTCTGCTGCAGGGATCGTTAGGGAGTGCTATACCTCTAATGTCATTATTGCCCTCAATTCCTAGGACAGCACAGTACACCCTAACTTCAGAAAAGCGTTAAAGTGACATTATAGGCACCAAAACAATTTAAGCTTAATTAAGCTGTTTTGGTGTGTAGATCGTGCTCCTGCAGTTTCACTGCTCAATTATCTTCCATTTAGGAGTTCAGTTACTTTGTTTTTACAGCCTTAGTTACAGCCTTCCTAAAGGAACATAAATATTCTAGTCTGTTTAATCTAGAATTTTATTACAAGACACGGAGGCTCGTATTTGCATATCCCTTTCTTTACTGTCCACAACAGCAGCAAAGAACATTAACAGAATGAAAAAAGTAAAGGTAGTGCATGCCTCATACATAGGCCACGCCCCCCCCAGTGTCCAGTATAATAGTCTGGTCCGCCCTCCAAATTCCCTCTTTCTTTGCTGCTCCACGTCAGATAAGTACCTTTTATTACACTCTCAAGCAATTTTACTCTGTTTTACAATCTTAATTTATTCATCTTTCTCCTTATTTATCTGTTGGTTTGCTGTTTTCCCTATTTATCTCCCAGACTCCCAGACTGTTTGGGTGCCCTCTTAATTACCTATGGGCAACCCCTCCACTCCAGGTGGTCACCTTTTTCCCCCCTTTGCTCCCTCTCCTTTCTACCCTCCTGCGTTTACCTCTTCTCCAGCTACAGCACTTTCGCACCGGTTTCCTCTAAGGCACTTTCCTCCCTGTCAACGGCCCTCTCGCAGTCCATTGCCCACGCCCTTTTGGCATGGCCTATGGACACAGACCCGGTGATTCAGGCGTAATCCTCACACGCCCCACGGGACAATCTGCCGATCAGGCACCCAAAAAGGCTTCACACAAAGCCAAACATATTTCCCCCCTGCCTCCAGAAACACCAGGACTGGCGCACCACTGGTTGCCCCTGAAAGCGTGACACAAGCACGCAAACGAGCCTTTCCGCGCCAGGCAGAACGGGCGCGACTTTGGAAATGTGCGAGAGCACAGATTGAGAGCGACACCGACTCAGAAATCGGGTCAGAGGAGAAGGCCAAGATCGAGTCAGAAATCGACTCAGATGCAGAGGGATCTGAGCTGGGCACAGACCTATTTTCCTCCGTACAGGCGGAGACGCATGGAGGCGATATAGGGACGGTGCACCCCGCTACCGCGGGGTCCGCCCTACTGGACCCGCTAGGAGAGCCATTATTTGACCCGGACAAGCTTCACCACCCTAGGTCTGCGGAATGGCTCCCAGCGGATCACGTTGCCGGTTACCTAGAAGTATGGGTACGGCGCCCTCTCAGTAAGACCGCAAGAAATAAATTAAGGGCTGAATGCCCCAGACCGGTGGTCCCCAACAAGGTATGCAATACCCCAGAGGTGGACCATAAAATGACCCAGTATTTAACTAAACTGGGCTGGAACCCACGCAAGGGTCTTGACTCAGCTCTACGGGCCTGCCAGGATAAACACCTGGATATCTTTGGCCCCCTGGCCAAACTATTTGACCTGGCAGAGGACACCAAAGCTGAATATTGCATGGTCAACCCTGATGACCTACGAGGCTGGGTACAAAGAGCAATATGCATTGCTGGGAGCGTTAATACCTCCCTATCAATTGTAAAGCCATACTGTTCAAAATCGACCCAAAACTAGCCAACTTGGCCCTTACGGAGGCCGGTAAAGATGCCCAGGGCCTTCTATTTGGGGAATCTTTTATCAAGGATTTGGGGCGTTATGTGGGCACGTTCACTGCCCTAGATAAGGCACAAACCTCTATGAGGAAAGTATTTCAGGGACGGGTCTCTACCAGGGCCAGCAGATCTAGGAGCCGTCTGTCTGGCCGGAGTTCCTTCCAGTCCCGATGCACGGGACGAGGCTCCATTTCACAGCGACCCAGCTGTCATGACACTAGGAGCCGATCCCAATTCTTCCCGTCCCGCAGCCGGCCATGGCACTCAAGAGGTTTCCGGGGATACACCAGTTCAAGACGACCTTGCGGTGAGTCTATACAAACATCAAAAAATGTACACCCGTCTATTTTCTTCTCATGTTTGTGTAGGGGGCAGACTACAACATTTTTTACCAGCATGGTTAGATCTGACGTCCGACACTTGGGTTCTCAACACAATACAAGGGTTTCAAATCGAACTTGTGGGAGACCCGACAAGTATCCCCTCCCCCAGACCGTTTCGCCTATCTCAGCACGACCAAGTGCTGATCAACGAGGAACTATCCAACCTCATGGACAAGAGGGCGATAGAACTGGCACCCACGGGCACCACTGGGATCCTGAGCAACGTCTTTCTCGTGGTGGACTCGATACAAGAATCTTTGAGCTTACCCACACACAAGATTCGTGGGATCCGCAAGGAGCTGCGCAGGGCACTCCTCCGACCCCAACTCTCTCTGCTACAACAAGCTCGCTTAATTGGCCTCCTAACTTCCTCTATCCAGGCAGTGTTCCCTGCTCCTCTACACTACAGAGCCCTACAGCGAATCAAGATCGCACACCTACGGGAGGGCGCGTCCTACGCGGACCTGATAACTCTGGACAGAGAAACGAAAGACGAAATGCACTGGTGGATTCTCAATTTGTCCGCTTGGAACGGCAAGGCGATCTTCGGTGCCCTTCTGGATTTCACCATAGAATCAGACGCGAATCTGCAGGGATGGGGCGCTCACTGTGCAGGAGTCTCTACGGGAGGTCGCTGGTCGGAGACCGAAGCCTGGTTACACATCAATGCTTTGGAACTTCTAGCGGGCTCCTTCGCGATTCGCAGCTTCGCAAAGGATCAGGCACAAGGATGCATTCGCCTCCGCATGGACAGCGTTTCAGCGGTGCGGTACATCAATCACATGGGCGGCACCCAGTCGACGCTCCTAGCCGGACTAGCGAAGGACTTCTGGGAATTTTGTCTGGAGCGGAATTTGATGGTCCAAGCGGAATACTTGCCGGGGCTGCACAACGTCCAAGCGGACTGGAGTTCACGCTATCTCTCGGATTCCAGCGACTGGTAATTGGACGTGGAAGTGTTCTCCACTATATCATCTCTGTGGGGTCCTTTTGCCATAGACCTCTTCGCATCCCGTCTCAACGCACAACTCAAGCGCTTCTTCAGCTGGAGACCGGACCTGTTGGCAGAAGCCGTGGATGCCTTTCTACAGGATTGGCAAGGAGCCCTCCTGTACGCGTTTCCCCCATTCTCAATGATTCCTCGCACCCTCATTCAAACCCGCCGCCAGCGGGCCAAATTAGTTCTTGTGACTGCCTTTTGGGGGACGCAGTCTTGGTTCCCGCAACTATTGGAAATGGCGGTGGATCATCCCAGACTATTGCTAGCCTTCCAGGAACTTCTTCGGAACCCATCAGGTGATTTCCACCCCCTCCTGGAGGATGCCTCACTCAGCCTACTGGCCTGGCGCATTTCGGGGGACCCTGAACGGTCCATGGCATTTCGGAATCAACTCGACGATTACTGGCGAATGCATGGGCCCCAGGCACCAGACGAGCATATGGGTCAGCCTGGAGAACTTGGACTGGTTGGTGCTTGGCTAGGAACGTGGATTCTGTTTCAGCCCCTGTGACCTGCATTCTGGAGTTCCTTACATCCCTATTCGAAGAAGGGAAAGCATACCGAACCATCAACTTATACAGATCGACTATTTCTTCGACACACCAGGGCGTAGACGGACACCCAGCCGGTCAACACCCACTGGTGTGCAGACTCCTAAGGGGCTCCAGGCTTTCCCGTCCACCCAGACCCCACTATTCCTCCACGTGGGACGTTTCGACTGTTTTGTCCCTCCTTACCTCCTGGCCTTCGAACCCGGATCTTTCCTTACGCCGATTATCGGCCAAATTAGTTTGTCTCCTTTGCCTAATATCTTGCAAGAGATTATCAGACGTCCGGGCCTTGGATCTTGACGCCAGATTGTACACCCCCGACGGGGTTACGTTCATTATCAACAGACGGACGAAAACATCCCTTACTTCAGTATCGTACCCGGCTTTCCCTTCTACGCCGGCACTGTGCCCAGTGGCGTGCTTAAAAGCATAGAAAGACCGCACTAGTAACTGCCGGAATCCCAGTTTTTTTCTCTCTCCGTCCACCCTTTAAACCGGTGGTAAGCACTACTCTCTCACGTTGGTTGAAATGGCTAATTGGCACAGCGGGTATTGACACCTCTATATTTGGTGCGCATTGTGTGAGGGGCGCATCGGCCTCTGCAATTATCACTTCAGGAGCACATTTGGAGGACCTCATGAAGATGGCCGACTGGTCGAGGGAATCGGCGTTCCGAGAGTTTTACTTTCGCCTGACTACACATCCGTTTACGGCAGTGGGGGACCAGCTTTAAACTTGCAAATACGAGCCTCCGTGTCTTGTAATAAAATTACATGATTTTGCTATTGCATGATGAAAAGTCATGATTTTAATAAAGACACGGAGGCGAGTATTTTCCCACCCAATTTGTTCTGGTACGTCATGTTTATTACTCTGCAAATTTTTTCCCACGCAGATCATCGGCACGAGCCCGGAGACGATGAGGTGGTAAGTGGGGCAAGTTTTTATTGTGGGTATGTTGTGAGAACAAGACCTGCCTGACTCCTCTTTCCTATCCAATATTGATGTCTAGGAGTGGATGGTACCCCTCGCAATAGCCCACTAACCCGGCCTTTGAAGGTTGGCTCCTTCCCTGACCTCCTGGCTCACTTTGTGGTATCCTCTACCTGCCCCCTAAACCTGCTGGGTGCAGATGTCCTCTCCCGCTTGCAGGCCTCAATCACCTTCACCCCAGATGGACTTATTCAATTATCCTCTCCCCTGTCTGCTGCTGATACATCAGCCCTTTGCTCCCTACCCGTCCTGCTCCACATAGAGAACCCTGTCAGGAAGAAAGGGGCGCCTGACACCTCCCCCAGTGCCATAGACAGAGTACCTCCCAAGTTGTGGTCCACAGGCCCAGAGGACATTGGACGCCTCCAGTCCTAGTGAAGCTAATCCCAGGGGCCAGCCTGCCCCGTAAACCGCAATACCCTCTGAAGCCTGCCCAGGCCCTTGCCATCTCTCAACAGGTTAAGACCCTAGTGTCCAGTGGTGCCTTGGTCTCCTGTGTGTCTCCCTGTAACACACCCCTTTTCCCCGTGAAAAAGAAAACTGCAAAAGGGGAGCCCGAAAAATACAGGATGGTTCAGGACCTCCGTGCCGTTAATGAAGCTACCATTCTAGAAACTCCCATTGTGCCCAACCAGCACACGCTCCTGTCAGGAATCCCTTCTACCGCAAAGTTCTTCACGGTGGTGGATTTAGCTAATGCATTCTTCAGTGTTCCCCTGGATCCTTCATGTCAATATCTATTTGCCTTCACCCATGAACGTCAGCAATACACCTGGACTGTCATGCCTCAATGTGCACAAAACTCTCCCAGCCAGTTTGCAAAAGCAATGGCTTCGATTCTGGACTCATGGCAAAAAGCTCACACCGATGTGGTCCTGCTGCAATACGTGGATGACCTCCTCTTGTGTGCTGACGACCTCCTGACTGCTGAGCGTACTTTTGAAGATCTCCTATGTTTTCTCGCGGAGCAAGGCCTCTACACAGAAACTACAGTGGTGCCTACCCTCAGTGGTTTTCCTGGATCACTGCCTCTCACATGGTACATGCCACCTAACCCGGGACTGGGTGAGAGCTATCACGGACATAGCACATAAACTCCTCCATGCCTTCCTGGGCCTAATCTCCTACTGCAGGGCCTGGATCCCAGAGGCCTCCTTCCTCATGCAACCCCTCTATGACGACCTCAAGTCTGTACCATTTTCCCTGAGGCACTATCTAGTTTCTTTCCCATAAGACATGTCATCTCCACTGCCCCGGCCCTGAGCCTCCCCGACTTTCAAAAACCCTTTAAGTTGTTTGTGTCAAAGAGACAGGGTGATGCCTCTGGGGTCCTCACGCTGTCCCACGGCTCACGCCAGTGCCCCATTGGCTTTTACTCTTGCCAACTAGACCCTGTGGCAAGGGGAGGCCCTCCTGCCTTAGAGCAGTATTTGCAGCCCATGCCCTCATTGATAAGACCAATGATTTGGTACTTGGTCATCAGCTTGTCATCCTTGCCCCTCATGACATTGCTACCATCCTTAACCAAGTCCAGCCTAAACATCTCTCTGCTGCCCGCCTTCTCCACTTACAATGTTCCCTCATACTCCCAGACAATGTGTCCCTGCAGAAGTGTTACTCCCTCCTTAACCCGTCCACTCTTCTGCTGCTTCCCAAGGGTGGACCTACCCACTATTGGTACAGCCTAGATATAGACGCAGGCTACATGTGTTTTCTTTTGACTCAACTCATGCCCCTCGTCCCACATGATACTCAGACTCTCCATCAAGTCCCATATGTTGTTCAGACTTTCCCTCACTGCACCTTGTGGTACAAAAACACCCAGGACTCGACCCCCACTATGAGGAAGACCTGCTTCAGTTCGAGGAGGTGACACTCACCAAAACGGACCTGTTCTGCGATTCTAAGTTTTGGTCAAGTTTAGTTTAAGGAAGTGGGCAGCCATCCAGTTAGAAACAGCAGAGAGGCAGTCAGAGACACTAGTCAAGAGGGACGGGGAAAGATCAGGAGAGGACAGGCATATTTGCGTTTCATCTGCATAGAAATGATCTTGGAAGCCAAAGGAGCTAATGAGTTTACAAAGGGAGGCAGTATAGATGCAGAACAGTAGGGGACCAAGGACTGAACCTTGGTGGACACCAACAGAGAGGAGTTGGGGAGAAGAAGCAGAGTCGGAGAAAGAAACACGGAAAGAGCGCTGGGAGAGGTAGAAGGAGCAAAAGGAGAGAGCAATATCTTGGAGACCGATGTTGCAGAGGATGAGAAGAAACTGTTGATGGAACAGGCCCATTTTAAAAAAACAAAAAATGTTTTTTTGTTTTTTTTTACACACTACTCTTAGATTTACCACTTAACTGGTATTTTAATGCCACAGCTGGTATTTGAGGCTGCCTGGCCAGTGCCAGTATTGCCGTAATACCGGTAATACAAATGCAGGTATTTTTCTCAGTATAAACGGAAATTACTCTGCAATACCAGCACCGGCCAGTAGGGGTCACTGTGTGTGAGGACAGGCAGGGATAGGAAGTTACAGCATATCCCTGCCTCTCTCTACTACTCACTGATCCGTGCGGGAGCAGCTACAAAGCACAGAGAGTCCAGACAGCAGCTCTACAGCTCAGGTAAGTGAGGGATGGGGGGAAAGGCAGCAGGGAGACATGGGGACACTGAGACATTAGGAGACACTGAGAAACTAGGGGACCCATGGGGACACAGACACTAGGGGATACTGTGAGACCTGGGGAAACTGAGACACTAGGGGACACTGGGAGAAATGGGGACACTGAGAGACATAGGGACATTGGGAGACACTGAGACACTAGGGACCCAGTGTCCCCATGTCTCCCAGTGTCTGTGTCCCCATGTCTCAGTGTCCCTATGTTTCCCAGTGTCCCAAAGTGTCTTAGTGCCCCATGTCTGCCAGTGTCCCCAAGTGTCTCAGTGACTTGGGGACACAGTGAGACATGGGGACTCTGACAGAAATGGGAACACTGAGACACAGAGACTAGGAGACTGGGCAACATAGGGACACTGACACTGTGATACATAGGGACACTGAGAGACTGGGTGACTTGCAAGACTGAGACACTGGGAGACAGGGAGACACTGGGAGCAATCCATCTATACAGCAGAATCTAACTGTGAGTAGTTTGTTGGTGATTTTACAGAATTTTCTCTTATGTCACTCCTTGTGATTTACATTATGAGATGTCACGCATAACTAATTAATTATACAAATGTATAAGGCTGGTATTTTTTTCCAAGAAAGGTGGCAACCCTAACTACTCTTCACATACTCTTGCTTAAAGGAACACTATAGGGTCAGGAATACAATCATGTATTTCTGACCTTATTATGTTAAAACCACCATTTATCCCCCCTGGCCCCCTCTTGCCTCCCTAAATATAGTAAACTCTTACTTGTATTCGTGTCTGCAGCTGCTGGCTCTGTCTCTGTCTGCCTTTGAACTGACTCTGTCTGCTGACATCATCAGAAGTGGTGGTCTGAGCAAATTACAATGCTTCCCCATAGGATTGGCTGAGACTGTCAACTAGGCAGATCAGGGGCAGAGCCAGCACAAGTCAAACATAGCCCTGGCCAATCAGCATTTTCTCATGAAGATACATTCATTCAATGCATCTCTAAGAGGAAAGTTCAGTGTCTGCATGCAGAGGGTGGAGACACTGAATGGCTGTGCTGCACATTAGGCAGTACTGCCCCAGGAGGCACCTCTAGCAGCCATCAGAGTTATTTTCTCTGAAAAGACAGTGTTTACTGCAAAAAGCCTGGAACTTACTAGAACATATACAATAAGCTGTAGTTGTTCTGGTGACTATAGTGTCCCTTTAAGTTTGTAAGCTTAAGAGGGATGCATGGGAACAAAACCTGTGTGGACTGGCTGACAATAACATTAGTTTAGATAATGCAGACTTTGGTCTCTCTAACACTGGCATGTCCCTTTTCTTCTACACTCACTACATACACCTTTTCTCTGTCCCAGACTATATAGCAGGAACTTCTGCCTGCTAGTAAGATGATAAGGAGACAAGTGGACATGTGAGTGCTAGGGGACAGTCCTTAGAAAGCGTGGAGTAGGCGCATCATTTGATGCATTTATGTCAAGTTCAGGGTGCTGCCTGCATAGTATGCCCTTAGTTGGACAGCCTACATTCATGCCAGGCTGGCCTTCCAAATTATTGGACAAAAAGGTCCCTTTTTGGGCATGTTCACCCCTTTTGGCAGGTCTGGTCACGTGACTCGCGCCAGTGGCAGACTCTTTTACACTGCACATTGACTTCCTGCTTCACTGGACACTGCTGTTAGGGGGTATGGATTTACTTGAAAGATGAAAGCATAAATTAGAGAGAGATTAGCATAGAGTATGTGTTTTCGTATAGCTGCATCCTTTGAGTTTCCCTCCAACACCATCTAAATCAGATACATGACGCTTGGGAGGTATGGTTGTTTTAGTGCTTTTGGTCGATAAGATTCTGTAATTAGGCCCATCATAATTGTCAGCACCAGGCCCACTGGGCTCTTAATTTGGCCCTGATCACAGGCTATTGTCCTAAGGTTGTTTTGACACTTTCTACGTAGCCATTTCACCGCCAATCTCTGCTAAATATTGGAGTAAAATTTAGTTTTTGGGGGTTTTTGGCACACAAACGTATAACAAAGAACTTCTCATGTGTATTTTGTAAAGTTGGCGTGTGCTATTCCTGTACAAAGTTTTATTTTGTGTTCAGTTACTTCTGCTGAGTACAACGATACCCCCATTGTATGTCTTTGGCACTATTTCGTGAAGCTACAGTGCCATATAGAAGACCTGTCCGTTTCAACATTTACAGTAGAATTTTGAGAGGCGGATTTAATGGGCCTATGCTTCAATTTGGGGTATTGTAGCAGTTTGACTGTTCAAAAAACCCCCACAAAATATACGAGTGGACTGCAGTACACCCACTCAAACAATGGGTGCACATAGAAGGCTCCATGTTCCAATCCCCTTTATACACAATCCCATGGCATGACGAGGGACGTACACTCGTCCTGCCTCAACACTCACACCACCCACCTCACCCTTCTACCCTCTAGCACACAACCCAAAATTTTTACCAACATACGCCCCCAGTTCTTTCATCAATTCCCACCAACTCAAAAGACAAGATACCCGATGGTTAACACGGCCGTAACACCAACAGGAGTAGCTCCACTGTCTATCCTAGCCTCCACAGACCACCCAAATACCAAACAATATTTCCAATATGCTCAGCTGGCCCACTTCCTGAAGGGGGACCCGCACCTTCTCCGGGGAACAAGAGCATACACCAAATATGAAACCTACTGCACCACCCACAGCCTACAAACCAAGCACCTATCTATATTCTACACACTTCTTGACACCGCAAGTCACACCCTTCCACCCACATTCACAGCGGCATGGGAAACTGAGCTGGGTATCACCATTCCCGTGGGAACATGGCATAGAATATTCACATACGCCCATGCCACGTCCATCAGCACTGCAGTACGGGAAAGCACATACAAAAGAATCTCCAGATGGCACTACTCACCCGCTAAGATTCATGCTATCTTTCCAACAGTGCCAGATATATGTTGGAGGTGCGGGCAACCCAAAGGAACCACAGCTCACATCTGGTGGCTATGCCCAATCATCCAAACATATTGGCAGAGACTGGGAGGGTTAATAAAAGCTATCACAGGCCATCAGCTACCACAATCCCCTGAAACTTTCCTCTTCATCATACACACAACCCGCATGCCAAGCCTCCAACGAAAACTCGTCAACCATATGCTGACAGCAGCAAACATGTTGATACCGTTAAAATGGAAGAGCACCAATGCCCCATCAGTACGGGAGTGGATACAGAAGGTAGAATTCATAAGGACCATGGAAGAACTAGACGCATCATACTCTAATAAATACATCATCTACACCCTAACATGGCAGCCTTGGTTGACCTATCTGGGTAGTAGAGTCATCTAAATACTATCCATACATGACCATCCCAATACCTACACCATCCCTACCTCCCCCTTTCATTCCTACTTTACATTACCAATTATATCATGTTAAAAGTTGAATCGATGCCACCGGACCAAACAGCTGTTCTGTTCAATGACTAGATTCTCTTTACTTACTTTATCATACAACTATGAAAAAAGTAAAAATGCGCAGACTCTGTTCCCTGCATATCTTGAATTGTTCATTGTTATACCTGGGTGGCACATAACACCTATGTCATGTAATACTTTATGCGCAATAAAATAAAGATTTAAAAAAAACAAAAAACACAAAGGCCTACCATTTGTAAAAGTAGACACTCCAGGGTATCTCATATGGTGCATGTTGTGCCTTAACATATCCCCATTTGTTCACCAATATATGCCAAAGTATGTGGTAAAAAATAATTTTGGGCATTTTTTACAGACGGATTACATTTTTGCTGGGCATTTTGTACATTTCATATGTGCCACTAAGTTCAAACCCTCCAAATTATGCTCAGCTAAGTCTTCTGAGTAAAACAATATGCCCAATGTATGACCTAGACACTATTTTGTGAAGTTACACTGCTGTAAAAGAGACGTGACAAGTTAAGGTTTTGAAGTGTGAATTTTCATGGAGGGTTTTGATGCGTCCGTGTCCCACTTTGGAGCACTTGAGCAGGCTACATATTACAACTACACCATAAAGGCATACCATTTCTTAAAGAACACATCCCAGGATATTTCAAAAGGCATATTTTGAACCTTAGCGTGGGATAATTTTTCCGCTAGCTTGTTCCAATTGTAGTGGTAATAAGTGTTTTTTTTTGCCTTTTTGACACACAAAGTGAGTTTGCACAGTATATTTTGCAAATCGAATGTGTGCTACAACTGTATAATACTTCATATGTTGCTCAGCTATGTCAGCTGAGTACAGCAATACCCCCATATGTACCTTTGCCAGGTATATGTGGACATTGAAGGGGCACATTTGAGACACAGCCATTCCAGTTTTTCTTAAATTTTGAATTTTTACGCTGTGTCCATGTCCCATTTTAGAGTATTTTACAAGGCTATATAATCCAATTACACCATACAGGCATACCATTTCTTAAAGAAGACATCCCAGGGTAATTCAAAAGGCATATTTTGAACCTTAGCGTGGGATTATTTTTCTGCTAGCTTGTACCAAGTGTAGTGGTAATGAGCATTTTTTAATGTATTTTTTTTACTTTGTAAACCTTTGTTTACTTTGCAAAACCCGTTTTTAAACTTTTTTTTACTTATTAAATGTTTTACATTTTCTTAACTTTTTTTCTAAACTTTTCTTTTACCGTTAACTCCTAACTAGCAGTAAGCAGCACTAACAGTAAATTCCCCCTTTTCCGATAACTCCCACATACTCCAGCTAGCAAAATATAATTGAAAATGTATTTATACTTACCGTAACTTGCTTTTCCTGGTCATAGGCCATGGCAGCACAACATTGGGTAGCTCCTCCCTATCCCCATTAGACAGGAATAATAATTAAGCCGTATAAGTACCACCTCCTACCCCTCCTTCCCCAGTCATGTTTTTCAGCAATAGCCCTGGGTGGGACCCTTGTGCTGCCATGGCCTATGACCAGGAAAAGAAAATTACGGTAAGTATGAATAAATTTTCCATTTTCCTGGCCATATCCATGGCAGCACAACATTAGGTTATACCCAAGCAATAAACCAGGGAGGGAAGAAGACACAGACTCGAAAATTTGAATGCAAAGTGTATTAACACCATTAACAAGTGACAAACAAAGAAATCATGTATCGGATACAGACAGAACTGATTTAGCAAATTGATCTGATAGACCTGCTCTGACATCAATTTGATAACTTCTAATGAAGGTATTGGTGGAAGACCATGTGGCCGCCTTACAAATGAGTTCAGGAGAGACGTTAGCTGCGGCTGCACAGGAAGATGAGAGGGCCCTAGTGGAATGGGCTTTAAGACCCACAGGGACTGGATTTCCAGAAGATTGATAAGCCAGTATAATGGCTGCCACTATCCACCTGCTAATGGTAGATTTAGGGGCTTGTAAGCCTTTTTTACTACAGCTATGAAGGACCAAGAGACTTTGAGAAGTGCACCAAGCAGCAGTCCTTTCAATATATATATGAAGGCATCTCACTAGGTCCAGAGATGACAGGTCAGTTGAATTCTCACTTTCTGGGAATTCAGACCTCAGAGATGGAAGAACAATATCTTCGTTGATGTGAAAAGCGGAGGTGACTTTAGGTCTAAATTCAGGAACAGTACGGAGGATAACTCTGTCCTTGTGAAAGACTGTAAAGGGTTCCTTAATGGATAGGGCGTGGAGCTCCAAAACTCTCTTGCCGGAAGCTAGGGCGATCAGCAAAGCTGTCTTAATAGAGAGAACATGTAGAGGAATTGATTCAAGGCGTTCAAAGGGCTCCAATTTTAAGGCGTTCAGAACCAAAAGGGAGATTCCAGGAGGGAACAAATGGCTTAATTGGAGGTTTAATTTTAAGGACTCCTTTAATGAATCTGATAACATCCCAGTCCAATGCCCATCTATGATTGGTTAAGGCGGACAAAGCTGAGACTTGTACTTTTAGAGTATTATAACTCAGACCTTTAGCAAGTCCAGACTGCAGGAACTCCAAAATATCCGTGGAAGAGGGATTCTGCAGAGGAGGTTCCACTGAAAAACTTTGAAGCAGGGGAAACCAAGGCCTTCGAGGCCAATAGGGCGCTATCAGGATGAGAGATACCTGCTCTGTTCTCATCCTCCTCAGGATTGGGAAGATCAGTGGAAATGGAGGGAACGCACACCCTATTTTGAATCTCCAGGGACTGGACAAAGCGTCTCTTCCCAGTGCCATATGGTCTTCTTCTTTCGTGAAGAAGTCCTTTACTTTCCTGTTGACCCGAGAAGCTAGTGGGTTCACTTGTGAGAGACCCCACTTGTCTACAATCGTGCGGAATACTCTGTCCGATAGGCACCATTCCCCTGGGTCTATCCTGGATCTGCTGAGGTAATCTGCTAATTGATTCCGTTTCCCTGGTAGATGGATGGCTGTAAGGCCTGCCAGGTTCCTCTGAACCCACCACATCAGTCGTTTCATAATCACCATCATCTTGCCACTCCAGGTGCCTCCTTGATGATTGACATAGGATACCACGGTGGTGTTGTCTGTTCTTATCTTTACCCATTGACCCTAGAGATGCACCGAGAAGTGTTTCAATGCTTTGAGGACTGCCAGAAGTTCTAGCAGATTGGAATGCACATTGTTTGCCATGAAACTCCATTCTTCCTGTGCAAAGTCGTGGAGACAATGGGCGCCCCATCCCCATTGGCTGGCATCTGTTGTCACTGCTATCCATGTGATGTCTCCTATTGGAAAACCCCTGGATAGGTGTTCTTTGTTCACCCACCAGATCAGAGAATGGCGTACGGCCCGGGATAACCTGATGGGTTGAAGCAGATTCTTGGAGGAAAATTGCATCAGGAAATTGGCTTGAAATGGTCTCATCCTCCATTGTGCCCATCTGGTCAGTCCTATCGTGGAGGACATAGATCCAAGAAGGCTCATTACCGCCTTTGCAGGATCAATACTGGACTTTAACATCTTTCTCAATTGTATCCTGAGTTTCAATATTCTTGCCATTGAAAGTTGGACAGTACCCATCAGAGTGTCGAAGTGAGCACCTAAATAAATCATGGAGGTGGGTGGAGGTGGCTCTTCTTGGTGTTGATCTTCCAGTCGTGGGCTTGCAGAAACTGAATGCTGGTAATAGCTTGGGAGGTCAATGAATCTTTGCTGTTTCCTATGATCAGGATGTCGTCCAAATAATGGTAGATAGCAATATTCTGTTTTCTTAGTTCTGCAATCAGAACTACCTACACTTTTGTGAACATCCTCGGGGCTGTGCTTAGTCCAAACGGGAGGGCTCTGAACTGGAAATTACCTTCTTCCACGGCAAACCTCAGGAACCTTTGATGGGACTGAGCAATGGGTATGTGAAAGTAGGCGTCTAACAGGTCTATAGACAACATCCATTGGTTGGGTAACACTACTTTGATTATAGACTGCAGGGATTCCATCTTGAATCTGCGAATGTGTAGATGCTTGTTTAATCTGTGCGGATCCAGAATGGGTCTCCATCCTCCTGAGGATTTTTTCGTTAAGAAGATGTGAGAGTAAAACCCCTGAGCTCTGTCGTCTGCTGTCACTGTTATGATGACCTTCTCTGCTTGTAAGGATAGAATGAAGTTTTGTAGAGCCATACGCTTCTCTTTGTCCCCTGGCCACTTTGTGAGATGAAAGGACCTGTTGGGAGGATGCTTGAAGAATTCTAGAAGGTATCCTCTCCGAATAATATCCAGCACCCAACTGTCGCTTGTGGATTCTTCCCATACGGGTAAATATTGAAGAAGACAAGCCCCTACCCCTTCGGATTTGGGAATTATATAGTCATAAATTCCTAGGGTTCTTGGAGGGAGAAGCACCTCGTGACTTGCCTCCTCCTCCTCCAGATTGGGCTCCTCTCCCCGGTTGAAATCTGGAATATTCTCTACCAGGCTTGTCAGATCTACTATCTCGAAAGGAATGATACTCTTTTCGGGCACGAAAGGAACCTTTATATTTCCTCTCTTGAGGTAGAAAGGCCGCCCTCTTTATACATTCGTCTAAGTGCTTACCAAACAACATATTCCCGTGGAATGGTAAGGAACATAAACTATTCTTGGAGGAAGCATCGGCTGCCCAAGACCTGAGCCAAAGCGCACGTCTGGAGGAAATTGAAAAGGACATATTTCTAGCAAGATTTCTTACTAGATCCACTGCTGCTTCGGACGAAAAATCAATGGCTAAACGCATATCTCTTAGGCCATCCACAATGGAGGAACGGCTTCTGCCACTCCTGATGTCCTCCTCCAGTTCTTGTAGCCATACGTTCATAGCTCTTGTAACTGACGTAAGAGCAACGGCAGGGTGGAGACTCGTGCCTGAGGCTACATAGGACTTGGAAAGGTAGTACTCCATTTTACGATCCATCGGATCCCTGAAGGAACTTGCATCGTCCACGGGTAGGGTAGTGTGTTTGGCTAACCTGACAACTGCAGCATCAACCTTGGGTGCAAAATCCGATGCTTCTGCATCTTTGGGCTCAAACGGGACCATTCTTCCTTAATAAGATCACTGATTGTCTCATGCACCGGGAAAGCTGCTCTTTTTCTCCTAAGATCAGAGAAATATCGATTAGACGTAGAGGGTTCCTCTTCTGAGGGTTCCTTTAAAGTGAGGGCTTCTCTAACCTGGGCAATTAAATGATCCACTTCCCCTGGTAGCAGGAAGTCTGGATCTGGCATAGCATCCTCCTCCGAGGAAAAAGCTAGGTCTCTCAGCTAAGCTGAATCCATAAACTCATCTTCTGAGTTTCCTGGAGAAAAATCTGAGGGCTCAGAATATCTAGGTCGTTTGTGGGTCTTTCCCACCTCTCTGATGCCCTGGGCAACTACATGCTTTATACGTTGCATAATGTCCGGTGTTGGATTAGAAGGTCCTGCAGTTGCTGAGAGACAATCTGAACAGAGACGTTTCCCTTCTATGGCTCTGTTGTCACAGGATATGCATAGCATCCTTTTGGGCGACTTCCCTTTGGACGATCCTGAAGTCTTTGTACTTTTAGCACTACAATACACAAAACGTGCTTTTGAGTACATTCCCACTCTTATTTTTTTATTTAAGAAAAAGATGGCTTACCTATATTGCTTAGATTGTGACCTATTATGAGATGAATCCGATTCCCTGGATCTTGAACGAGAATCCATCTGGAAATAATTGATGGAAAAGATGAACTTAAACCAAGAAGAGTAAGGATAATAAAAAAAGAAATAATGTGGAAAAATACAGAAAATTTTATCATGCTTACCGTAATTTTCTTTTCCTGGCTATTATTCATGGAAGCATCACTTATGGGTAGTTCCACCCTAATCAGGAACAGGACAGGATAAAATCAATTAAATACGGACCAGACTGGGTATAAAAGGTCCCTCCTCCTTCTATCCCACAGTCTAGTTCCAAAGCTAAATCTGATAACAAGGGGGGGTTGCTGATGCTGCCATGAATAATAGCCAGGAAAAGAAAATTACGGTAAGCATGATAACATTTTCTGTATTCCTGGCTAATCATGGCAGCATCACTTATGGGTAATACCCAAGCTTCACCATAGGGTGGGAAATTCAAAAAACAAAAAAAACTCCAAACCAGATAATGCTGAAGAAAGTTTAATTTAGATAGATTCCACAGAGGACAGAACACCTCTACCAAAAGCCGTAGAGGAAGATGCCAAATCCAGTTTGTAGTGTTTGATGAAAGTGAGAGGAGAAGACCATGTAGCTGCCTTACAGATGTCGTCAGATGGAACTTCTGCCCAATTAGCCCATGATGTTGCTAAAGCCATTGTAGAGTGTGATTTGATCCTACTAGGAGGAACAAGGTCTTTCAACTGATAAGCCTTGATTATAGTATTGGAGATCCAACGTCTCAAGGTGGAAGTAGAGGCTGCTTCCCCTCTTCTGGGACCAATCGGAAGAACAAACAGCTGTTGAGACTTCCGAAATTGAGTAGAAACCTCTATGTACTTGAGTAGGCACTGCCTGACATCCAATTGATGAAGTTTCACTTCCTCTGGAGTAGAAGGAGATGGATAAAAGGAAGGAATAACAATTTCCTGTAAGATGTGGAAATTCGAGACAACTTTCGGCAGAAACTCTTGTCTGGGTCTCAAGATCACCCTGTCGTGGAATACCTGAAAGTGATTTTCATCGCAGGAAAATGCATGAATTTCCGACATGCGTTTTGCAGTAGTAACAGCCACCAGAAACAAGGTCTTATATGTTAATAAGACGATACCCAGCTCATCTAATGGAGCAAAGGGGTTTTCAGACAATACCTCTAGTACCATAGGTAAATTCCATGGAGGAGTGTAGTTCCTATTTGGAGGTCTTATACGGATGGTTGCTTTAAAGAATCTAGCAATTAGAGAATCCGAAGCCCAAGACTTGTTGCAGAGAGCAGATAAAGCCGATGATTGGACTTTTAGAGTACTAAGACTCAGCCCTTTCTCCAGACCTGTATGAAGAAAATGTAGAATGTTGATGTTAGATGGCTGAAGAAAATCCACATTATTATCTTGAGACCAGGAACGAAAAACTTCCCAAATCTTATGATAGCAGGAAGAAGTTGATACTTTTCTAGATTTAAGGAGATTAGTTACCACAGCTTCTGAGATCCCTTGAGCTAGTAGTCTCTCCTTTTCAAGAGCCATGCCCCCAATTTCAGCTGGCTGGGGTTGGGATGAACAGCTGGTCCCTGGATTAAGATGTTTGGTCTGAGAGGAAGAGGCCAAGGTGGTTCCAGGCTCATCTTGTTCAGCAGAGGAAACCAAGGTCTGCGAGGCCAGATTGGGATGATGGCAATGACTTTGAGACCTTCCTTCCATATTTTTCTCAGCAGTCGGTAAATCATTGGTAGGGGAGGGAACGCGTACTCCAGATCGAATTCCCATGGAAGAGACAGGGCATCCTGTCCTTCTGCTCGATGATCCGCATGTAGGGAGTAAAACCTCTTCACCTGAGTGTTGTTGTATGAAGCCATCAGGTCGATCTGGGGTACTCCCCACCGCAGGGTGATCAAGTGAAATAATTCTGGGTGCAGTTTCCATTCTCCTTGGAGAATCCTTGTTCTGCTGAGATAATCCGCCAATAAATTCTCTGGTCCCAGAAGATAAACCGCTTTTAATCCTTGTAAATGCAGTTGCGCAAACCTCATTATTGGGGACAATTCCATCAGTAGAGAATAACTTCGAGTGCCTCCATGATGATTTATGTAGGAAGCCACTGCTCTGTTGTCTGTATGTATCCTCACCCAAGCATCCCTCAATAGAGGACGGAACCCTATTAATGCCTTGAGGACCGCTCTCATTTCTCTCAAATTCGAATGAAGTTTTGACTCCTTCCATGACCAAGTTCCTTGAATCCAAGAGTTGTTCAGGTGTGCTCCCCATCCCAGGAGGCTGGCATCTGTTGTTATAGTCATCCAAATCGGCTCTTCCAGGGGAAAACCACAAAGGAGGTGTTTTTCTTTTGTCCACCAATACAGCTCTTTCGAAATTCTCGGGAGTAAACGAATCTTCTGATCCCAATTCCCGGATTTTGCTTTGAACTCTAAGAGAAAATGCCTCTGAATGGGTTGCATCCTCCACTGGGCCCATCTCACTAGGCCTATCGTGGAAGTAAGAGACCCTAACAGGCTCATGAAATCTCTTGCTGTGATGTAGGATTTTTGACGCAGACTTCTGATCTTCTTCACTATTCGTTCTTTTCTGTCTGTAGACAGTGATACCAGGCCATTCACCGAGTCTATATTTGCTCCTAGGAAAATCATCCTCTGAGAAGGCACCAAAGAACTCTTTTTGGGGTTTATCAGCCAACCATGATCTTGAAGGCATTTGATGGTTATTGACGTGTGGACATTTGCTATCTGACTGGAAGGACCTAAGATCAGAAAATCGTCCAGATAATGAAAAGCTCGATGTTCTTTGTCCTTATAAAGGCCACCAGAGAAACTAGAATTTTCGTGAACGTTCTGGGCGTCAGACTTAAGCCGAAGGGAAGTCCCTTGAACTGATAGTGATTCCCCGAAATCCAAAACCTCAGAAACCGGCGATGACTGACGTGAATAGGTATCTGATAGTAGGTGTGGCGAAACCGGCCTCGCCACGTGTCCTTGGAGGGGGCTGCTTGCCTGCCTCTTGCCTTTGGACTATGGACCAGACTTTATATGAATGTGTTAACCCAGATAGCTATGCCATGGAGCCCATTCGTGTAGTTAAAGACTTCGGCTCCATGGCAATTGAAGTGTGTGAATAGGATCTGAGCGCTATTTGGTAGTTTTGTGCGCTCAGATCCCAGCTATCTGGGGATATGTGAAATGTCTGTGTTTTATGTATAAAAGGTGACTTTATGTATTTTAAAGTGTTTTGTGTCTTTTTGCAACCATGTGCTTAATGGAGTCTTGTGTCTGTCCTGGGAGATAATTGAATTACTCTCCAGGATAGAAGACTCTGAAACTGGTTTGGGCCGGAAAGCCATGCTTCATTTAGTCACAAAGGACTTTCCCTTAACTTTTGAACCCCTGGTCTGATTCGTGCCATTTTTTAATATGTTGTTCCCCTGAATGGATTGATTATGAAAATGTATGTTTTATGTTTGTGACATTTATATTTTAGGAGTTATAAATATTGTGTAAAAACTGTATTCCTCTGCCGGTGATAATGAGATTACCCATTGTGTTCAGTAATCATATCACCTGCAGAGGGGAGGATTTTGTGTGGGAGTGTCTGCGTGTATTGTATGGATTGATTGGCTGTTTTGTAACGCCCTGTGGGCTGTACTATGTTTGTGGATTGGGAATAAAAGAGACTGTATGTGACAGTACAGAGAGTTCCTGTTTTAACCCTCAAAGTGAAGTGTCGTCTCATTATTGGGGGAAGGATTTATTGTATGCTGTTCCAGTTTGACTGCTAGGAGAGTAAACCTATTCGTATGGTTCCTATTCAACTGTCTACAGCATTCATATGCTTGAGAGGATTCATATGCTTCTCCGGTTCGGTGGTTGTGGTGTCTGCTGCAGGGCTTGGAGTCCTCAGGAAGCGCTAGGAGCATCCTTTAACGGAGGTACCCAGTCGGGGTGCCAGGCGATCCGTTACAGTAGGCGTCCTTGAGATCGATAGAAGTCATCCAGGTCCCTGTCTTTATATTGGGCAGAATTGTGGTAATGGACTCCATTTTGAACGTTCTTGGAACCAAATATGTATTCAGAACTTTTAGGTCCAAAATTAGACGCCATTTCCCCTGAGGTTTTGGGGCCAAAAATATCGTAGAGAAGTGGCCTCTGTAATGTTCTCTGTAAGGGACTTTCTCTATGACCTGATTTCGTAGAAGTTGAGAAATAATGTCAATCAGAGCAACTTCTTTTCTTCCTCTTGCCACTCTTGAACGGATAAAGGAGGTTTGAGAAGGGAATTCTTTGAATTCTATTTTGTATCCTTCCCTGAGGATAGAAAGAACCCAAGAATCTTGAATACTTTTGGCCCAAACCGGATAAAAGAAGCGAAGTCTGCCTCCTATAACATCTGGCTGGGCCAGCAAACGTTCAGAAGTTTTTATTAGCTGGTCTAGATCCTCTTCCTCTAACTGGTTTTGATGAAGAGGACTGACAGCTTCTCCAATTAGAATTCCTGGAGTATTCTCTTCCGGGTCTATATGCCCTGACATCTCGAAAGGATCGGTCTCTGAACTTTTTATCCTTCCAGTAGGAAGCACTAAATCTTCTCTTCCCTTGGGGGAGAAAAGCTTTTCTCCCATCTGCTGCTTTATGGATCGCATCTTCCAGGACTTTACCAAATAGAAGGTCCACTTGAAAAGGAAGCGCACATAGAGAGGCCTTAGGGGCGTAATCTGCACCCCAAGAGTGAAGCCATAATGCTCTCCTTGAAGCAACTGAGAGCGCCATACTTTTAGCTACCATTTTAGTAATATCCAGGGAAGCTTCAGAACAGAATTCTGTGGCCAGTTTTAAATCTTTAAGGCCCTCCATCAGGTGTTCTCTACGGACTCCACTAGCAATATCCTCTTCTAGATTATCAACCCATATTTTAAGAGCTCTGGACAAGGTGGTAAGAGCAATGGCTGGATGTAATGCCGATCGCAGGGCCAGGTATGCCTTAATCAGGTCAGCGTCCAATCGCTTTTCCATTGGCTCCCTTAAATATGCCATTGAATCTATGGGAAGAGTTGTTCTTTTCGCCATGTGAATGACTGCTGCATCAATTTTCGGAACCGAAATCCATGATTTGCAGTCCTCAGGAGCATACGGGTATAATCTGGGGACTTTGCTCTTTAAAGTCACCTTCCTCTCAGGTCTATTCCATTCTGCACCTATTACCTCTTTGATGGCCGAATGAACTGGAAAGGTGGGTCTGTTAGGCTTCAGATCTTCAAAATATCTGTCAGACTCCTTCTTCTCCCTGCTTTCTTCAGGAATTCTTAACGTGTCTCTGATAAGATAAACCAACTTATCCACAGACCTGGAATCCAGAGATTTTGAGTCACACTCATCCTCTTCTTCCTCTGAATAATCTTCTATTATATCAGATTCCTCTTCTGATTCCACATAGCTTTCCACTCTGGGACGCTTGGGGAAAGCCATCTTACTAGAGGATTTAAACCCTTCAGCAATTGCTTCTGAAATCCATTTCTTTAAGTCAGCCTGTGGGGAACTTTTCTTATCCCAGTCCTTCGCTGTTTCCGTCAGGCAATATCTGCACAAATTATTTCCCGGAGGAGCCACTTGGTTGCAGTTTGCACATCTGTTGGATTTTTCTCTATATTTTCTGGGAGAATTCTCTTGAGATTTTTCTGGGCTGAAAATAGAGGCCAATATGCATAATATTATAGGCCTGTAATGGCACTCTTTTCCCCCCTTAAATCAATAAGAACATATGCGGCTCACCTATGTCTTCTAGAGCGAGATCTTGAGGCAGAGGGAGAAGCCATCTAAAATAATAATATGCTTATTGTAGAAGAAAAATTTTAAGCAGCAAAAAAAAAAAAATAATACATAAAAAAATACCAATAAAATAGGATTTTTACCTTTTAACCAGATTCTGAAAGAAAAAGGCAGCTTTCCTTATCATCAGAAGATCAGAGAAGAAGCCAGGATCAATTCCGAGTGATTTTTTAAAATTTTCATTTTGGGCGATATCCCTTTAAGCGCGCAAATATTCCGCGCATGCGCAGAACACCCGCCGGACGCCGTTGGTACTGCGCATGCGCCGGAAAGCCGAACACAGAAGAGACAGACCGGAGGAAAGCCCCTGCACCAGGCTGACACAGAGAGGAATAAGAAGAAGACTGATGCAGGTAAGTAACAGCCACCAGCCAGATTTTAGCTACCATTTTAGAGGAAGCACTATAATCTGCATCCCAAATAAAATAGAAAGAAACAGAAAGAACTTACCCTAGCTTCTCCCAAGTACTGACCTCAGATCAGGGGGGTTAGATGCCATAAGGGGAATTTTTAAGGCAACAGCCGACCCCACATCAATATGGATTGAAACTTTTCTTCCATAATAGTACAGATGCTAATCTGTACTAAACTCAGTTAGTCCTGCCCGTGCAGGCTGTTTACTGAGTTCTTCAGATGAAGAGAGGCTGAACTTCATCTGGAGGCCCATGGTACACATGGGCAGGTGGCCCAAAATAAAATATCCTGTGTGTCCTGAAAGGACAGGAAAAAAAGACTGTGGGATAGAAGGAGGAGGGACCTTTTATACCCAGTCTGGTCCGTATTTAATTGATTTTATCCTGTCCTGTTCCTGATTAGGGCGGAGCTACCCATAAGTGATGCTGCCATGATTAGCCAGGAAACTTACTTTTGTCCTAGAAAAGAAAGGAATCTGGAAAAGGTGAAGAACCGACAGTTCCGTCAAAGCTCTATGGTACAAGAATACTTCTTCTGTAGGGAATAATCAGCCTTGTAAGAAAAAATGTGGTTTGGTGCTTTAAAAAGGCGTCTGATGTCACCGCGCATGTGCAAAGAACCGAAAAACCGCGCGAACGGCTTCAAATGATTTAATTTACACGAACGGTTTTAGCGCGCGAACGCCGCGCAGGCGTCCTGAAACTCCCGAACACCGCGCATGCACCCTGGAAACTCACAAACGTCGCGCAGGTGCCCTGGAAACTCACAAACGCCGCGCAGGCACCCTGGAAACTCATGAACGCTGCGCAGGCGCACTGGAACACAAGAACGCTGTGTGGGCACCCTGAAGACTCTGCAGGCGGCCAGAAAGATGGGAAAAGCAAACAACTTACCGGCTAAATGTTCCTGGCGGTAAGTTTGAATCCACATCAGCCTCATACATTATTTCTGGTGGGAAGATTCCAATCATATAACCAGTTCACTAGTAATGTAATTGGTCCTTTACTTGCTACTCCTGAGGTCATTGCAAGGTAGTGGAAAGGAAAAACCCCCGGTCACTAAAGGGGTTTTCTCCAGGGGGACACCTTTACGCAGGGCCGTATACTGGAGACTTCCCAGGGGAGAGAGGGTGAACTCCCCAGGGGCTGGAGGAACTAATGCTCAGGTAAGCCATAAAAGAAAATGTTATGGTCCTAAAGACCAACATGTCCTAGGGATAGGACAGGAAAAAAAGGCTGGCGGAAGGAGGGGTCGGAGGTGGTACTTATACGGCTTAATTATTATTCCTGTCCAATGGGGATAGGGAGGAGCTACCCAATGTTGTGCTACCATGGATATGGCCAGGAAATATAATTATAAAATATTTAAATTAATTAAATAAATGGAACCTCTGAGGGTTAAAAAATAAATAAAAGTTAATCCTCAAGGGTTAAAAGAAATTAGATTACAGTATAATACTATTATCTGTATTTTGATCACTGTAGGCAGTGATCAGCTGGCAGGGAAGGGGTTAATTTCTATTTAGACTGGGTAAAGGGGGATGGTATTTTTTTTTTTTTTTACTTAAACGTTTGTAAAACTTTTTTTTTACCTTTTTAAAGCTTATTTTAAAACTTTTAACTGGCCCTCTGTTTAAAAAGTATGAGGACCCCTGCACTAGAGATTGGATTAACCCTGTAATGTAAACATAGTAGTTTCTCTGAAACAGCTATGTTTACATCTGAAGGGTTAAAACCTGGGGGACCTGGCACCCAGACCACTGCATTGAGCTGAAGTGGTCTGGGTGACTATAGTGGTTCTTTAAAGGACCACTATAGTGCCATGAAAACATACTTGTTTTCCTGGCACTATAGTGCCCTGAGGGTGCCCCCACCCTCAGGGTCCCACTTCCGCCCAGCTCTGGAAGGGGGTAAAAATGTACCTTTTTCCAGCGCTGAGCAGGGAGCTCTCCTCCTCCCCGTCAGCTGACGCATCAGAAGCTGTGCGTGCACATTCAGCCGGTCGCATAGAAAAGCATTATCAATGCTTTCCTATGGACGCTTGCGTGCGCTCACTGTGATTTTCAATGAGACAGCCGCTAGAGGTTTTGGGAGAAGGCTTAACCCATTCATAAACATAGCAGTTTCTCTGAAACTGCTATGTTTATAAAAGAATGGGTTAATCCTAGAGGTACCTGGCACCCAGACCACTTCATTGAGCTGAAGTGGCCTGGGTGCCTAGAGTGGTCCTTTAAGTTGCAAACATTGTTATTAGTAAGTCACCTATTTTTCATTACAACCCCTCCCCCCCCAATTAAAGTGTTGTCTATTTGAAACTGTGGAAGGGATGAGATGTGCTTCCTACCACTTTGTACCATGTCTAGCTGGTTATGGCATGGGAACCGCACACTCATGAAGACATTCTCCCACATGAATATTAATTAGACCCTATTGTGAGTCCATGGAGGTCAGTGTATGATCAGGTCCATCCAATGACATTAATTTCCCGTAGAATAGCGCTGATGGCGACAATCCCACATTACATATCTCCCGTGTGCGGCCCTGGTGGTGCTGTCAGTATGGTCACTAGGCAGCACTCTCCCGCCCACCTCCAGCCCGACCGCGCCTTCCACAAGGAGCGCGCCGAATAGAACTAGAACCTTCCGCGGCGGGAGCGCGCACCAGCACGCACACACGCACGCACTCCATAGACACAGGGGGCGGGGCACACGAAGACCCCTTCCCTCTCGTGACGCACGCTCTGTAGTATGGGCGGGGCTAAGCGCGCAGCCGCTCTGCTTACTATCTCTGGCGCCTTTGTCCTTCCGCCATTTTGAGCAATCAAGTCGCTGATTGGGCTTGGAGCTCCGGTTCTGGAACCAATCAGAGCGGAGAGAAGAACCGAGACCGGGAGAGGAGGTAAGAGGGACCGGTGGGGAGAGCCAATAACACCGCGGGGAGGGAGAAACATGACCTGAGCCATGCAGCCAATAACACCAATGGATCGGCCAATAACACAGACAGCCAATCCGAGGGCGATACCGCCAATAACACACTGCGAGCACCGGCCACCGCCAATAACACACTGCGAGCACCGGCCACGGACACACACACTGCCGGGGCACAGCGCGGGCGGCACCGGGAACATACACTGTGACACAATACCGGAGTACAGCACCGGGCACACACTGCACCAATATACAGTGTATACACAGCTCCAATCAATCAGCACCTATAGTACTGTGTATATACACTGCATCCATCCATATACTGTATGTACACTGCATATTATACTGCATCCATATACTGTATGTACACTGCATATTATACTGCATCCATATACTGTATGTATACTGCATATTATACTGCATCCATATACTGTATGTATACTGCATATTATACTGCATCCATATACTGTATGTACACTGCATATTATACTGCATCCGTATACTGTATGTACACTGCATATTATACTGCATCCATATACTGTATGTACACTGCATATTATACTGCATCCATATACTGTATGTACACTGCATATTACACTGCATCCATATACTGTATATACACTGCATCCATATACTGTATATACACTGCGTCCATATACTGTGTATATACACTCCGTCCATATACTGTGTATATACACTCCGTCCATATACTGTGTATATACACTCCGTCCATATACTGTGTATATACACGCCGTCCATATACTGTGTATATACACGCCGTCCATATACTGTGTATATACACTGCATATTATACTGCATCCATGTACTGTATATACACTGCATCCATATACTGAATATACACTGCATCCGTATACTGAATATACACTGCATCCGTATACTGTATGTACACTGCATATTATACTGCATCCGTATACTGTATGTACACTGCATATTATACTGCATCCATATACTGTATGTACACTGCATATTATACTGCATCCATATACTGTATGTACACTGCATATTATACTGCATCCATGTACTGTGTATATACACTGTATCCATGTACTGTATATACACTGCATATTACACTGCATCCATATACTGTATATACACTGCATCCATATACTGTATATACACTGCATCCATATACTGTATATACACTGCATCCATGTACTGTATATACACTGCATCCATGTACTGTATATACACTGCGTCCATGTACTGTATATACACTGCGTCCATGTACTGTGTATATACACGCCGTCCATGTACTGTGTATATACACGCCGTCCATGTACTGTGTATATACACGCCGTCCATGTACTGTGTATATACACGCCGTCCATATACTGTGTATATACACGCCGTCCATGTACTGTGTATATACACGCCGTCCATATACTGTGTATATACACGCCGTCCATATACTGTGTATATACACGCCGTCCATATACTGTGTATATACACGCCGTCCATATACTGTGTATATACACGCCGTCCATATACTGTGTATATACACTGCATATTATACTGCATCCATGTACTGTATATACACTGCATCCATGTACTGTATATACACTGCATCCATGTACTGTATATACACTGCATCCATATACTGTATATACACTGCATCCATATACTGAATATACACTGCATCCGTATACTGAATGTACACTGCATCCGTATACTGTATGTACACTGCATATTATACTGCATCCATATACTGTATGTACACTGCATATTATACTGCATCCATATACTGTATGTACACTGCATATTATACTGCATCCATATACTGTATGTACACTGCATATTATACTGCATCCATGTACTGTGTATATACACTGTATCCATGTACTGTATATACACTGCATATTACACTGCATCCATATACTGTATATACACTGCATCCATATACTGTATATACACTGCATCCATATACTGTATATACACTGCATCCATGTACTGTATATACACTGCATCCATGTACTGTATATACACTGCGTCCATGTACTGTATATACACTGCGTCCATGTACTGTGTATATACACGCCGTCCATGTACTGTGTATATACACGCCGTCCATGTACTGTGTATATACACGCCGTCCATGTACTGTGTATATACACGCCGTCCATATACTGTGTATATACACGCCGTCCATATACTGTGTATATACACGCCGTCCATATACTGTGTATATACACGCCGTCCATATACTGTGTATATACACGCCGTCCATATACTGTGTATATACACGCCGTCCATATACTGTGTATATACACGCCGTCCATATACTGTGTATATACACTGCATATTATACTGCATCCACACTGCATCCGTATACTGTATGTACACTGCATCCGTATACTGTATGTACACTGCATATTATACTGTATATACACGCATCCGTATACTGTATGTACACGCCATCCGTATACTGTATGTACACTGTATATACACTGCATATTATACTGTGTATATACACTCCATCCATGTACTGTATGTACACTGCATCCATGTACTGTATGTACACTGCATATTATACTCCATCCATGTACTGTATGTACACTGCATATTATACTGTATATACACTGCATCCATATACTGTATGTACACTGCCTATTATACTGTATATACACTGCATCCATATACTGTATGTACACTGCCTATTATACTGTATGTACAATGCATATTATACTGCATCCATGTACTGTATGTACACTGCATATTATACTGTATATACACTCCATCCATATACTGTATATACACTGCATGTTATACTGTATATACATTGCATATTATACTGCATCCATGTACTGTATGTACACTGCATATTATACTGTATATACACTGCATTCATAGTACTGTATAAACACTGACCATTATACTGCATCCATTGTCCTGTATATACCCCATTGTACAGCGCTATGGAATTTGCTGCTGCTATATAAATAATATAACACTGCATCAGTAGTACTATTTATACACTGCCCATTACACTGCATTCATATGCTGTATATACACTGTGCCTAAAATACCGCAACCATTGTGCTGTGTAAATATAATGCCCAGTGTGCTGTACCCATTTTACTGTTTATATACCGTGCCCACCATATTACTTCTACAGTTATGTTTATACTTGGTGCCACCAATAATACTGTGCCTAGTATTGTGTATACACCATGTCCAGCATACAGCGCCCATTGTCCTGTATACATGCTGTGTCAAGCATACTACCTCTAATATACTGTGTGTAGACTGTGCCCAGGGTACAACACTCCTTGAACCGTGTATGTGTTGTGTCCACGATTAGGCATCGTCAATGCCTATAGTGCTGTACGTCCCCTGCATTAGCATTCAATAAAACTTGTACCCATTGTAATATCCGGGTTATTCGCGAAATGCTCATTTTTTTTGTGAATTAAACCTGACTGGAAAATTTGAGGCTAAAATAGCTGTTAGGGAAAAAAAAAAAAAACATTAGTCAATAGTTGACAAAGCCATGTAAGCCTTTATTTTTACCATGTGGGTTTTCATTGTGCGCTGGCTTCAGCATTCTTTGTAACTATAGTATGGTATATACACCCTGCCCGGCATGTAGCATGCATATAGGCCTGGACACACACACACGTTGCACCCAAAGAAACTTAATTTACCTAGCACACTTATACTTTGTATACATTGAACTCAGAAAAAAAAAAAAAAACTGACCCCTATTACTGTAAATAGAACTTACTCAACACACTGCACCCATAATGCATTGCATGCACCCAGCATATAGTATGCACTGCACCTATATTGCTGTTAACATTGTGTCAGCATACAGCACAAATTGGGACACTCACTACATGTAAAATACATCTGTTGTAGCGTGGTGGTTATGTTAATTTCTAGGGGGTTGTCTGCGTTTAATGTAATGTGCAATACAATAACAAGTCTGTCAAATATCCCTTTACCATATTTTACTCTTTTGTGGACAAATTTGGTTATGAATATATAAACATAGGGGAGTTGCCAATGGCTACGGCACATGAAGTGTTCTTTTAATTGCACTAATACTGTATATTGATTTTTAAAAGGACATATACCCCTTATAACCTTTTATGTGTGACTTTTTTTTTTAAAATAGTTTTGCTTATAGAAATTTGTAAACCTAAAGAAATAACACAACATAAATCCTGGATGATCCCTTATTCTGGTGTGGGTTAAAAGGAGTTTGATTTGTACAAACTGTGCAACTCACATTTTTGCAGAAGTCTAGAAAATTATTGACATTCATAGTTTCCGTTTTCAAACTACACTCTTTCATTTACTAAGCCCATGTCTGTTTTGGGACAAATTTGACCATTTAATATGGAGCATTTTGTTTCTTATCATCTAGCCTTTCTATCAGTGTCTGTCTAATTTAGCAGTAAATTACATTTTTTTTTTTTTATATATATTTCTTGTCACATGAAATTTGATGGTGAATTTTACTGGGGCTTTTGTGTTGTACAATTTCAAAGTCCCTAGTGTTGTATTTTGCTACATCTCCCAAGTACAGCAATACCCACGTTTATACCTTTTACTAGATTTTTCTGAAACTTAAAATATCAGAATAAAGACATGCCTTTATTTTGACTTGTGTGTTTTCTTCCTTTCCAGAAACACTATTTGGTAAAGTGACACTGTGTTGCCATTACTCAATAGATTCACACTTTGATGGTATTTGTAACCCTAACTAACTCTTACCCTGTCCATTATATGATAAAGGGAAAACAATAGTGGAAGGAAAACAAAGGTCTTTTCCTAGCACTACAGTGTTAAAGGGAAACTGTAGTGCTAGGAAAGATGCCTAACCCTCCGGAAGTTAGGAACACTATAGTCCAGGGGATCCGAAATTAAGTTTTACATGGAACCTTTTGTCAAAGTGTGTGTATCTGTGTTTATATGTGTCGTGTGTTTTGTATGTGCCAGTGCGCGTACCTCTGTATCTATTTGGGTATTTGTGTGTGTATGTGTATATGTATCAGATGCAAACAGAAACAGATACACAGTGAGATATATACACACTTGCACCCACAGAGACACACACACGCACACACTGTCATATACACACACAGGCACACACTGACACCCTCAGACACACATACACTCTCACTGACAAGAACACATACACGCTCACTGACAAGAACACATACACGCTCACTGACCAGAACACACACATTCTCACTGGGTCCAGTGGGGCTGCTGTGTGGGCAGCGAGGGAGCAGTGATGTCACTGCACAGCTCCCTTGCATGCCTCTTAGTGATACCGCAGTGACGTCATATTCTGGATCCTGCATCACTGATGTGCGTGTGAGGGAGCTGAGCAGGGAGATCACTGCTCCTTGGCCATTTTATTTTTAGAAATGTTGGAAGCAGTTTTTGTGTGTAGATCATACCTCTCAGGTTTTGGTGCTCAATTCACTGCCATTAAGAAGTTTTTTTTAAATCACTTTGTTTGTTTGTGCAGCCCTTGTCACACCTCCCCTGGCTCTGACTGACACACAAAAACTGGTTTCATTTTCAATCAGATGTGTTTTACCTTAAACAATTGTATCTCTTTCTCTGTAAATGTAACTTTTATCACATTCAGGAGGCTCTTGCAGAGCCTTGCAGGCTATTAACATAGCAGGGGATAAGAAAATCTAAATTAAACAGAACTTGCAATAAAGGAAGGATAAACTGTAGATGACTTTACAGGAAGTGTTTAGGCAGGCTGTGCAAGTCACATGCAGGGAGGTGTGACAAGGGTTCATAAACAAAGTTATTTAACTCCTAAATGGCAGAGAATTGAGCAGTGAGACTGAAGGGGCATAATCTATACATCTAAACTGCTTCATTAAGCTAAAGTTGTTTTGGTAAATATAGTGTCTCTTTAACCCTGCAAGGTAATTATTGCAGTTTATCAACAACTGCAATATTTACAATTGCAGGGTTAAGGGGAGTGGGACAGTGCACAAAACCACTTAAATGAGCTGAAGTAGTCTGCGTGCCTATAGTGTCCCTTTAGGTAGCCTGGACCTCAAGCTCATTCATCACTGTCAGTCAATGACAGTGATCATGTTGTCTTGGCAGCTTGGATTGACAGCTAGGGTGATTACTGTGATTGGCTCCCAGGGTGTTTAATCAGTCTTGGAGCCAATCAGTGACTCTTGATGGTCTACGTCACTGCTGAGGTAGCTGGCAATAGTTTATGGACAACTGATTCTGCCCTGCTTACTGAGCATTATCTGTCAAGCTATAGAGTAATCTGCATAGTGATCGCAAGGAGCACGTTACCCAGGATCACTTTCCACCTCCATATGTTTTTTTTTTTTTGTATGATGCAGCACTACTGAAAGAATACTCTGTATTTTCCAATTCTGATTAAACTACATAGAAAAAAAGGAACTTGGGGTGCACCAAGAACATGCATTTCGCTGCCGTAAAGATCAACATTTATACAAAATGCAGATTAATCAACAGCACAATTTTACAAGGCTACTTAAAATCACCTATCTCAGCAAACAAATATAGGGATTCAGTTCCACCAGATGGGCCATATCGTATTAAGCCCACCACTATGCCACAGTACCTCAATATCATAAGGGGGTCTTACACTAATTTTAACTTGGAAGACAAATTCTTATTGCCAGACACCAGGGAATTTTAGTGCCTTTAATCCTGCTAGAATGAAGTTGCAGGACTGCTGTTGAAGCCAGGGCAAGGAGTATGTGGTCTGCCCCGACAGCGGGTGAAGACCACAGTAAATAAAAAAATTAATTAAAAAAAGCACACTAATTACAACATCCAGCACACAGTACGCACATTATGGGAGGCAGAGGATGAGAAATTCAGGGTTATGTTGTCCCTGTCCATGGCTCTAGACAGGGTCCCCAATAGCTTTATAAAGAATACATACCTTCTGTGTATGATTAAAACGTCTGACGTAAGTTCAAGATCTGATTGAAAATGAAACCATTTTTTACAGAAGGCTGTGTCAGTCACAGCCAGGGTAGGTGTGAAAAGGGCTGCATAAACAGAAACAAAAGTGATTTAATTTCTAAAGCATTTTCACTTACAGCAAAGGAAAGGTTTCTTTACAGTAAGAATAATAAAGATGTGGAATTCTCTCCCTAAAGAGGTTGTGAAATCAGATTCTATATGTAATGTAAAAAATGCTTGAATTTTTTTGCATAAACAGCGTATGCAAGTATATAATTGGTTTATATGTAAAACAGGTTATCGATCGAAGGAGAAATCTGATATCCACTATGGAGTCATGAATATCCCCCCTGGCATTCTTGGAAATGGCTACAATTTAGCAAAAGCATAAAAGAATGTGCACAGTGGTTAAACTAGATGGACTTTAGTCATTTTTGAATATAGATAACTATGTAACTAAATGGCAGAGAATTGAGCAGTTACACTGCAGGGACATGATGTATACAGCTAAACGGCTTCATTGAATTAAAGTTGTTTTGGTGCTTAGAGTATCACTTTAACCTAGGCCTCTGGTTTCCATTTTGTAGATTACAATTTGGTGACAAGAATACAGAACAGGATTAACCATAATGTGACCTTCGGAGGCTGCATAGTGACCTAAGGCTTTCCTGTACTAGAATTCGATACTACCGCATTAGTAAACCTTTTAAACAGTGAATCGTTAATTGAAAAATGAATCGAACTGTCTTAAGATTTTTGTAGGCTATCTATCCACACAAATACAATGGTGCACTGTACATTGCTAATATACTGTGTCATCACAGGTACAGTCCAGCTATCTCACTTTTATTGTGATCAAGAAAGATGGAGCAGTACACAACAAGCAGCAATGGTTCTCCAGAGCAGATTGTGGTGCAGGCCGGACAGATTCAGCAGCAGGTGAGCGCGGGTTTCAGGGCAAGGGGATATGCTAAACAGGGTTGGAATGTTGTATGCCAGTCTTTCATATCCTAAATAATACAACCCAATTCTTATCCCTTCTTGTATTTCACTTTATTTCCTTGAACCCGTTTATTATTCATCCTCTTCCTAAGGATTTCCATAACATTTTTTTTTTATTTTTTTTTGTATTTATTCTTACACTTTCAAAATAATTCTCTCTGTCAGTGTAAAGTCATTTGACTCTCTCTCTTATAGTCAGGCTGTCTCTTCTTGTTCCTTTCCCCTTAGCCGGGTGCGGTCACTGCTGTCCAGTTACAGACAGAGGCTCAGGTGGGAGCAGCCTCAGGACAGCAAGTTCAGACCCTCCAGGTAGTTGTGCCCTTGACAGCTGCATGAGTTGCAATAAAGAAACACTCAATGCAGTCTCTGATTGCTACCCCATCATTTATTGGAAATACATCCCTGTGCAGTTTATATGTCTAAGTGCTATTCATTCTTTGAATGAGCTTGCCAGTAATGCTTGCATTGTGCATGTTGTGTTGTGTTATGTTATTCATAAAGTATCCAGAGTACATCCTCTTACCTGACACTTGCATGAATTTCTCATATTTGCTTTCCTTGTTTATTTGCTTTATGCTGCATACACTTTTGCTGTTTTCTTGCTGTGCCTGTACAACAAAGGTGCAGGAAAAAATAATATGTCTATGGCCTTCTCTGCCTTTGTGATAACCATTTATTGTTTTCTCCTAAACAGGTACAAGGGCAGCCACTCATGGTCCAAGTCAGTGGAGGACAACTTATCACTTCCACTGGACAGCCGATAATGGTGCAGGCCATGGGAGGCCAGGGACAAACCCTGATGCAGGTGCCAGTATCAGGGTCTCAAGGGCTGCAACAGGTAAAAATCTACCATACCTATTACTATTGCTAGTATTGGCAATTTATTCTCTAGTGCCTGCAACACCATTTATAGTAAAAAAGTGCTCTTTGATGGTTATGAAGGATAGTTTCCCGGTACTTTCTTAACCTGCTATAATTATGTTGTCTACTGCTAATTTCAGTTGTTTCTTACAGATTCAGCTAGTACAACCAGGACAGATACAGATCCAGGGAGGTCAAGCGCTTCAGGTACAAACCCAGCAAGGTCAGCCACAGCAAATAATCATTCAACAGCCACAGACAGCAGTAACTGCTGGACAAAGCCAGGTAAGGCACAACCAAGGCGCGTTAAATTAATTTGTTAGAAAGCAGAAGTAATTTTGTGTTTAATAACAGAAAGGTCTAGACCCCTCACCAGCTTTGAACACCTGTGCGTACACCGAACACACGTTCACAGAGGTATCTCCTCTATACAGACCATACTCAAGACCCAAACTAGTGAGGATGTGGTGCTCAAATTTAAGGATCATTGGGAGAGAGACTCGGGGGAAGTCCTTACCGCGCAAGATTGGGACAAGATCTACACCCTCACACACAAATGCTCCATCAGCTCTAAGTATCAGGAGCTGAACTACAACATTTTAACCCGCTGGTACAGAACCCCAGACATACTTAATCGCATGAACGAGGGTGCCCAGGACACCTGCTGGAGATGCGGCATGCACACCGGCTCGTACTTCCACATCTGGTGGAAGTGCCCCGAGATTACCACATACTGGGAGAGGATCAGGGTAGAGATAAACAGAATCACAGGAGCGGAGCTACCCCTAGAACCCCTAACGATGCTATTACACCACACCCCCACACCCGTCAAGACATATAAGAAATCCCTCATGCTGCCACTACTCAACGCAGCAAAGGCCCTTATCCCAGCAATGTGGAAACAGAGAGGGGCGCCTACCCTCCAGCAATGGGTGACAAGGGTGGAAGAGATCCACTCAATGGAATCCTTAACTGCAGACCTCCACGGTAGACAGGAGCAATGTGCACTGACCTGGTACCCCTGGGAAACATACCTAGCCAACAGATTAGCAAACCCAAACATAGCCCCCCAGAGGCCCGCAGTAAACTGACTCATACAGAGCTAAGCTACCAAGCTACCCCTCCCCCCTGTGTCTCCTACCTCCCGCCCCCCTCCCAAGACTGTACACTGGACCGAACCCCAACGACTGACGCTGACGAGCCCGTAACAGGGGCATATTAATATACACACTTACTGTAAACACAGGAGCATAATACACAGGAAACCGAGACCCAATCTAGCGTTGATACCGACATGAAAACATCCCGCCTGGCCACCTAGACTGGTACCTAGAGTACCCTCCCATATGCCGAGCTATACCGATAAGCATACAAATATATACACCGACAACTGCCTACCCACAGTAGAGGGGAACTTTATCTAAACCATCACACTTTGCTCTCACCCAGGTGACCAGATGGCCTTGAATGTAAATAATTGCTGTGTAGACATGAGAGGTGTTAAGGCACTAAAGGTATCTTTTTTCGCTCCCGCAGCTCTATATCATGCTCAACAACATATATTTGTCAAGCGATAAAATGCTCTCTGACACTGTTGGTATGAAACGTGAAATGAAAAATAAAGATTGTCAAAAAAAAAAAATACCCCCTACAGCTACTTGTCCAGACACCGGTTCACACCCTAAACGTAGAGCGCACGCCATAAGTGCAGCAAACTGCGCACTGTAGGCAAGTGGAGCTATGAACCTTGAAACCTGATCATAAGTTACACTACCTAATGCATGTGATGGAAACTATAGAAATATTGTTGGAGAAATCTGATTTGAGAATGTTAGTAAAAAGGCTACGAATGTTGTTATGATATTCAGAAATATGATGTTACAATTGATGTTTTACCATATCTACACTTTTCTGTGACAAAATGATAAAAATGAAAATAAAGATTGTCAAAAAAAAAAATAACAGAAAGGTAATAAAATGTCTTGGTGTTAATGGCTTTGTATTCTTTTCTTAGGGCCAGCAGCAGATAGCTGTTCAGGGCCAGCAGGTTGCACAAACAGCAGAAGGGCAGACTATTGTGTATCAGCCTGTAAATGCCGATGGAACCATCCTGCAACAAGGTGAGTACACTTTGAACTGGGCTATAGAATGTTAATCATATTTTTTTGTGCATTGGCCTGCATATATGTTTTCATACTTGGTAAGCAAAAGTATCCTGAGTTAAGTCACATCTTTCTTTGCTTTACCTCTGGTCCTGCCCTCCTACCTTGAATTTATCAGCTTTGTCGGCTTCCCATTCGCTGTCTGCACCGTATGATTTGTGCCAGTCTACATGTCAATGGTGTACAGTACACTGGAGGTTCTCCTGGGATTAATTCTTCTACCCCTCCCTTTGTTCCTTTGTTTCCGGTTTTGTTTTGTTCCCTAAAGTGACAGTCCCTGTTACAGGAATGATCACCATACCTGCAGCCAGTTTGGCCGGAGCCCAGATTGTCCAGGCTGGAACAAATACGAATACCACCAATAGCGGCCAAGGGACCGTCACTGTCACCCTCCCTGTGACTGGAAATGTGATGAATTCAGGAGGCATGGTGATGGTATGTAATTATAATTTGCATTATTTTCATTTATGCAACAAAATTGGTTTGTTTCTTTGCAAGTTTCTATGTATAAGGTATTCAGAATTAACATAAAAATGTGCAGTGGTAATTAGTTTTTGATTTCCAACTTTCTCTCATTGAGTGTTTGTGTTCATGCAGATGGTGCCAGGTGCTGGCTCTGTGCCTGCTCTGCAAAGGATACCACTGCCAGGAGCTGAAATGCTTGAGGAAGAACCCTTATATGTGAATGCTAAGCAGTATCACCGCATCTTGAAAAGGAGACAAGCACGAGCCAAACTTGAGGCAGAAGGAAAGATTCCTAAAGAGAGGAGAGTGAGTATATGCCGGGCATTGATAGAAAAGAAAGTTGACATAATTCCACCTGGCAGCTTTATATGAAGGTCGGTGAAAAGTGGTAGGAACATTTGAAGGCTTTGTTTCTCAACCAGTGGTACGTGTACCAAAGTACACAACCATAGCATCCCCCAGGAGGTAGCTGGCTGTGTGCTAAGGCAGAGTAGGCATCCAAACGGCAGATGCCTACTCTCCCAAATAAGGTGGGGCCAGAGGTGGTGAGGGAGCTGTAATCTAAATGATCTTTCACCACATTATATGCCCTGATGTTATGACATCACTTCGGCACCACTAAACACCGGGCGAGGGAGCAGTGCTGGAAGATCACCCAAGCCCCACACTGAATCCCAGGGAAAGGATACACTCCAACTCAACCAAAGTTGGGTTTGAGGGTCTGTGTAAACTTAAATAAAAAATAATTAACGACCTCTGGTAATGTGGAACCCATGTGTCCGGTGTGAGATATTTATAATCTTCCAAACTACTATCTGGCAGGAGTACAGTGGGAACAGAATAAAAATTATATTCTTGAGGACAATACTCTAGACCAGGTGCCCACACATTTTTGTGTCATGAACTTCTTTTCACATGACCAGATCAACGAGATCTACAAACTAAAAAACAAACACCTTTTCTTACAGAAAAATACATTAAATTCCTTATTGGGACTACTGCATGTATCTTCACAGAGATGCACACACTGACACACATGCAGCTACAAAGATACACACATTGACACATTCAGATACACACATTGAAACAAATGCAGATACTCAGAAACACACACACAGAGATATACATGCAGATATCCAGAAACACATGCACTGACACACCTGCAGACACACAGAAATACATGCAGATACCCAGAAACACACGCACTGACACACCTGCAGACACACGGACACAAACATTGACCTGCATACAGATACACAGACATACACTCATTGATACAACTTTTACTGTTACACTTATTTAACCACCCTCCGGTTTGCTACCTTTTGGGTGCAGGAGAGTGGCTTCCCTGTGGTCCAGTCTTCTGGTGGAGGCTGTTGGGAATCAGTCTGGTTCTTGCTGTCCACGCTCCCATTTCTCCTGCGTGGCTTGATCTATTATTTGCTTCTAATTGCGGTGTTAAAGCATTGCAGGAGCAGTGAACAACTGGTCCCCTGATGCCACACATGGTGACCCTTTGTGCATTGGCCGTCCGATAGGCCCCCTCAGCATGAGTATCCTGGTACAGCCACAACGGCAGTAGTTCTGCCGCTGATAACGCTGCATGTCAGGTGATGCTCTGCTTAGGCAGCTGTGAGGCTATCATGACTAATTGAAGAGCTGGCCTTGATTTATCAGCATTGCCTTTGCAATCGACTGGTAGAGTGTGATTGACTTAATGGGCACCCTTGCTCTAGACTGTATGCCTTTTGAAGAAAATTACAGTTTAAACAATATATGTACACATAGAAAATGGTTCTGTTCTGAACATTGTCCTACACAAAAACTGATCATGAAGGGTCTTATAAACATTACTTGTAGTAAGATATCAAAATCATTATTATTTGGCAATTTTCAGTGCACAAAGGTGCATTTCAGATTGTACATTCACACCCACATGTGTCAGGTCCACATATATTTTGTTTGTTGATACATTTTAATAAAATAACTCTGTAGCAGAATACTTTTTTTTTCTGATTGCTTCTTGTGTTTACTCATTGATGGTTTGAATCTTCTGTTCCAGAAATACTTACATGAGTCACGTCATCGCCATGCTATGGCCAGAAAACGTGGGGATGGTGGACGCTTCTTTTCTCCAAAAGAAAAAGAAGGGCACCACATAGAGGTAAACATGATGATGGCTAAAGAGTGAAGCAAGCATGGAGAAAGCTCCACCCCATCCTCAATGTATGCCTTGGTTTTATATGGATTTGAATATGGTGCTAACATTTTAACCATGTGTCATGCAGGAGTAATTCACAACTCCTCTTCCTGTTTGTATGGGTTTTTAATTGCATTTTATGTAGAAAAAGTACCATTTAAATATAGACTTCAGTATTACAAAAGAGTAGCATATTCAACAGACCTCATAGTAACCACAACTTATAATATAAAATGATAAAATTAAACTAACTTTACAGATGTCAGAAAAAAGAAAATATTTTATTTTCCAAATACTACCACTCATAGGATTTGTGGTTATAACCTCTTATCTGTGACACCCTGCATTTGTATTGTGTAGGACAGTTTTCTGGAATTACATGAACCTAGTATTTCTTGTTTGAATTTATATAATTTTAAGTAAATTGGCTGCATACATATTTTGCAACTTACACATCAGAATCTGTATAAAAATATATATTGACTCTCACTGTTAAACATGGGTTTTGTACAGAGCAGTATAGTATATATCTTAGTTTTGTACATTCTGTATATGATGAGTAACATACATTTTAAGAAATCAAGCAACTCTGAAATACTATGTTACAAGTTACTAGTCATATGTTCCATTATTAAAACTACAGGTGATTACTCATACTCCTATATCTCCCTTGTGTGTAAATGGGCACACACTCTTCCTCGTTAATGTATAAATATACATTGTGTGTATTTGGGCACACACTCTCCCTCGCTAATGCATTCCACTCACTGTCATACACTAGTACACAAACACTTGCACAGGACCTCCAAACATAGACAATAAGCCTCATACATGTTTTTGTCACTAAATTGTGAAGTGTGCAGAATTGACAAGAGAATTGTAGGTCTAATTCCAATAAAGTTAGACTTTGTATAGATTTCCTCTCAACTTTTATTTGTATGTGGCTGTGTTCTATAAAACATTTGATTGACTACAGTGGTATACAGAATTACATTTAAAATGTGTGGGAGAGGGGCGGAGCCGAGCAGAATGGCCAAACACATCCAGACCCTAAAACCGGGACAAAAATGGCAGGGGAAACCCCCACAGGCGAAGTGAACATAAGGGGATGCAAAACTGAAACCTGAAAAGCCACAGATGGGCTTAAATATTGAGGACAGGCACATGGCGCGGTGAGGCCTAAGATGGCCGACTACCATGAGACCTACTCTGAAATCTCCGATGACATGTCCCCAGTTTAGGAGGTGGAGGATCTCCCTGCACCTCCATGCCCAGCATTGAAGAACACTGGACAAGACAACTCTCCGGGGACCACTGCAATGCTAAAACTGTTTATGGCAGACCTCCAGAAGAGTATCCAGATGGATTTAGCATTACTCTGTGCAGATTTGCAAACAAGCATCGCAGATAGCTAGGTTGCAGAAAGCAGTCAAGGGACTCCAACAGCAAAGTGAGCTGAGTGATCGCCGCTTCACTGCCATTGAAGACTGGAGGCTAAAAAAAGTCAAAATAAGGGGCATCTCGCAAGAGGTACCAATGGCTGAAACCCCACATTTCTTGAGGCGCTTATTGCTTTACTTGCCCCAAGACAGGGCAAAGCAGTGGGAACCAATGGATTCTTAAGAGTTCTGAAGTCCCCACGTGCCCCAGAGAATGTGCCAAGAGACTTGGTCCTCTAGTTGCAAAGTCTAAGACAAGTGGCAAAGACAAGGTAGCGGTGCTGGCGGCTGTCAGAAACCACACGCCATATAAGTTTGAAGACATGTCTCTCACGTTTTTTTCAGACCTGTCAGAGAGACCCTAGCCTGGCAGAGATCGCTCAAGCTCATTTACCACCCTACTGAGACAGCAGAAGATACTGTACCAGTGGCAACTAAGCCCTAATGATCCAACAGGAGGAGACCAAGCACCTGATCCACAACCTCTCTGAAGCAGCAGCCTTACTGCCCACACTTAACTTGCCTCCTAATGCCCTGACAACACCCTGGGATGGGGCAGCACCAGTGGAATCCGGACACTGCAATCCCTTTTACCCTTCACTGGATGGCTACGGGAGGATATGCAGCGGCCACTACCTGACGATGACATTGGGACTAAAAACCATCACCCAATGCAGCTACAATACTCCCTAGAACTGTAGGGTTAACTTAAAGTTTTTGTTATGTAGAGTTTAGATAGATATGTTTTTGCTTTATTCAGCCCACATTTAGATCAACTGACAGATTGAGCCAACCTTACCCCCACCACCCCCCTTATCCCACACAAAAGGCGTCACCTATAGGAGTACAACTGCACCCTAGCACAAGTAGCACCTTTGACCTAGCTCTAAGACTTACATGATACCCAAACGTCCCTGACATGTTAGAGGTACTCAACTAGTACTCAGAGATCTCGACACCCCACATAGCTAGATACACATGATATCTCACCTTACTGATGTTACATTAAATATAAAATGTGCTGTGTCTCTGAATGCCATAACCCTTCATGATTGTTTTTACTATGCTTGGTATAGCTATCGTGGCATATCAAGCCTGTTTGTTACCACTCGCACAATAAAAAGAATTAAAAAAACAAAAATGTGTGGGAGAGTTGCTGATGCTTTTATGTTGCCCTAAAACCTATAGCCCTACCATTTTGTCTCATGTTATTGACATTGGTATTTGTATGTTACAGGCTGTAGAGTTTCATTAAGCACAGCAACAAGATGGAGCCGATTTGTAACGGTATGAATTTCATTAATTGAATAAAACAGGCTAATGCTATTTTGTTTTCATACACTAATCATATTGTTTTCTCATCCTCTTAGGATTCATCTCAGGGAAGAGACGTTTACACCAATGATGCCATCACTCTGACATCAGAAAAACTCCACCAGGATGACAGAGTTTTGTTACATCCTATTGTCTTTCAGCCATTTATCACCTCTAACCAGTGTACAGCTGTCTCTTTATTATAATCTGCCGTGCACCCAAACATTTCTCACATCTTAGATTTCTGCATGCAAACACAGACTCCCTTAGATAGGAGTCAATCTCCAACACCTTGTGAGTACAAGGTCTGAAATTGCAAAGATGTGCTCTTCTTGGAAAAGTCTTCCAGCCCAATGTTTTCCTATTCCTATAGGCTAGAGGAAGAGGGCAAGGATGGAAATGTTTTTCAGTATTTAAAGTACTTACTGAGAGAACTTGAAATCTCTCCAGTCATTGAAAGTTTTATGGCTTATACTCCAGTTGTTCTCAGCAAGACAGTGTGTTTTATGTTGTAGCTGAGATTTTACTTGTACATAACCTCTTTGTAGTATGACAGTCCTGCAAAGTCATGTGGCCTGTCATGAAGGGTATAACTTGTTTCTACATTTTTGCTTTATAATGGGGCTGGGTCTTTTTATAACTGTAATAAAGATGCATTAGTTTTAGGGATTACCTCCTGGGTTGAAGAGTTTAATTTTGGGATAAACATTTATGGAAGAGTGGGGCGAAGGCTAAATATGTGGAAAAATATAGTAAGATAAGTTATAATGTAATAGTATCCCGATAAGGACTTGCAATATGGAATTTAAGGGACACTCTAGACTCCTAAAGAAATTTAGCTTGCTGGAAAGCTTTGTGTGAAGACCATTTTATTTCATTTTGCAAAAACTACAGATTTCAATAAAAATTTACACTTTTATAAATTAACCTGGTTGACACCACCTTGGTGGTAAACCCCGTCCTCTTACTTTCTGATTTGGTTAGCTCAGTGGAGCTAAACACAAGAGGCAGCAATTGCCCAGAGCACCTACTTTGCAAAGATTTCTCATTCAGCTACATTGGGAAGTCTCTGATTGGACAGCCACAAAAAGTTTGGAAAGTGTTAGAAGGGGAGGACTTGCAAAGACTAAAGACAACAGAACTGCCAGTTTTGCAAACTGTTTTAAGGTGTACCGCCAATGGAAAAAATACATAATTAAATGCATGCATGTTTTCATTTGGGGTATATCTACTAAACAGTGATTTGTATTTCGGCAGGGAAGTGTCCCTTTAATTTTATAAGACCATCAAAATGTTTTATGGGATCGCAAATGCGTTTCCACGAAAACTGTATTATGGATAGATCAGAGTGCAAGTCAGTTTGATAAACTACTTGCAGAAAACACCGTGTTAAACTGCATGCAGGTGTATGTCACATTTCTAGGTGTCTGGGGAATTAGAAGAGGCGTAAAAAATTGTGAATTTGTTACTTGATTTTTTTTGTATATAGTTTTTTTTTATATATATATAAATATCTAAATTTTTTTCAGAATGTAATTTTTTCCTATTAGCTGTATTTGTAAGTACCGTGTACCTCACCCAGCTAATAAAAAAGTTTATAACATACGGTTTGTGTTTTTTCTTTTGTTCTTTTCCCTGATTTTTACACTTTATTTATTTATTATTCTTTTTGAGTTGTCCTTTTACACCTTGTAAGAAACGGTAGTATTCCAAAGTTACACTTACTGTGTGCCAGTTGCCACAAAGTGCTCAGAATGACCCTTGAAGCTTTTGGCATTTGTATATTCTGTAATAAACTGTTGTATTTCAGAAGCAGCTACAGACTCTGCAGGACCTTAGGTGAAACTCGAACATGAGGCCCGCACTTGAGACCCGTAGTGAAAAAACAAGGGTCTCAGGTGGATGTATAAGGAACTGTAGTGTTTGTGTAGGGATACAGTGTGTATGTGTGTTTAGGGGGTGTAGTGTATGCATGGGTTATAGTGTGTGTGTATAGGGGGTGTAGAATTAGAATATAGAAACTAAAGAATTCCACAAGAATCTCAAGACAAGGTACTAGCAATAAAGAGGCAATTATAGCTGTACACGCCCACTATATAAGTATAAATAATAATATAAAAATGTATTATGAGGTGCAGAGGTCTGGCAAAAAGTCAAGATCTTGACTAAACAAGACCAAAAGAAAATATTTATACTCAGACGAATAACTTACTCCATGGTTTATTATGTGTGGTTTCCCATGAAACACATTTATATTATAAATAATTTTTAAAAACCAGATGACCCTCCAAAATATTTTTTAACGTAGTTTTTTTTTTTTTTTTCTTCTAGTTTACCTTCCATAGGGATTAAGTTAACTATCTTTTTTTTTCTAACCCTTGCTTGGGAGGGGGGTTACCTAAATGGTGAATAAGACACTGTAGCGTTCTTGATATAACACGATGTAGTTTTCCTTTAAAAGGATATAAACTCTGTAGTTATCTGGGCCCCCCCCCTGTGTGTAGTTAAAAAAAAGAAAAAGCATTTTACTAACATTGTAGCCCGGCAGTATCGCTCTGCACTGCTGGTAACACCTTGGCCAAGATAATCTGTTTTCATGATCTCAGCCAATCCAATGCCTGTCCATAGGGAAGCATTGGGAGAAGTGTGCATGCATGGCAAATTGGCACACTTTGTGAGCAGCATTTCATTGAGATTGACTCTCTTCTCAGGGGAAGCATCTCTAATGGATTTCAGGAAGACAGCCACTAGAAGTGTGTTAACCCTGCAAACATAACATTGACTCGTTTACTAAATGGCAATGCCTTAGATGGCATGGTTAAACTTAAGTGCCACTGCAGTTTGGTGGTCCTTTAATGGAAACAAAAACAAATATTTTTGTTGGACAGAGAAAAACATTTAAATAATTATTTACCAAATACTGATATTTCAGATTTAAAAAACAAACTGTAAACGTTGTCTACCTGTGTATAAACCCGAGGGTGTGTTTCTGACAGTGAGCATGTCTGTTTCTGAGACCGTACGTGTGTGGGGGAGCTGCTTGCAGTGTGTTGGTTGTATGGGGGCAGCTTGTGGTCTTTGTGCATTGTGTTTAAGGTAAAGCTGTGTTTCATGAATGTGTGTGTATGATGACTGTCTTCAGGAAGTGACTCTGACAGAGTGAGTCTGATAACGGTGGCAAGATTAATGTGGCTGAATGATGTTGGGGGAGTGTGACAGGGTGAGGGCAGGTAAATGAAACAGGGTTGGGGGTGAGTGTGACTGAGTGAGGGACGGTGAATGTGACAGGGTTGCGGAATGAGTGTTATAGAGTTAGGGGGTTAATGTGACATGGTTGCAAGTGAGTATGGCATGACTGGACGGGAGAGTGTGACAGTTGTAGACTACATCTCCCATAATGCTCTTACAGCCATAATGACAGGATTGGAAGGTTAGTGAAATAGGGTGAGTGTGGCTTTGGAGGGTGAGTGTGACAGGATTAGGGGGTTAATTTGATAGAGTGAGTGTGGCAGGGTGAAGGGATGTGATCGTGTGACAAACTATATATGGAGTAAATGGGGAGAGTGACAGTAATACCTTGTACTGTATTACCTTTTTATGCAGTTGTCCATCTCCTGGTCAAGGAGGGGACAATAATCAATTCCCTGGGGTCCAGTGGGCTCCCCAGTGTTCTGATGACCTAGCTATTCAGTCTGCAGCTCCACTGGGTGCAGAGTTGCAGACCATGAGGTAGTTATCACACTAGCTCCGGGACTAGGAGTGTCAGTGTTGCCGCAGTAACCTGTGCAAACGTTCTGGTTGGCTGGAGTTTGACAACTACTTAATAGTCTGCAACACCCGACGGAACTGTAGACCAGGTTCTGCTGGGCACTCCCTTTGGGCACACTGAGTGGAGGGGTCCCACACCTGGCAGCATACAGAAAGAGCAGACAATGGGAACAAGACAACAAAATAAAAATGATGATTAAGAAATGGTTAATATCCTTATGTCTGTCCTACGTATTAAATACTCGTATTTATGGATTATTATCCCATACAAAACCATTCTATGTTCCAACTGTAACTGGATTTATTGAAAGATATTTCTAAACCGAACAAAATAGACTTTTACATACAGCATTTAATACCTTGACATTATACAATACATATATAATCCACACATTTTTATAAGAAAATGTGCTGATTTGAGCAACTTGATAACATATCAGTTACATAAATTCTTAAAATCAATGGCCTGCTTGACTGACTTTCTTTAAATATTGTGTTCCTGAACAACTCCTCAAAGGCCAATCCTGAAATCCACGAATTAGGGATGGTGATGTGTTATTTCAAAAGGGGCATTGTCTCAACTTGGTTGTTTAGCCTTTGGGAGAGTTTATAAAACACCTATGTATACAGGGAGTGCAGAATTATTAGGCAAATGAGTATTTTGACCACATCATCCTCTTTATGCATGTTGTCTTACTCCAAGCTGTATAGGCTCGAAAGCCTACTACCAATTAAGCATATTAGGTGATGTGCATCTCTGTAATGAGAAGGGGTGTGGTCTAATGACATCAACACCCTATATCAGGTGTGCATAATTATTAGGCAACTTCCTTTCCTTTGGCAAAATGGGTCAAAAGAAGGACTTGACAGGCTCAGAAAAGTCAAAAATAGTGAGATATCTTGCAGAGGGATGCAGCACTCTTAAAATTGCAAAGCTTCTGAAGCGTGATCATCGAACAATCAAGCGTTTCATTCAAAATAGTCAACAGGGTCGCAAGAAGCGTGTGGAAAAACCAAGGCGCAAAATAACTGCCCATGAACTGAGAAAAGTCAAGCGTGCAGCTGCCACGATGCCACTTGCCACCAGTTTGGCCATATTTCAGAGCTGCAACATCACTGGAGTGCCCAAAAGCACAAGGTGTGCAATACTCAGAGACATGGCCAAGGTAAGAAAGGCTGAAAGACGACCACCACTGAACAAGACACACAAGCTGAAACGTCAAGACTGGGCCAAGAAATATCTCAAGACTGATTTTTCTAAGGTTTTATGGACTGATGAAATGAGAGTGAGTCTTGATGGGCCAGATGGATGGGCCCGTGGCTGGATTGGTAAAGGGCAGAGAGCTCCAGTCCGACTCAGACGCCAGCAAGGTGGAGGTGGAGTACTGGTTTGGGCTGGTATCATCAAAGATGAGCTTGTGGGGCCTTTTCGGGTTGAGGATGGAGTCAAGCTCAACTCCCAGTCCTACTGCCAGTTCCTGGAAGACACCTTCTTCAAGCAGTGGTACAGGAAGAAGTCTGCATCCTTCAAGAAAAACATGATTTTCATGCAGGACAATGCTCCATCACACGCGTCCAAGTACTCCACAGCGTGGCTGGCAAGAAAGGGTATAAAAGAAGAAAATCTAATGACATGGCCTCCTTGTTCACCTGATCTGAACCCCATTGAGAACCTGTGGTCCATCATCAAATGTGAGATTTACAAGGAGGGAAAACAGTACACCTCTCTGAACAGTGTCTGGGAGGCTGTGGTTGCTGCTGCACGCAATGTTGATGGTGAACAGATCAAAACACTGACAGAATCCATGGATGGCAGGCTTTTGAGTGTCCTTGCAAAGAAAGGTGGCTATATTGGTCACTGATTTGTTTTTGTTTTGTTTTTGAATGTCAGAAATGTATATTTGTGAATGTTGAGATGTTATATTGGTTTCACTGGTAATAATAAATAATTGAAATGGGTATATATTTGTTTTTTGTTAAGTTGCCTAATAATTATGCACAGTAATAGTCACCTGCACACACAGATATCCCCCTAACATAGCTAAAACTAAAAACAAACTAAAAACTACTTCCAAAAATATTCAGCTTTGATATTAATTAGTTTTTTGGGTTCATTGAGAACATGGTTGTTGTTCAATAATAAAATTAATCCTCAAAAATACAACTTGCCTAATAATTCTGCACTCCCTGTATTACCACCCTCCTTAATGAAAAATAGTCACTGATTTTGTACTCGGCCTGTGCCTTATTTTTGTAGTATTTCTCCATAATTAACTGTACTCTTCTGATATTTGAAAACCCTTTGCTACCACCTTAGATTTGGATATTCAGATAACACAGCTTTTCTAATTTGGATTCTTAGTTAAATTGCATTTTACAACTTAAAGGAGAAACTCTCCATGCGAGGCTCCATTTTCTTTTAAGATTTAGCAAATTACATCACAATCAAGTTCAGTCCTGGCACAGCCAGAATAAACACTGCAAATGAGAAGGAGAAATAGAAAGATTGTTTTTGTTCTCCTCTGTATGTTTTCTCTATGTTGGCCGCCTGGTGCAAAAGATGCAGCTTATAACGATGAGAGCTAAGATGGAGGCTCTCCGTTGCAGGATAAAGAGAGAGATTTTTGCATTAAATTTTATTTTTCATAACTCAGAAATATATATTGGTTAAATTTAGGGGTAGGTAATGAAAAAAATAAAAGATGCTGGGAAGTCACAGTTCCCTTTTAAAACTATACATGCAATACTATAAATCACTTAATGGAATATTTGTACTTTCTGATGTTTTTGATAAGAAAGTATGGTACTAAAAATTTATAGTGTTTTACATATTATTGTGATAAACATCAAACACATTGCAGATCCTATATTATTAAAATATAATATTAAAATTATAAATACTTATATAAAATACAACATGAAACTTATTGCTGCTTATAGCTTATTTCTGATAAATTATTGTTAGTTATTATAGCTTGTAACTTACTGGTTTGTGCTTGTGAGAATAATAATGTCACTTTTATCTGGCAAATAACTGTTGGCTTGATCCAGAACATTGTTGAGTGAAAGAGTATGTATCAAAATATATTGTGAAAAGACTGGGCTATTCAATAATCTGTGTTGGTTTTTAAAAAACATATTATTAGTAATTGCTAATTCAAGATGGAAACACAGTTGGGCAAAAATTTAAGAACCCTAGTGAACACCCAACAATTGCTAAGTAGTGCGTAACTAACTATGATAGTGTTCAACATACTGCAACTCATCTTGACTAACATGTCTAATACCTTCTATGCAACCATGAATTAATATATAGTAATTTAGCTAGTTATCATATTAAAGCCAATTCCGTGTCTTATTTGTAAAGATGCCTCTTCTGTCAAATGGCTATTTGGGCTCAGCAACGTCTAGCAGATAGGTAACCATTACCTGGTGGAATAAAAAAAAGAAAATTAAAAAAAGTTAAGAGAGATTTAATGTTTTGCTCCTTGTCTATGTATAGTAACCCTTGGCACTCTAGATGTTGTGGACTACATCTCCCATAATGCTCTTACAGCCATAATTCTGGCAAAGGGTAGATGTAGTTCACAACATTAGGATTCAGGAGTGCCGAAGATTGCCTACCTTTGGTCTAGAGCAAAGGTTCTTAAACACATTTTTGTTCCATTGACTTACTATCTGACATAATCTATGGACTACCTCTCAATAATAAGTCTCATGAGTACCATCGTCTGATTGGTGATGACCATAAAATATATTTTGAGATATGTGCAAATTTAAATTAACGCTACAGTGTTAGGAATTCAAACTTGTATTCATAATACTATAGTGCCCCTGTCCCTAGTTTTTTATAGGTGCCCATCTTTTTCAAATAAGTTTAATTAAAAAAAAGGATTTTCTTGCCTTTTTCCAATGCCAAGACTTCCTCGGTGCTGCTCACCTCTCCACCTCCTGCAATGTCAGCAAGGAGGCTTAGCCTCCTCCACGGTGGTCCAATCCAATGCTAATCATAGAAGTGCATTTGGGACCTGATTTCTAAAAACTGGAATGTTTTACATTGCAGGGTTTAAGTAGACAGAACCATTGCACCCAGACCAGTTCATTGACATGAAGTGGTCTTGATGACTTTAGTGTCCTTTTACTATTATAGGAAAATATGTAAAATAGTTGTACTATAGCAGTGAACATAATTATCAGGGCTAGATTTCCCATAAGACCACCGAGGCCATGCCCTCAGTGCAACAGGGAAAAGAGGGGTGGTGCTGTTAACATTAGTGGTCCTGCTAGCAGTCTCGATCGTTGGTGGAGTTTTAGGATTAAAAGGTGTGCTTGGGTGAAAAGGGGAATACCTCCTTCTTGCTCAACTCCTGGGGCAGCATATCATCTTCTTTTTGCAGGCAGCAGAATGCATTGCAGGAGAGCGTGCAGAGATGACGCCAGTGTCATAACCGCATGTGACCTCCTGTACTTCCAGCTGCCTGCCGTTACTCCTTCAACATTAATACCACACAGCACGAAGAGCTAAGGTATGTGTTTGGGAGTGTAGAAGAGGGACACTAATGGGAGGAAATGAACATGAAGAAGAGGAACAATTAGAAAATTATAAACAAGTGAGGTATGGTTGTATGAGAAGAGAGGAACATATAAAAGAAGGGAGCAAATGTGGGACAGGAGAGTGGAGAGGGCCACGAATGAGGATTGCAGGATACGAACAGTTCTGATGTAAAAATAAATTACTAGAGGGGAATTAAGGGAAATATAGGGGATAAATGGAGATTGGAAGCATAATGCAAACAAACACCTACATACATTCACACTAACACTTCACACACACACTCCTGCATGAACACACTGGCACTCTGCAAAAAAACCCACCGAATTCAAACATCTACACTCCACACATCATTTAATAATTATCTTAAATAATATTCCTAGCCTGTCACAAAATGTCCAGCTCCTCTCCCAGTTATTATAACTAATACACACCCAACTTACTTCCAAGTCACTTACACACATACACACACCCTGTCACAAAGCCCCTACCTCACCACCACTTACACACATGTACACCACCAGTTACTTTCACCAGTTCACCTTGTAATATACCCTCACCTTCCAAATCACTTGCACCTAATCTCCCTGTCACAACTCCCTCATTATTCATACCCACCATCCTTACACATTCACACACACACACACACACTATTTACCTACTTCCATTTAGTCACACATTGCTATTTGGCTATCTATCCAGCCAAATATGAACCGTTCATATTCTCCTACCAATCCCCACCTCACCTCCAACTTATACATACATGGCCACCTATCTCCACCCACCAGTCACATATTGCCATCCAACCAACAATCTAATTATGGCCACTATCCAATCTATTCTTATTTATCCATCCAATCACCTACACAGAATGTTGCCTTGGAGCAACAGAGAGGGTAAATCCAGTCCTGATAATTATGCCCTTTTTTCATATCCAAGTACCGATACCCCCTGAAATCTACAAGATGCCCTGGTGCTCCCCATACTCACTAATAATCTTCTCACAGCAGCTGAAAAGCAGAAGACACAAGGCCATTGGCAAAAGTAGTACCCAACGTAGAATATCCCAGATCCCATATTGCCTCTCTGTCCTAGAAAATGCAAACAGGATGAAAAAACTGTGAAAAATAAGCAAAAAGCATTTAAACCTGCAATGTCAAGCAATCAAAGCATAAAATGGCAAAAAGGTAGTCTCTAACATCCCATGCCTCATTGTAACAAAATTTACAGAAATTATTTTATGCTGGAAATGTAATCTGTAGAATTGTCTCCTGAAAATATTTGCACCCAAGTCACTTAAATTTCACACGTAAATCAATGATTCTTGAAACATTAAAATCAGAGAATTCAAACACTCTACTTTTCAATAGATCTCATACAGTAGCATACAGGAGAATATTGAAAAGAACTGGGATTTATTTTTTCCTTTCTAATTTGCCTTGATATCTATGTAATATTAAGAGAAAAATTATTAGTAAAGCATTCAATTCTTTACAATGGGCATCTGCAAAATGCTGGACGTCCTCGTACAAGGCGTCATGCAGGCGCAAGACGGAGTTAAACTCTATGAAAAGCGCCTCAAGTGGCTGTATGGTAGAGAGACTCTAGATACAGTCTTAGCCCTGAAATGGAAACATTGCAGATTATCTAAAACTGCAATGTTGTCAACTAAAAGATTAAGGGGACAGGGACGCTGCACCCAGACCACTTCAATGTGATGAAGTAGTCTGGGTGCCTATAATGTCCCTTTAAGTATGTGTTTTTGTAACGTGTTTTCACTAAAACTTCCACCTCTCCAAGTAATATATACAGGTGATACTTGAAATATTAGAATATCGTGCAAAAGTTAATTTATTTCAGTAATGTAATGTAAAAGGGGAAACTAATATATGTGATAGACCAGGGGTAGGCAACCTTTTAGCAGCACTGTGCCGATATAAGATTGTGATGACCCATAGCGTGTCGGTCCTATATTTTTAAATTGAGGCGTCTATGTTGCCGTCTTCTGCTTGTGTTATTTTTACTGTAATTGCTTTGTATCATTGTATTTGTGTGTATATGAGTGTAGCGGAGATGCAATATTCCCCAGGTTATCCCCGCTTATAATCCAAGTGAGGCTCAGGAACAAGTAAATAGTAACTCCACAGGCAAGGTTTCCAGCAGGTAAAATAACAGCAATATCCCAACAGCAATCCCAATAACTGGACGACACACAGTTTCAGGGGCAGAACTGAAATCTTTTAATCCACACTGTCCTTTTAAAGCATGCTCCCATGCAAGGGAGGGATTTACAATCATTAGTACAGTAGCCAATCCTGTCCTGGTAACCTCCCACACACCTCCTCCCCTCAGCCTGCATCATAATCCCCTTATCCAGTCTAGCAATTCCCCCCGTTTCTGGATGTACCCCTAAACGTAGGGGTACCCCTTTAAATCCTACATCCCCTGATAGCCCTGATCTGGGTGAACAACATATCCAAAAATCACCCAGATCAGACCAGGGGTTCGGGAAATGTATGGAGGGAATAAAATGACCGACCGCACTGACTGAGATAGCCGAATGCGGTTCCATGCGAATGGGCCCTGCGGTCGGTCCTGGAATAAGGGAACAAATTGCACGAAAGCCTCTAGCTATAGAGGCTAGGGAGGGTTCGCCTGAATCCCCTCGTTCGGTTCTTTCTATCTACCGAACGATGGGCCGTTCGGTAGTTAGGAACCGAACGGACCGGGCTTGTGGAGGATTCAGCGGTGTTCGCCTAGTCGAGTGTCCGATTTGAGTTACAGACACTCGACAGCAAAACACCGCTGTTCGGGAGTTTCGAGAACAAAGGACGGCTACTTAACTTGTCAATTACCCGTTCGCAACAATGTTGCAACGGGTAATTGAGGACACAGTTCACACAGGGGAGGTCTGATTGTTCGGTAGTTTCATTCCCTTAGTTTATTCGAATGATTCTACCGAACAATCAGAGGAATACAATTCTTTTAAACACATATAAACCCAGCAGATCACACGAATGCAGTTATTCACAAGACATTTGCAGGACAGCCCAGTGCCATCCGCTACAATGAGCTATTATATTGTATATGTTCATTAGTAGTTTATGGTATTGTGTATGATACCTATGAATGTGGGCTGTGCATGAGAGCTGATTGTGGAGTTGTGTGTGTGAATGGAAATGTCACATTGTGTGTTTGGTTGTGTGTGTATGCAGTGGC